GACCGTCTCTTGACAAGCAAAGACACCGCCTGGATGGCGGGTAGATGGCTCCTGGACACACACGTGCTGGAATACTTCCGCATTGCAAAGGAAGACGAAGGAGTCGACATGGAGAAGTGGGCGCCATTCCACAAAGCCCACGAAACGCCAACCTAAACTCCGCCAAGCCCTCACATGGCAACACAGTACAATAGCAGGAAGAAGCGTGAGCAGAAGGCACCTGGGGACACGTAGGAAGTAGGGGTTTTTAGATACCTCCCCTATTGGAGGCATCACGTTTGCCCTACTAGACACAATAACGTAGGGGAAGTGTTCATAGACCCGAAAGGGAACCAGATAGCACTATAAATTGAACTATTTATTTATTTATTTAATTATTCTAGCAATTGAAGATCAATTTGGATGAAGACGGAGGGAGTACGGAAATATCACGGAGAAACAAAGCGGAATGAATCCACTGCGCTAACCAAACATAGTCTAGCGTGCATCCTGGCGGGGCGTGACGAAAGGTGCTCCCCGCGATGTCTGAATCAAACTTATTCAGAGATCTCACCTCATGAACCGACATCACACTACAACATACACAAAATCTCCAGGAACCTTATCATGGCATCAGCAACCTTGGTAGGCGACCTACCACCTACAGGTTCGGCACCCGGCGCCGCCAACACTTCCTCCAACACTCAATTCCCCCCAATAAACATTGGGACGCGCAGGTCCGCGCTCGCGCAAATCCAGGCTCGCTCAGTGGAACTCGCATTGAAGAAAGCACACCCAGAAAGAACATATAATATATGTCCGGTTTTGGCTCAGGGAGATAAGGACAAAATCACGCCATTGCAACAATTGAGTCAGGGTGAGAATGCGAAGAGTTTGTGGACCGGTGAGCTCGAAAGCATGCTCGAGCAAGGAGAATTAGATCTCATTGTTCATTGCCTGAAAGGTATGCTTATTAGAAACCATCCTACTGCGATAAACCTGTCTAATGTGGCTCTCAGATATGCCAACTCAGCTTCCGGACAACCTCGATTTGGCCGCAATCCTCGAACGCGAGGACCCACGCGATGCCCTTGTCGTCTCCCCTCGTCTTCCCAAAGATACGACAATTGCAACCTTGCCCGAAGGATCGACAATTGGAACTTCGTCGGTTCGCCGTGCCGCGCAATTGCGGCGTCTATACCCATCCTTCAAGTTTGCTGATCTTCGAGGCAACGTTGGAACACGGTTAGGAAAGCTTGATGCAGAGGATTCACCGTTCAATGCAATCATTCTCGCTGCAGCTGGGCTGAAGAGACTTGGAATGGATAATAGAATCAATCAATATCTAAGCAGCGACAGCGGAGGCATGCTTCACGCCGTCGGACAGGGTGCCCTCGCAATTGAAATACGGAAAGATGACGAGGAGATCAAGAAGATTCTGAACAAAATTGGAGATGAGCGGACGACAAGGGCCTGTTCAGCCGAGCGAGCTTTGTTACGAACCCTTGAGGGTGGTTGCAGTGTTCCAATCGGAGTAGAAACATCCTGGAGAGGAGGTAAAGGTCTCACAGTTGGTGCACAGCCTGCGAAGGACTACGACAAGCACGGAGATGCCATCGAAGAAGAAGTTGACCTGGATGAGCAGGAGCTGGTTCTCAAGACACTTGTTGTGAGCGTAGATGGCAAGGAATCGGTCAGCTACGAGGTCGCCCGTAAAGTGAGATCTGTGGAAGATGCACAGACCCTGGGCAGAGAAGTTGCCAAAATATTGGTCGACAAAGGCGCAGACAAAATCTTGGAGCAGATCAGCAGGGACAAGCAGTGGGCCGCGAAGAAGGAACTGGAAGCGGCTACAGCTGCCCCAGCTTCGACCTCATGAGCAAAGACGACAACATACTAGTACCTTACTTCAGATCTACCGCTTAACTCAAGTTAAAAACCAGTCACGACTTGTAAATGAAATTAAATCTTTAGATATCTGACGGAACCTAATGATCCTATTACTATGACTTGGCTATAACGTCGTTATAAGTAGTTCCATTTACGAGTACATAGAAACAGCTTATAAACGAACATGCCAGCCATATCCAACATCGAATACGAAAGTCTGGAAGCAATTGTTGTGAGCCCAATTCTTATAAAGCTTGCGCTAGTTCCTAATTGGTACTAGTGGACCTTTCGACCTCATCAATCCGCCTTTGAGCATTGCACTTCAACGACTTCACAAATGGAGCTTTCGTGCGCGTGAGTTTTGGATCTTAGGCACATCAATGCGACGGGATTCATTGTGTCAATACTATCATCTATGGAGGAGGGAGCCAACCGCCTCGTGGATAAAGTCCAGGGTCTGAGTGACATCGAGCTCGCCGTTCTCCTATGTCTCGTAGCGGAACAGCACTGCATCATCGAAACTGACCGCTCTGTTCTGGATGACGTTGAGAAAGAAATCCAACTGGTGCGTAGTAGCTACCAATGCATATGAGGCCAGTTGCTGATTTCGATAGATATCATCCGATGTGTTTGGTTTGACCTGTGCGGTGCTTGATTGCTCCGACGCTACAACCTTGGATGACTTCGGGAGTGGGATTCTCGTCAAAGATGAGCATGACGATTATTTTGGGACTAGAAACGGCGGCGTGAAGGGTGATGTAATTTGACTATGTCCTATTGATTTGTGAACATCAGTACTCATCTAGACAGTTCTTCACAAGCATCAATTCTGCAAGCCACCATGACAGAAAAGTACCAAAGTCGTCGCGAGCATTCTCACCCCTAGAAGGTAGTCGCAAGATAGCGAACATCGTGGTAGCAAAGAATCTCGATCAAGCAAGCGCGCCGGTGCAGACGCAAGCTCTAGAGGTATGTTCAACGCGGGAATGCCTGAAGTGTGCTGACACAGTACAAAGCTTGTCCGAGGGAAACGTATTTTCACGAGAACCGCGGTGTATACTTCACCAACGCCTTTCCTCTTCATCGCCTTGGGTACTACTGGGAATGCGCGCTTCAATCTCCATTTGGTTTGCCACATCAATTCCTATTCTTCGAATCCTGCTGACAGCCAATAGAATGACCATTTCTTCATATCTCACAAGCATCAAATTGATGATGGACTACCAAACCTGGAAGATCAGGAAGTTAAAGATCTAGTACCTGACGACGACAACACGTCCAACTCTTCCGTAGTCAAAGCTTCCCCATTCATGTTTGAAAAGAGGAATACCTCGTCGCTATCCTTCTCCCAAGACGAGATCACCCAGTTGACCAAATTAAGCTCTGAGGTCCGCATCAGCTCTGACGTTCGTGCTTATCTCCATAATATCGTGGTCTTCATGCGACTTCATCGAGCAGTCGCGGGTGGTATATCCGCCATGGCCACGCGTCATTTCGATTTATTGTCTCAGTAAGTCCTTCTCGCAAGACCTTTGTAGGAACTATACTGATTGCCACATGAAAGTGCTCTGGCCCCTCTCCATGGTCTTACATATGTTACGCCATCACTTGTAGCATTGGCTGCTCGGAAGATCTACCCTCACAGGATCGGCCTTGCGTTGCCTTCGGCGGAGCGAAGTATGCAATGGGGCAGTTCGATCGAGGCTGTAAAGGCTGTATTGGGTGGGGTTACAGCTGAAGACGTCATTGAAGAGGTCCTGCAGTCCGTCGAAGCACCTCTCTGATGCTCCCAGCAGAGTTTACTGCAGTGCAGTTATGATGATATGAAGGTGACATAATCTTGATCGAGCTGACGACCTTTTCATTAAAAGTATCACCGTGCATATTTTCCCTGCTTGGGTAGCACTCGACAACAAGGCAACCAGCAATTACTCATATATGGTATTCGGTGAGAAAATAGATTGGCATCAACAATGAAACTTGTTGACATTACTTGCAGCTCTTCGAATCTTGGAGAGTGGAACTAAAGGGATTAGTAACCCGAAGTCATCAAGATAAGCGATCTGATTGGAATGAAGCTCAACCCCACCTTGCAACCCTCGGTGGCGGGATTTTCCGACCGCATTCATGATACAACTTCTACAAGCAATTACATTAGCTTACATTATCTCGATATACTCCTGCTTATTAGGGTACACCTGGCTTATTCAACAAATATCTATTGAAGCTACAATTGTCCCGACCTCGGTGTTATCTTCGTGTGTCACAATCGCCCCAGAATAGCTCAAGAAGCTCCAAGGTGATACTTTCTCCTTTGACCGCCTGTATCAAAATCGAGCCATGACGCAGGAGTCGGATTACTTCGATCATGTGGTGGACCTGGCACAGGTTGGTCCCCTGAGCATCTCTCGACAACAATGGATTCGCCCAAAGGAAATGCTAACATCCATGCTGAGGGTGATCGACCTGGACTCGAATTCGATGATCGGAGAGACAGTACAAGTAGCGATCGAGGGGACGCCTTAGAAGTATGCACATCCAATCGCTTTCTGCCACTCCCAATGGCCGCGTTCCCTTCACTACATTATACCATTTCTTCTGTTACTATTTGTCTGACAATACACCTATTGACAGGTAGTCTTTGAAGGCGACGCAGGCCGCCGTAGGAGATCTTCGATAGTCCGCGGCCCATCGAGAACAACGATACGACCCAATCACAAGCGCGAAACCACACAATGCTTCGTCCACACGCTGCTGGAGAAGTACGAAGGCGTCCCGGCGAGGGAGTTCAATGCCTCCTATGAAGGCCTCGCACAGGAGAAGCGCATCGACAAGGACCCGCACGCCCACGCCGAACAGGCGCAGTACTCGCGCCTCCTCACCAAAAAGCAGATTTCCGATATGGCATTTGGGATACGCGAGCTTTCGAAGAAGTTGTCACACATCCGACTGAAATTGCACGTTAAGAATGTGTTTATTCTGTCGAAGGCGTACGACGAGACTCTCATCACACATTCGAGGGAGGCGACGGAATGGCTTCTGTCGAAAGAAGATGGATATAGGGTATATGTTGAGAACACGCTGGAGAATAACAAGATCTTCGATGCTGCAGGGCTGCTGGAGAAGAATCCATCTTTTAAGGGCAGATTGCGATTCTGGGACAACAAACTGTGCGCCGAAAGGCCACAGACCTTTGACATTGTTCTCGCTGTAAGTTGCTCGTCTTTTCAATCGCAAAGAAGGCCCCGCTAACGTCCTCTAGCTCGGCGGTGATGGAACGGTCCTGTACGCATCATGGCTCTTCCAACGAATCGTCCCGCCAGTCCTTGCCTTCTCCCTCGGATCCCTAGGTTTCCTCACCAAATTCGACTACAGCTGCCATCAAGACACCCTCACGCGGGTCTTCGGGGACGGCATAACTGTGAGCCTTCGCCTGCGCTTCGAAGCAACTGTCATGCGGTCACAAACCCGCACCGACGGGCCCCGCGATCTTGTCGAAGAGCTCATCGGCGAGGAGTCAGAAGACCACCACACCCACCGCCCAGACGGCACGCACAACATCCTAAACGAAGTCGTTGTCGACCGGGGCCCCAACCCCACGATGTCGAGCATCGAACTCTTCGGCGACGACGAGCACTTCACGACCGTGCAAGCCGACGGCATCTGCGTATCCACACCCACAGGCTCCACCGCATACAACCTCGCCGCCGGCGGCTCCCTCTGCCACCCGGACAACCCCGTCATCCTCGTCACCGCCATCTGCGCCCACACCCTCAACTTCCGCCCCATCATCCTCCCCGACACCATCGTCCTCCGCGCCGGCGTGCCCTACGACGCGCGCACGAGCTCGTGGGCCAGCTTCGACGGACGCGAGCGCGTCGAGCTCAAACCGGGCGACTACGTCACCATCAGCGCGAGCCGCTTCCCGTTCCCGAGCGTCCTCCCGTTGGACAGGCGGAGCAAGGACTGGGTGGACAGCATTTCGCGGACCCTGCAGTGGAACAGCAGGCAGCGCCAGAAGGAGTTCAAAGAATGGAAGCAGTAAGGTCAGGAATATTGCTATGCCCCGTACCGTATATGGAAAACAACAATGCGTGCTCGCCCCCAGCAGGTTTATACATACGCTGGGTGGAAAAAGTGCCTCACAAAACCATATGATCCTCGTTAAATACCTTTTATTTTTATTCGCAATCGAATGAAAATCACTTATTAGTCCAATTCATCCCTCAAAGTAAAACACCTCCTCACCCCCCGCCCACCACCCAGCCCCATCCCCCGTGTTGCCCGCTAAGCTCCCCTTTGCGCCCTCGTTAGGCGACTCCTGCATCTTGTCTGTCATCCGCCACCACTCTTGCACCGTCTCGTTGGCCGCCATGCGCGCCATGTCGGCGTCCCAATCGCTGCCGACGTACTTGAAGGTCGCGTAGAGCGTGAGGCGGGGTTTGGTTATGAGGTTGATTGAATCTGATTGTTTCGTGACATTAGTAAGGGGAGGGGTGGGGGGAGAATGGAGGGGGTATGGAGGGGAGGGTGAGTTACAGTCAACGATGTTGGAGTCGCGGATCTGCTCGAGGACGGCGGGCCAAACGGCGGCGTGGCATTTTCTGTATTCGTCTATGCATTCCGGGCGGAGGTATACGATTTGGGCTACGCGGCGGGGTTTGGGGGATTGCGCCTGGGTGGTTGTTGAGTCGGCCATTGTTGGTGAGCTGTTAGTATCTGCGTTTTGGGGATTGTGAGGGTGGGTTGAGTGCAATTGAGGTGGGGTTTGGGAGGACGGGATTTCTATGAAGATGATTTTCAGGTTGTTAACTAATATGGCACGAGTAGCTAAGGTTAATAAGAAGTTAGAGAGCTAGATGTTTGTACGTCAGGTGGGATGAAGTGCCTCGGTAGGTCGGGGTAATTCAGAGCGAGCTCCATTTTGTGGAACTGCGTCTCTGACACAAGGTGATTGGATGAACACACATTCAAATAGTAGACTTAGGATGGAAGTAATGCTCGTGTATTTAATACTTTGCTCATTTTTGCTTTGTATGCTTCCTCTGGACAACTTTTTATGTCTTCTTTATTTTAGTAGCCCTATTGTAAAAGGCCCTTGTACGGATTTTGGCACAGTGGCTTCGAAACATGATATTGCAACCATCATCCGCCGTCATCTCCATTTCCGCCTGGGGAAAGGGAAAAACCAATTTGCTGTCCAGCCATAATGATTGAAAAAGGGAAAGCCACTCGAAAGATTGCCATTAGCGCTCACGATCCTTCAATTCGTCTGTTGCGCCTTTTATGCCTTGTGTAAAATCCTTGTTGATCCACTCCCAGTACTGGCTCCAGGTTCTGAGCTGCTGATTCTCTAGCACAGTGGCGTCTCCTCCGATCTGCTTGTGAAGCAGTACTGACACCTTTAAAACGCCCTTGATACCGTCTTGTATCTTCTCAATCTCTTGCTTGACGGCATTATCCTTGGGTTTCGTTGACAAAATTGTGCGGAAGTTGTGTGAAATAACCTCGAGACGACTGATTGTCTGATCGGGAGCAAGGACAGATAGCTTGGTGATCATGAGATTGCAAAGAATGCGAATGTCATGCTCGTCCACAACACCGGCAACAACGCGGTCGTAAGAATCAGAGACGTCGGCGGGCGACAGTTTCGTAAAAGCAGTTTCCAAGAGCGCATACAGGGTTTCGTACGCGCTCTTACGGATCTCAAGACCGTCATCAACCTTGTGCTTGAATGGACCCATTTGCACTTCACGAATAAGCTCGGGCTTGACCTCAGTCTCCCTCATTGCCAAGGGTAGCAACTGGTCGAGAGCAGGAAGAATGATGTCAGGCTTGTTGTGCATGGCCGAGTTGAACGTTGTTAATGCAAGGCGTCGGTTCTCGAGATCCTCCTCATTAAGCATCTTGACAAGCATAGGTACTACGATTGGCTTGAGATATTCGTCGTATGCCTCATCAGTGTCGGCAAGTGTATAGCGAAGGGCCGAGATGACCATGCCACGGACGCTGGACTTGCCATCGTTGAGGAAATCCTGTACATTGTAAGTTTCCAAAATTTCATCTAAACACATCCTCTTATCTTACTTGTAATTGGGGAAGATAATTCTTCGGATCGATGATCGCCAGTCTTCCAATGCACTCGGAGCCGATAGCCTTGTTATCCTCGACTTGAGCAGCAGCAATGAGATTTTGCCAGAGGGTTGATGCAAATGGTATGAGTTCGGCCTCCGTGCCTTCTTGTTGAAGGATCTCCTTGACAGAATGTAAGAGGAGGTACTGCGGACTGGATGGCTGGCCCATGGTAGAAAGTATGATCGGCAGATACTTAGGCACACTTCCAGCACCTGCACGGCCGAGTGCGACTGCAGCAGCCAGGGGGACCTGTTCCGACTTTGCAGAGAAATACTTGATGAAAAGGCGAGGGTCGATCGTTGATTGTCCGCCCAATCGAAGAGCAGATTCACCAAGGACAACCAGTGCAAGACACTTTCGCTTCTCATCAGTGGCAGTGTTAAGCTCAGTGACGAAGCTATCGACATTAACCGATACGGTGCTGCCACCGGAAACGAGCAGATTGCCAATCACCTTTCCAACTACTTCTGCGTGGCCAGAAACGCCAACATCTTGTAGCAAGGCATTCATCAGTGTTTGGCCAGCGCCTTTCTCGCCAACGGTTCGTACCAGTGCAAGAAGGGCTTCTAGCGAGCTGCCGCTGATAGAACCGCGAACCACGTTGCATAGAGACTTGTTCAGCTGTTCTGTCATGACCGACTGTGCATCATCTTTGACGAATGTTGCGAGGATGATGAGTGCGGGACCCAGGAGATGCAAATCTTCATAGCTGACCAAAGGCAAGAGAAGCTCCACAAGCTGTGCTTTGGTCTTGCTGTCTAATTGACTTCGTGATATCGGATTTAATGAGATGGTTCGTAGTGCGCTCAAGCTTGCACCCCGAAGAGCACGGCTAGCCTTGCGGAGCTGGGCACCAAGCTCCAAGGCGACGCTTCGAAGCCAGGTGGCAGGAAGCTCATCTTCGGCCTTCGTTAGGGCAACAATGGTATCAATGGCCCGCACGGAGGCAAGTCGGGTGAGCTCATTCTTCAGGCGGTCATGAAGTAGACCGAGGCCAGACGACCGTTTGTCGGGAGATAAAAGCCCAGTCGTGCCTGAGCTACGACCGATAAACAGGCCAAGTACGTGAATGGCGTTTTGCCTGACCTCGAGATCGGCATCGTTAGCAGAAATTCTGCTGATCAGAGCGTCGAAAAGCAGCTCCAGGTGTTCTTGATTGTGGTTTCCACCTGACTGGCTGCGGGGTGGGGTGAGAGTCTTGACTACTTGCTCCGTCGCGACTAAGGACTCGATTGATAGCTTGCTATACCTATCCTTTGCGCCAAGGAGAAGAGCAGGAACAATTTTTGCGAGATACGGCTGTATTGCTGCAGATGGATGGGTGTCGGCGATAGCACCAATCAATTGCAAGGCTTGAATGCGGAGGCTGTTCGCGGTCGTTGCTGTTGTTCCAGCAGACGAACCTCCAGTCAGTTTAGCGGCGTCGATGACGGGATCCGCGATCTGCTGTAAGTAGCCCTGGATGCCCCCACGCTGGGTGACAACAATGTCCTTAAGCAACACGACCGAGGCCTGCTTAGTAGGTGGTGTACTCGACGCCTTGAGCAGACTTGTCACGCCTTTCATAATTTCCGGATTGAGTTTTGCTAAGCTAGCCCTGGGACCTACGGGTGGAGTCCCAACCGGTGCTGGGGAGTCATATCCCAATGACAGGGAAGCGTTGGCATGAATATCGAACATACTAGCATCAGATCCCACTCTACGCCGTTTCTTGCTTGGTGGAGGTCCCATAGTGCCCTGGAGGTTTTGGTCCAAGGACAGTCCAAGTGGTATGGGCCCGTCTCCTGACTTCCTCACGAGGTTCGACAATGTGGACAAGACCTCGAGGCGGACATTCTCTTCACGCTCTTTGAACCTGGAGACCAGAGCTGGCGCCACCTTGTTGTACAAAGTTCCATCATCTAAGAGATCGGTGCGTGTCGAGATGAGTGCGTACAAGACCTTTGCGGCGCAGCGACGCACTTTCCAGCTTCCATCCTCATCATCGTCGAAGCCCTCCTCCTCCTCAAAGTCTTCGCCATCGAACATATCCTCCTCCTCACTGTCCATTGCATCGTCGTCGTCGTCCCCGTCGGTGGCAAGGTTGGGGTCGTACTTGAGGAGCCGGGTGGCGGAATCGATTGTTTCGTGCGTGTACAGACGCATGTCCTGTGAGCAAGACACCAAAAAGCTTTCTATGGCGATAAGAGCCGCTTCGAGGACTTCGTCGATCTCGGGATCTCGTTCAGCCTCATCGTCTGATACATCCATTTCTTCGTCCACTTCCTGTGCGCTCAAAGCACTTAGCACAAATGGCGCCAACGTCTTTAGATAGGGGCCGAATTTACGGGGGATCGAGCGTGCCATGGACCCTAGAATGGTGATGTATAGTTTTCGTTTGCTGCGAGTTAGGTGTACATCGCGGAGATGCTCAATGATCCGAGACAGCAACGCGCTCAAGGACTCGGAGGAGAAGTGTGCAGAAAGAATGGAGAGCGCCGTGACCGCCTTCTTCTTCATCATCGAGCTTGCCTTGTCACTCTCGAGGATTTCGAATGTAATCTGTTGTAATCCTTGTATTTCTGCGTCCTGTAGCAAAGGACCAAAACATCTCGCAATCTCCGTCAAGACATCGATAGCATTGCTATCAGTCCCATTCTCCAAGTCGGTCGGCAGCATACCCTTCGGGAGGTTTGGGACCTCCTTCCGAGGCGGGATAACATGTCGACCAAGCAGGCGTGGGATCAGAACTCTACTAATCGCGCCATAGGCGTCTGTGACATCTCGCGAGCGAGCGATGCCGGGCACCGGACGTGGGAGGGAAACGACGACCTCTCGGAGGGCAAGGGAGGGTATTGACTGATCGACGGCGTCATTCGTCTGGATGTTTGAGAGCTTTTCGAGCATGGGGCTGAGTATCGATTCGGGTATGCGGTTTACGAAGGGTCCAAGGCATTTGATAGCCATGTTCTGCACCTCGCCATTTGAGTCCACCAGGGTAGCCAACAAGCCTTCTACCGTCTTTGTACAAGTCGCAGACTCATGGTGTAGAAAACCCGGGTGGCCAATCTTGAGCATCTCCTGGAGATCACTCAGGGCCATGAAGCGAAAATCTGGGTCACTATCATATAGTTTCCCTAGAAGCTGAGACACATTGGTGGCTGTGGGGTTTATCGAGACCGACGAGGGCGCCATTTTGGATGGTTGGACACCTTCAGAATGGTCTGTTTGCGGCGAAGAAGCTGTGCGGATATAACGAAGGGAGGACGCTAAATGAATTTGATTGTGAGATACACGGGATGGTGTGGTTATTGTTGTTATTGTAGTGGTGGTAGTGGTGGTGATGATGATGGTGATGGCAGTAGCAGTGAAGGCGGTGGAGAGAGGTAGTGTAGTGGTGGGGGGGTTGCTGTGCGGGAAGAGTGGGGTGTGAGCAGTAATAGCTACAAGTACCTACCTTAACCAAGAGCTTGAGGTAAAAGGAAACAGATATGTTTCCTTTTGAATGAATAAGCTTTATAGGCAAGCCATGAGCCAGGCTGCCGTCCGTTTTAAGGTAGAGGAAGAAAAAGTAAGAAGGGAAAGGCGGTGATGGAGAGAGAGAGAGAGTTAGTGAGGTTGATGGTTGATGGTTGATGAGTTGATGGATTGGGAGCTGCCTGTTGCCTATGGAGTTGATTCGGTTTAATACCGGTAATGAAATCAGATTAGATGAGTTTATCTTACGGCCTTACCGAGTCGAGCTTAGTCTCTGTTGAAAAGAAAAAGAAGCTTGGGCCATCCGGCTGACGTACGGGGAAATGACATGATCAATCATCCATCCAAGGCACACGCACGTCACTTCTCTCCCAATTCTTCTCATCTTCATCTACCTCGTATTATCCATCCATCCATCCGGATCTTCCATCTTCAACTCAATTGCTCTTCGTCCGGGTCAATTGCCACTCTTTCACATTCATAATGGTTCTCCCCCGATCAACGGCCTTCCGCGCCGCCTCAATCGCCCGTTTGGCCCGTCCCGCAAGGTCCTTCCGCACTGCAGAGCTCCAGCCATGGCAGCGCATGTGGCAGCAATCCAGCCGTAGGTCCTACGCTTCTGCGCATGGCGCACACGGCCCAGCGAAGAGCAGCGACTTGCCATGGTAAGTAAAATTAAGATGGAAATGTCGAATCTGGAGTAAATTCGGATGGTGATGATCAATGATGATGATGCTGATGCTCATCCTGGTGGGGCCCTTTGCTAATTCCGGAAACAGGGCAGCTAGTGGAGGCATCATGACCGTCCTCGGACTCTACATCGTCGTCACCCAGGACACCGGCAGTGGTGAAGGCCATGGTGACCATGGTGATCACCACGAGGAGAAGCACGATGAGGCACCTGCAGAGGAAGCCGCCGAGGAGCCCAAAGAGGAGCCCAAAGAGGAGCCCAAGGAAGAGAAGAAGGAGGAGAAGAAGGAAGAAAAGAAGGAGGAGAAGAAGGACGACAAGAAAGAGGAGAAGAAGGACGACAAGAAAGAGGAGAAGAAGGAGGACAAGGAAGCGAAAAAGGATGAGAAGGCTGCCGACCCTGCCAAATCGGACAAGGTATTTCCCATTCATCGCTGGCAAAAGCCTACTCGACTAACAACCTCTAGCCCGACGCATCGAAAGAGAGCAAGAGCTCCAATGAAACCTCTGGCAAGCAGCAAGGCCTCTCCAACGATGATACCGGTCACTCTACTCCTGTTTCCGAGAACCCAGAGAAGAGCTCCAAGGGTGAAGGTGTTGCCGAGACCGCAAAGCTCAAGGGTACCGTTTCCAGCGACCGACCCCAGGTTAGTGATCCCCCGAGTAGCATGCATCTTATGTACATATCTAATCATTCCCCAGGCCGAGAACAAGGACGAGCGTGGCAAGTCTGAGTCCGACAAGAACTAAATCATCAATGCCGCAACACCTATACTCCACCCTTTGTAGCCATTATTATGAGTCGGTCGCCGTGGAAAGCTGCCGACTCTTGTACAGTGTAACGCATCCAACATCTTTAATGCCACCCTCACGCTTATCCACATCCAAAATGTGATGGTCCGTTTTGCTTTGACTAGTTGTTGTAACTGCTGCGAGTTGCGATGACTTGGAGATTCATTTACTCCATACTCCGTACATGCGTTCGACGTGATGTCAAACCCCTGATGATTGCTATTTTTACCGCCTCAGCTATACTCCGTACAACGGCAGGCAATAACGCAGGTGCAAAACAAGTCGCAACAGTCGCCACCTGAGACAGTCGCGCTGCTAATGCTAGAAGAAAGATACTCGCTAGGAACTGAGTGAACCACCATGCATACAGTTTGACGCACTGCTGCTCTTGTCGATCGTTGAATCGTCATTCTTCCCACCAGGGCAGCATCGCAGTTGAAGGATTGAAAGAGAGACGTGATTTGAGATGGTGATTGGCGCAACAGATGCCTGCAAGGGCCAATTGGCTTCTGGCTGGGGCGGCGTTGTTAAGCGCCCGGCATCTAAGCGGAACCTCCACCACAGCCCCGTCACACCTCAACTACGCCGTCAATTGGTTGCTATTTGGCTTCACCTTGAATGCCAACATGCATTTTGGCGATGAGGCTGATCAGCGGCGGGAGCTCTGCGATTTCCTTTGGTCAACTTCTCCTGCTGGTGGCCAGATACGAAGCACATCACTGAAGCGGCCAACCACCGTGGTCACTCAACTGTGGATCCCCTGGGCGGCGTTCTTTTTGCTGGAGACATGGTGGTCCTTTTGCAGTAGTTATGCAGAGCTGACGAGATGACAGGAGACAGTTAATACCCCTCGTCACCCCAGATTGAACCTCCTGCACCTCAGGAGCTTCTCATTTTGCATCAAATATACAGCTTTGCATTGTTTTTAGATCGCGTTGAGATTTGCTTACAGTGGCCATTCGCGAAACAATTCTTCTAGGAGCCTTCTCCACGAGGTGCTAGAATACATCTCTACTCCCTCCTCTCATGAAGGTGCAATTGTGAAGTTAGCTATTGAGTCTCTGGAATACCGATATATATTATCCGATATGGATCCAAATCATTACAACCAAACACCTCAGCATCCTCAGATTCGAAACCTCCAACGGCAACACCAACGATTCTCATGGCAGGATCCTGCGACTGCTAGTAACGATGATCACCAGGTCTACCAACAGCCTCAGCAGCACCAGCAGCAACAGCAGCAACAGCAGCAATCACAGTCTCAGGTATTTCAGCAAAACGAAGTACAGCAACTACTACAGATCGATACCAACCCGGCCACGCTCAATCGCGGTTTCTCATATGCGCAGACACCGATAGAGCACCGCGCATTCCACTACTCGCCACATGAGCCTCTCCCAAATCCTCTCGATACCGCTGTCGGACAACATCCTCAAACGCCACACGGCCAAGTAGAATCAAAACATCCACAAAATATTCATCCTCACGAAAAACCACCCGCATATGAAACCACCAATGCTGTGGCCCATCAGCAGAACACCCATGGTCACCATGGCCATGCATCATTCACGCCCATATCGTCGGAGGAGCCACTACAGGTACAAACAAACGTACCCATGCAATCACGACATGCCCGTCAACGAAGCAATCTGTCTCCCATCAACACAAATGTATCATCATACGCCGCACCACCACCGCCAGTCCCATCTCTACCAGCCGGTCCACTCCCGCCCAAGAGCGCCATTACGCCCATCTCGCCAGTCGCCATCAAGCATGACCCCAACGATTTTTCCAAACCTACATCTCCCATCACTCAGACTGGCCCGATGGGTGAACCGTATACACCCCATGGTTTCGAACGCAATCCCGTATTCAGCCCCCACGCTGCACATGGACCTAATGGACTCGACTTCGCCCTCCATCAACCCGGTCAAGTTTCTCATCCAAACATGGACCTCGCTGAGAACGGCGCAGGTAAGAAGTGGAAATTCGGCCTCTTCTCCTGTACCCCTGGTATTTCAGATTGTATGACGGGTCTATTCTGCCCCTGCATCATCTATGGCCGGACGTCCTACCGTCTCTCGCAGAAATCAAACAAGAAGGATCCCACGGATCTACTCAGCTATAGCGCGACAAACGGCCATTGTACAGTCATGGGCGCTGCCTGTGGTCTGTGGTGGCTTTTTCCAACTTTGCAGCGGATGAAGATCCGCCACATGTATAAAATCGACGGCAGCTGTATCGGTGATTTTGCAAGAGGTTGTTGCTGCTGTTGCTGCGTTGCCGTCCAGAACGAAAGAGAGGTCAGGGAGAGAGAAGAAAAGACGAGAAGGTTGGCGGGTCCTGCGAGCGCAAATGTGTATTCGAGCGTTGGAGGTATGGTGTATAAGCCGCAGCAGTGAGTTGCAGAACAAAATTGAAGTTGATACGAGGAGCGTTTGAATGCATTTGTACAGCGCAATCATCGGCATTACACTCACACTCTTTTACGATACCCATCTCCATTTGTTTCATTGTATTACTTATGAGTATATAGAGATTCATCATCGCGATGCAATAACTCAACGCAGTTTAAGGGAGCCCAAATGAACAAGATCTTTCATTGATATGCATATTCCGTATCGAATAAAAGGGTTCGTCGTGGATTCCATGCTATTGCAAACTATTTCGTTTTCCAAGATCTTCGAAAATATCGTCGTCCGTATCTTCTCCGTCTTCATCGGGTGCTGAGTTCAAGACTGTGAAGGAATCATTGGAGTCACTGGAGTCACCACCATTCTCCTCGCCTGTCTGGTTCACGTCTATTCCTCCTCCCTCTTCGTCATCAATCTGGATATCGGCTTCTCTTTCCTTGAGTTGGGTCTTCAACCCATCCAGGATCACCTCCAATCTCGCTTTTAGATCCGCATTCCACACCTGGACCAATTGGCCCTCCATCTCATTGATCTTAGTCCGTAGTTCCTCGGCGACAGGATCCTCTTCCTCCTCTTCATCATCCTCATCTTCTTGATATCTCGATCCGCCAGGTCCGGCCTCGACTTCAATATGCCTGTCGTAGTGCTTCGAAAACTCTGTTGCCATTTTCCTGTTCGCTATCGCGAAGACCACTTCCTCGATTGAATCCCAGCTCTCTTGCAGACTACCTTTTCCCTTCTTCGTCCCGTCGCTACGAGAAGATCCATCAATAATGCTCCTCCAAGCCCGTGCAATGTCCCTGACTGGATTCCCATACGCACCACATCCCCAAGCCCCCAGCACAATTCTCTTCACCCCCTTCGCACATGCAATTCTCAAAACCGCCCGCATCTTCGCCTCCACCAACTCCCTATCCTTCTTCCCCAACCGTCTCTCCTCTTCCTCTCCATCTCCCTCCAAATCCGGAAATCGCAGCATCCCGGCAGAAACAACATCGATCCAGTACCGCCCCGCAGGCCCCAAGTCACCGCTCGCTTTCCCCAGCGACGAAGAGTCACGGAACACTAAGACGTCGTGCGTGTAGATCCCCCCGATCTCAGGCAATCTGTAGAACTCCTCCTTGAGCGATGGGAGCAGCGTCGTTCGCGCGCAGAGAAATTCCTCCTGCGACGTCGCGCCCACGAGAACACCGCCACCCGGACGAAGCGGTGATGCCATGTTCAAAACCATCGGATTCGGTTGCTTCTTCTTCTCGCCTGAGGCCTGCGTTGATAGCATCTGCGCGGCGGTCAACGTGTCTGTCGCAACGACCCTCACGACCCTTTCACCCTTCCTCTTAACCAGTATCCCATCCAAAGAAAGCTCCCCAGTCGCTTCATCGACCGAACCACCCCTCTTCCTCCCCTTCCCACCACCAGCACCGCCTTTTCTCTCCTTCGCAGAAGAATCCCCATCACCGCCCTTAACCTTCCTCCTCCCCTGCCCCTTCCTCTTAACATACCCATCCCCCTCAATTTCGTCTTTCCCGTCCTTCTCTCCATGACTACTATGACCGAGATTCGGCCCCGGATCAGCAAACACCGCACTCCCATCCGCGCCGCGCCGCGCCCGCGCACTCGACGCCAGAAGCGAGGGAATCACTTTATTGACGACGTGCCTTGCTTGTTTCGCGCGGACGTCTTTGCGAATGGAGGGCGGTGCGAGGCCTTGTGATTGCTGGGTCCGTCCCATTTTGTTGCGTCTTTCTTGATCAACTCAGCTCTTTACTTGGCCGATTTGCTCATCCACGACAGTATAGGAAATAGTTTATGAGAGATAGAAGAGAAAGGTTAGTGTTATCGTGGGAAGCACATCACCGAAATGTGAAGGCAATTCTGGTTGGTACCATGATGGATTATGGTTCGAATGACGATGAGATCAGTGGGGCTTTCCTTCGTAGCTGGTTATCGATAAGGAACTTTCGCTGCGCACCCTATTGTACCTTTCATCATCTTCACCTCCTCGCCTATCTCAGCTTCACATCAACGACTCCACCTTTCGTGACTCATCTCTACCATCTTCTCCACCCAAATTTGCAGTCTCTTTTTTTTCTATCTAGTTCATGTGACTTTCTAGCAGTTGTTGGACCCTCAAGGCGTCCCGAGCCGAGCCGACCGGGGCGTCAGCCGTCAGCCGTCAGCCATCAGCCACCGGTGAAACGAATAGGTTGGCTGCGGCAGTGTACGATGGGAAGTGCATTGATGGGCCCTGTCCCTACCCGCGTCTGCTCGTATGTTTCTGTGCCGCGTTTCAAAGTTTGATGCAAGTTTGCAGGTGAGGGGGCGCATGGGAGGGTTTGGGGAGGTGATTGGCTGTGCTGATCCAGGTGAGGGCAGTGAAGATATTGGTGATCGGAAGAACCTCATGAACGTAGAGTCATCGTCGTCGTTCTTGAGGTGGGGGAATTGGTGGGTTGAAGATGATGCTGTGTTGAGGGGATGCCGTCAGTACTTTACACGATGATATGTTCAATCCTTTCAGCCGTTATAACTTCGCTCTCCGGAATTGAACACTTTGAATTCATTGTACGAAGAGCAATCGGCGTATCCAACCACATGCTAGATGTACAGCCTCAACTCGTAGTATGCGCCCATATCCTTGGCAACTTTCTATGTTACAGTGCGGTGATACAGGAACCAGCTGGTTCGTGGTGTTGGCTGACGGTTAGAGACCCTAGCGTGGCGATTGTATAGCCGCACGAGTAACTACCTAGGTAGAGTAATTGCTATTTTTGCCATCTTACAATTTTTGTCCATCTTTGAAGATATTGGATGTTCTCAGAACGCAAAACAACACCAAAGTAGTCGGGCAAAAAATGAATTTTTATCTAATAAACCACCCGAGGGAGGTACACAACGATTCTTCGCCCCCTAGCGTAGCATAGGCGATCGTTCGAGCATTGCACACAAAACTGCCCCATACGTTCTCTAAGTCTATTGTTCCTCCAGAAATGAGAGTCTGAACACAGCCGAGAGAGGTTGGGGTCCAAAGCCCAATAGATTCCCTCTAAGCCTCGCAAGATCAACGCTTGGCTCCCCTATGCGGTAGAGGAACTCCACCATGCCTGTTCCTAGGCCACCTACCCAACATCAACAAAGTCCGATGGGGAAATGCAATACAGCGATATCAAGAAATGTGGACACCTTAGCTTCGCCGGGCCAGGAGGGCAGAAACAATCGGATCCGATGTCTTCCATACGTCAGCCCGCGCAACTCGCAGAATGCAAGAAAACTCCTGATCCCTCTCCTTCTGCCTGCTCTTCCTGCATTCCTCTCTCACAGTGTTATGGGGGGCCCTGATGCGCTGACTTTTGCTGGAAGATGAATGTAGGTTTAGGCTGAACACCATTGAAATCCGCGGGGAATGTATACTAATTGGGTCGGATTAGGACCACTATCGCGAAGAGCCAGTTGTTGGCGAAAAGGCAGCTGTCGACCAAGATCTTGAATCCGGAAAGCCATCATGTTCAGACCTACCGGAAGCTCTACCATACGCGCAGGATTGCGAAAAACATCTGGCCGATCCTGACCGTGGAGCAAAAGATTCAAACCTGGGTTGTTTATCGATATCGCGAAAGAAATTCTTCCTTGGTCTTGCAATCGCCATCGTTCTCATCATTGTGACAGTCGTAGGTGCTGTAGTAGGTGTATTACAGAGTCGGAGTTCTTCGACACCACAGAAGGTCGAGGCAACAGTTACCCCAAATACAACAAATACAACAACCCCATCAGGCCCATCGGTGCAGGATTCCATAAACGCCACGAGCTCAAGAATAGGAGACAACTCAGGATTAGCCATTACAGGATGGAGGGAAGCTTCAGGGTTCAAAGCACGGCTTTTCTATCAAGACGGCGATGGTTATCTCCGCATCGTAGCGATGGACTCTGCAACAAATCAATGGTCAGAGGGAAGTCCTTTTGCAAAGGCGAAACTTGGAACCCCACTCGCAGCATCGACTCATAATCGTTCAATATACGATCCTACACGAACAGACTACCAGGTACATGTCTACTACCTAGACGACGATTCAAAGATCAGAGAACATGTCTTCGATCAGAATGATAATACCGGAGCGGATGGCCCTTTGAGCAAACTGAACATGAAAGCCAATGCTAAAAGCAGATTGGGTGCGTACTGGCCATCAGTTGCCTTCCAGGACGAATCCAACATCATATCCGAGGCGCGCTTCAATTGTACCGGTGTCGACTCAACCACAGACTGTTGGGCTGGCCATAGCCTCAATATTCTCGCCCAAGAACAGTCACCAATCGCCCAAGTACCACGGGGCAGACGCTCAGGCCTTCTTTTGTACTTTCAAAGAGAAAATGACAAAGACCTCATAAACTACTCCTGGGAGAACACCACTGGCACCTGGGTAATCGGTATGTCAAGTATAGCACAATCATGCACAACTCCTGAAATACTAACAATAACCTCCAGACGAGTACGAACAGGCCGTCCCTCCATCAGTCCAAATCGCCGCCCTGGCCACGGCCCGGAACAAAGATTCGGACGCCAACAACCAATGGGTCCTCTACCAAGACACCTTCGGCAAGATTCAATACAACTACCGCACGGGACCACAAGGCGGACACAAAGGCTGGAAAGCGCCACAAACATCCGCTGTCTTCGATCAAGCAAAGAATAACACGCCTTTGGCCTGTTTGCATCAGGCAAGCTCGGACGATCTCCCGATGGAGTATGGGGAGGATATGCAGAGGTGCTATTTTGTAGACAAAGAGGGGAACGTGATTCAGGTTTACTGGAAAAATGAAGGGTGGAATTCTATGGGAATCGTGCCGAGCCCCAGCCAAGACGAGCAGGTCTCTTGATAGATGTACATTTTTGGGCTGTATTAGATATGTAATGACTTCGGTAAAATATTTCAAAATGTAAGAAGGCGTAGACATGTGACATGACGCATGCTTTATTGATCCTTTATGTTCACGAGGAAGCAGGTCACGATACGAGGCTAATTCTGTCTAGATTCCTCCCCCGACAACTCCAGTACGAAATGCAGTTTGAACCCGCGGAGGTACCCGAATGACAACCCGACACCTCCAGAACATTCGACTTCCTCGTGACAAAAGAGGCCACGATCAAATAATATCATTTGCAATGTTTGCTCAACCGAGGATGATCTCCAAACTCAGCACAGGCTACCTCGATGCTCAGTTGGTACTGCATCGCAGAATACACCGCAGATACAAGGCCAAACGCGAGACTTAAAAACGCAAAAACGAACGCCCATAACGCTACCAACTGGGTAAAATGCTCTCTCTTATTTCTTCTATCAAAAAGGAAGTGCCACCAATGCGTTGTCGGTCCGTTGTAAATGTCCAAAATGTGCTTGAGTCTCTCCCCATACATCGGATAATCCGACAAATCCAGATTGCGAAGTCGGAATAATTCGCGGTGTACCTGCATTCCCTCCTCCTTCTTCAAGAGATCCATCGTGTCGCTGCTAAATGGCGGGAAAAGCAGGTTCAATGTGTCGAGGATCTCGTGTAGAAACTCCCGCTTGTAAGCACTCTTCTCTTCGTCGAAGGTGCGGATGAGTAACTCGATGCATTGAGGGTCATCGTAGATGCAAAGTACTCTGGTATCGTCGAACACAGCGAGTTTCAGATGTAATTGCAAATCTTTGATCCAAACGATCTGGAGTCCGTGGTATTTGACTAGATTCGCCATCGTGAATGCGTGTGGCAGAGATCCCTGCATGGCCACCGACGAAGGACGAAGCTGCCGCACCATATTCGCATGGAATGATAAGCCGATGTCCCAGTAAATCTTCTCGCCAAAGTGTGCCCGGGATTTCGAGATGCTTGTCGGTCCAAACTGCGCGACCATTGAATGGTACCAGTATGCGATCGCCTTTCGAAAGATCGCATAGCAGTACTCATCTTTCCTCGCTGGATCTTTGCTCTTCCATCTTTCGAATGCTACTTTTAGCGGCCACTCCTTGGCTGACCGTAACTCCTCGATTGCATCAACGATATCTTCCTCCGCCTTAGATTGCGACTGTAGATGTCCATAGAATCCCAAATCGCTTGGATGTATGTGCTCCCTCATACGAGCGATGTGCGTTTGGATGTCTAGCATTATTTGCTGCCATGCTGGCGACTCCGGCTGTTGGTCCAATACAATAGGAAACAATGCGACTGCAAGTTTATCATGATGTAAATCGGGTATATTTACTCTATTTGCCGTCCGTAATGGAGTAGTGGGGCGATATGAGTCTTTTTCAATATCGGCTGCTGGGAGAGAATCCATGGCTATCGGGAGTCAGTACTCGCGGCACTCTAACGAGGACTTGCACAAATGACACGTTGCTTGATATCAGCAAATAAACAAGATACACTGATAGCACGACTTTTGAGCACGACTTTTGAGCAGGCTACTGCAGTCAGAAAGGAACGAGGAATTTCACTCGACGTGTCGGGAGAGGCTGAGTGTGTAGAATTCGAAGCGCATGGACTGCCACGACTGCTATACCCCTGCAACCCCATCCAAAGTTGCGGCCAACCAGAGTCATGGATTCTGAACCTATATGCTTGATGCTGTGAGATTTCAATCGGTTCTTGTTATTGTACTTGGCACGTTTTGTACTGATGCTCAGTGCATCCAGTCGCTGGGATAACGCTGTAAATGAATGCAAGGATTCCTTCAAGCTAGAAATCGCGACATATGGATTTATGATTATGAAGATATGGTCAACCTGCAATGGTGTAAAACTTAGAATTTTAGCAATGAATTAATTGTTTCACACCGCAAAACACCTCTTTTGATGTATGATCCAGTCATTTCAATAAAATGCTAGTTGGTTTCATTATTAATAAAAAGGCTGTATGACTAGGATAGGAAAATGAACGTTCTCCAGCTAATTCAATATTCCTGCAAATAGCACCAATTGCCGCAGCAACACTGTTGCTAGCTCTTCGATAAACCTCTACAGCTTCAATTGAAACTGTGGATTTGTCCTGATTCTCCCACCATACTTGTAAAAGAACCATGGTAGAGGACACATGATCAAAGCAAGGAATCCCAGCAACGAATTACCCCAACCCAGGCCCAGAGCTTCGTACATTGATGTCCCGGCGAGTGGTAGCACAGCTCCGATGAGTGAACGCGTTGCGGCTCCCGCCGCAGCAGCTGAAGCTTCGTAGAGTGGGTGTGCATCGATAAGGTAAGTCATTGCGCACATCTGAGGGAGTAAAATTAGTTTGGGACTGGAAGATGCAATGGTGCTTAAGATTGCTGTCAAGACAGCGATTGCAAGATAATTGAATGAAGACTTACAATGAGAGTGTTTATCCCCATCCCAACGAAAACTGTGCCCAATATCGGAACGACCCAGTGTGTCTTCGCCTCGGCAGCCCATCCATACCAGAACAGACCAATCGGCATACAGAAACAGACAGGAAGGAGGGGAATCAAACGATGTTCAGGGTTAAGTTCCCGGCCCTTGCGAATGACCGACTTTGCAGTGTGATCCATGACGAAACCAACGATAGGTACGCTTATCCCTGATCCTACGCCTAATCCAATGTATACAAGACCTATTGAACCTGCGGAAAAGCCATACCTGTTCCGGAAGACGGTGGGAAATGTGGTGAAGAGAAGATACAGGTACCCGTACATGACGCCCTGATAGAGCGAGAGTAGCGAGACAATTGGTGAGAGGAAAAGAAGCCGGAGTGGACGAATAATGGAGCGAGCAAAAATCTGGGCTGCATTTCGCTCGGGTTTTGCGGCAGCCCTGAGGCTAGAATCCCCAGTTTCCTTTCGTAAACGAGCCGCTTTTCGTTGAAGTAGGATGAGGGGATATGTTTCTTCTTGAAAGATGAAGGCGACCACTGCACCAAAACCTGCTGCGATGGACAATGTCCAACATATCCATCGCCAGCCAACTGTTTCGCCCATATATCCACCAGCGATAGGCCCAATGATAGGACCCAGGATCACGCTGATACTCCACAAGGCTATCACTTTGCCTCTATTGAGAGGTTTAATGAGGTCACCTAGAGTTCCTGCGCCCACCACGAGTGGGCAGCCACCGAACATCCCAGCCAGGAACCGAAACACTATCAATGCAGGTAATGAAGGTGCAACGGCAGTAGCCACATTGAAAACAACGAACAAAGCATTACAAACCATATAAACGGGAAAGCGACCATGCATCTCGGAGAGAGGAGCAAGAAACAGTGGACCTACGAAGTACCCGAGGATCCAGACGGAGACAGAGAAGGAAGAAAGAAGTGAATTGGTGGAATCGAAAGATTTTGTCACTTGCTCAATCGCGGGTGCAAACATAGTAGAGCCGAGTGGGCTAGAAGGAATAGCATTTTTAGCTGATTCAATCGTCAGGAGTGCTAAGTGTGTTTACAAACTTACGTCAAGAACGAACAGTATACTAATGGAGCGATGTTCTTAACTTTCCTCGCATTGCTCCAGTTTGACGGCTTGAGAGGGTCATTGTCATCGTCCCATCCAACAAGGCACTCGGATTCTGACCTATTGACGTTATCGAAGTCTGGTTCTCCATCTGTTTCGAGGTCTGATCTGTGGTTCATCTCTTTATCTCGGTTGGTCGAATGTGGCATTCCCATCGTTACTGAGTCGGTCATTCTTGTAGATCTTCAACGGGCAAAAGATGCAATTTCAAACAATTAATAAGTCAAGTCAAACTTCTTTTAGATGTCTGAAGTACACGACATAGTATGAAGTAAGGACAGGCTAAGTGAATAACGTTATGGTTGGCCATTAAATAGTCCGCATTCCTCGCTTCAGTCTCCCGGGTTAGTTAGCACTACTATGTAATAACGTTAAGATATATGATTCGAAATTGATTTGATTTCGTGATATAAAATGGTGGGAATCAGGTTGACCTTGGACAGATTAAAGGTGCGTAAGCCAGCCACCAAATCGGGTGCATAGAAGGTCTGACCATCTCTAGGACCAATAAGCAGGTCTATCAGCTTGGCAGCAGAATATCAACACATCATATCCAGTGTACGCCCTTCTTTTTTCGAATCATTAGATTCAGTTTTCGTCAGAGAAGGGCGCGAACACTAGGTTTTTGTACTTTGTGACCGCCAGTGTCTTCCTAGCTTCATTGATTGCCAGTCAGCTTACCACACGTGATGATCGGGATATTGTGTTTGAATCGCTTTTGTCACTGAGATGGACAGACCAGGCCCACCCAATTACTCTGGAGAATGTTTTCTATAGTCGGAATTCACTCTCTTTCCCATTCCAATGCCAATTCTGGTGCTGTGCACGTGTTCGACACGTGCTGGTTCGGACGTGCTCCGAAAGGGGAAACCCGCCGTCTCGCAACCGTCGCGGGCCGCTCGACCCTGATGGAAAACCTTAAAGCAACGTACGTTTCATTCACCTGGATCGTCCTGCTGCCAAGTTCGGAGTATACATGTAAATAGTGAAAATGTTGAAAGATGTTTGGAATTTGAAACTATCAACAATACTATTCGTGGAAGTGCCTTTTTCGTGGGAGAGTAACCCTGTCAATGAAATGCTCGGGATTGTTAACCGATGAAGCAAGGTTTTTGCACGGACCGTCAACGGCGGGAACTCCTCTCTTCGTCCTTCAGGGAGCGACAACAACGTTTCTCATCCTTATGTTACTCATTGAAGGAGACACACGAGACAAAAGACGACACTGATTGTGTTGGTGCTTCTAGAGGCATCGAGCCAACTATATAGCGCTGTCGCTCATTGTCGAAGTGCCACTCATTGCCCACCGCCAATCCCCACATTTCCCACATCCGAGCTCAGCCGCAGACATTTTTTCCAAGCCAGCTCGCATTCGCTTTCTCATTGCTCGCGATCGCCTGACGGCTATTCGACAATCCAACCGCATCGACCAAACGTGGACCGATTAAGGAACCACTTGTAGCATCGGGACAGTCTTGGAAACCGAAGAACGTCTCTCATTCGTTCAATGCATCAAATCTTCCGAGCCGCCGCTTGAGTGACTTACACACGGTCCTCAGATGCCTCGTCTTGGACATAAGAAATCCAGGAATGGTTGTCGACAATGCAAGGCCAGACACGTCAAGGTGAGTCTCGCTCTCGGTTTCGCATTGTTGTTGGATATAAGACTCTGCATAGTGAACAGACATACATGGACGTCAAGAATGATAGATCATGGCGCTAATTTGCTCTCAGTGTGACGAACTCAAGCCTTGTTCAAACTGTTCGAGACATGGAGTACTTTGCAGTCTTATAGACCCGAATTCCGGCCCTCTAGTCCCTCCACAAGTAAAACGCGAACCGAGCACGGCATCGCAGAACAGAAAAGCCAAAGCGGAATCAGAGCCCAGTCAAAAGGTATGATAACGCCTCATTTGACTTACATGCCATGCTAATGACATATAGACCTCTTCGGAACAATCGACTCCTGCATCTGGCCTTCCAATCGACTATGTACTCAACCCATCACCGTCTGCAACTACAGGAACATCAGAAAGTGACTCACCCTCGTCTGATCCTTTCCCATACCTATCGAAATTTGTCAATAAGAGCGATGTAATTCAACCCAATTACTGGGTTCGAGACTTGGAGTTGATGTATGGACGTCCTTTTCGTATGATGTATGAATGTTGACATTTATGTCTAGGCATCACTGGGTCACCGAGGCTCATCTGACCGTATCCCCGAGAGAGGACATCGGTCATATGTGGCGAATTCTGACACCTAAACAAGCAATAACCCGACATTACCTGATGCACGAGTTACTGGCGTTTTCTGCGCTTCATATAGCATCTACGCAGACAGACAAAACAAAAGCATTCTACGGATTGGGTATTCATCATCAAGACCTGGCTATTAGGTCGATGAGAAAGGTCCTCCCCAATATGACAGTTGAAAACGCCGGCGCACTCGCGGTAACATCAGCATTGCTCTGTTTGACAGTTTTCTCTGCACGAGGGCTGGAATCAGCGTTATCCACGAACGAAGCGACCTCCAAGATCACTGTCGTTGACGATCTGCTCGACATCTTCTATCTAATGCAAGGTATTGGAAGTATACTCTGGAGGGGAGCGGGCGCAATTGCTCAGGGTCCCTTCGCAGCTATGCTTAACCGGCCCCTGAAGGATATGGCAGCTCCGCCCCTTCCCATACTCGAGGATACGAGAGTACAGATCGAACATATCACTGCGTTCATCGGTACACAGGATTTACCCGCCGCCGAAGCTGCCACAGTCAAAGCCGCACTCGGAGGTCTTGAGGCGATGAGGCAATACGCTCTTAGTGCAGAGGACAGCATAGAGATCCGTTTCGTCTTCGTGACCGTGCTCAAATTTTCCCCTGATTTCCTCGAATTGTTCCGCACGCGGCAGAGCTCTGCACTCGCAGTAATGAGCATTTACGCCAACTTACTAAAAGCCTCGGAGGCTACTCTATGGTTCATGAAGGGGTGGGGTGAGCGTCTCATCAGAACGATAGGCGAATGTATTGATCCAATCTGGCAACCTGCTATACAATGGTCATGGGATTATATCATCATTACGCCGCAGGAAGGATCTACACAACCGTCCCAGTCTCAGCTACAGCCGCCGCTGAATGGACCATCGGATGTGCTGGTGGATGGCTCACCGCACGGCATGCAGGAACACGCAGTAGATTGACACTAGATCTTCCAAGTCAAGTTGTGCGCTCCACACTCTGTGGCATTCCTGTTGTTCATAATGGAACGAGGCTGGGATCAGCTGTATATCTTGCTTCGGATACGCATATGCACGTACTATGGACCGGCGAGTACCAGGGTCGCTGCATTCGTATCCGCTTTGAAAGTGATAGCGGTAGATCAGTTCCTGTTGCTGAAATATACCGATCATATATGTCTGAAGAAGGCAAACGATATTTCGAGACGAATGCGGGTATTTATGACAAGACCCAAGGCACCCACATTGAACACCAAACTCGCTCAATTACTCTTCACGCTGACCTCGGCTTTGCCAAAATATTCGTTACATTGCCCTTATTGCAGCACAGCTCTTCTTTTCCCTAAGCAAGGCTAAAGACCATGGTTGTACTGGAGCGCGCAACCAAAGTGACAGCAATATAGTTTTAGTTGCCGACACCACACATAGATGATTAAATATTATACCCCATTCGTTATACATCTATCGATTCTTTTTTTGAAAGCTGGTTCGCTTTACAATGATAGTTGAATAGATCACCTCTCCTCGGAAACTCATTGCTCCGAGTCCATCCGAAATAACATAGCGCTTGATCACTCAGTACAGTCTTACTATGGTCGGATGACTTCTGGCAATGTACTTTTCTATTGGGGTTGTCGCAAGATCCAGACCAGTCCATGGCTGACAGGCCTACCATCTAAGTGGACTCTTACGCTTCCTACTCGTAGCTAGTTCTCTTACTTCAGTTTGTTTTTGCCCTACCCGCTTTTTACGACGCACAATACCATTCTCAGCCTTGCACGAAAGCTCACATAAGGACGAAAGGAACATCTCCAATCCTACCTTCCTTCTTCAACAGCATCCCTAGTGTCATCCGATTCGCGCAATTCCTGGGAGCACGGCGCCACGCCTCGCCAGCGCACTATACACCTGCAAACGACAGCCATCCCTGCCAAAACATACATATAATACCTGCAGCCAGGCTGAAAGACCGTGCGTGCGTGCACTGCAATATGTCGTATGCCTATTCGTACATACAAGAAGAACTAATGAGCAAGTACCCCGCAGTAAAAAATCACACAACATGATCCGAACCAAGTAGGCTGGGCGAGGGTGTGTGAACATGTGCTACGCCGTAGTCATACTTACCCGGGCTGGCCGGCTAGACGGGCGGGCGCAAGCGTAAGCGGGTGGGCAGGCACAGAGCTACCCGGCATGGTCCCTCAACTTGCAGGAGCGCGTAATGTTTGATTGTAGGTGGTAGATATTGTTGAGCCTTCCGCGGCACAGCGGACAGCGAATGCCAAATGCGGGCAGTATCTATGTCCATCAAGAAAAGAAAAGCACAAGGCACACTCTGACATGGTGTTGACCAAAGGCTGGAACAGATGCGGTGCCTGCTCAATAGAAGGCTGTGCTGATGCGGTGACTTACAATGCCCACCAGATGCCGCTCTCGTGGGCGCACAATTAGGCGTCATCAGAAATGTGTTGGGAGACGTAGAAACGCGAAAAAGCACAATACATACCCACAGAAGTCGTGCCTAAGACCACAAGGCTGAAGCCTTGCGCTGTTGTCCTGTTGGCCGAGTACCTCGTACTAGCGTCGCATTCGACCTCCAATGCATACTTACGCTCACGGCCTCATGCACGTGCTCGAAAGATGACGAATACAATACATGCCTCTGCGCTCCAGGCGTGTGAGATCTCTATGGTACATACACTCCCGTGTCCGTGGCCCCAAACACGACAGAGAGCAGGTGGCAGCCACTGGGTAGATCATGGCTTTGGCCAAGGATGTTATGGCACGCTGATGAAGCCACGCTCGGGGCGTCACATCATTTGTATGGATTCAACGAATATGCCACGATTTTCTTCTAAGAAATTAAGGCGTTCCATGGCGCGGAGGATGCAGCCCGAGCAAGTGCGGCCATTGCCATCACGCAGCCGTCGTGGGGTGGGATAGACAAGATAACGCATTGGTTGTGCGTGGTAGACAGTCGATGATGCGGTGTCGTTTGGTTGCACATGAGGATACACAAGAAGAATCACGTAGCACAATCGATGTTTCAACAAAACTCGTGATTTTCTAGTGGAGTTTCCCACGACGTGTCGTGTAATAATTGCTTGCGCGGTGTCTAGGAGAATAGACGGCAGTCAACAGTGGTTTGATGCGCGGGAGACCAAGTGAGAGATGGGCAAGGCTGAAAAATGTAAACCAGCATTCTCGATTAGGAAGTCAGCTCAGCTACGTGAGCTAATTTGGCTCTTTTGCTAGGTCTAATTTTTCATATAAGTACTCCGTACAGACGAAATTACTTCTTAGAATAGGTGGCTAGTTAATTGCAGGATAAACAGTTACTGAACTTGCGCTACACGCAGGTTGGCTACGAGGATAGACTTGTACTATAAGAGTGGCCGTTCGTAAAAGAGCGTCGTGAATGTGGGTATATGTCGCGTCCGTGTGAATAATATCAGACATAAAATAGAATATTGTCGCAGTAACCCCACCAAACATGCGTAGAAGGATCAAAAATATTTCTGTACTATACCCCAGGATTCCACCCCATATCATAAAACACAGACTGAAAAGACATAGTTATCTGCACAGAAAGGGCTGCCGAAGCTACGCTAGCATGATTGTCGCAAAGTGCTTACGGGTGGTGTGACGATTAATTCGAAAGAGGCCTTCTTGGCCCGTCATCTTTTTCTTTCTCCCAAGCTTCTCTTTCTTGTGGTGTCGGACCAGAAATTCCAGTGCTATCGCTCTGTACCGTAGAGTCGCTCAATCCTCTTGTATGTGACGGTCGACGTTCCAAACCTGGTTCTGGTGAGATTCCTGGGGAACCGTCTCGATCACGAAGAGCGCGTCTGTGGGCCAGTGGAACGGGAGATACCCCGGGGGACGTATCTCGCGTAGTTGTTACACTCGGGTCCACTGGATCCTGTTGATCCTTTGATCCAGCAAGAACCCCATCGATGTTGTTCTGGAGAGTGCTGTCGCTTTGACCCCGATTATGTGTGGGGAGTGCAGGGATGATAGGACTCGATGTTGGGCTGGCCATTTCATCAAAGTGCTGACCATCAACCATGAATTTTCCATCATCTCCTGGTAGCTCGGCAATCATCCCAACTCCTGGTGTACCAGGCGTGTTGTTTCCCGAAGATTCTCGAGTCGCCCCTCGTCGCCTAACCTTGTTACCCACGATGAAGTAGTCTGCTCGTTCGCTTCCTGGTGTTCCAGCCGCACTATCTGGAGGTGGAGGACTGTACAGTTCAGCAGGAGGGCTCTCCATTTCAGTAATCGCCGGAAACGGAACATGATCCTTATTGTGTGGGTCATAGTATGTAGGTACAAAAGAGGGCCTAGGAGAGTTGGGGGGCTCCGAATCAAGCTCGGAAACACGACGTGCCTTTACTTGGTCTCCCGCTTGAGTAGTGTCGAAGTCGGATGTCTTTTCGAGTGTCTCCTCGGATGGCTTTTGCGCGCGCCGCCTCCTCCACCAAAGGAACACACCGACGGCAATGAGGCCTAAGGCAGCCAGTATTCCGACCACTATACCGGCGATAGCACCAGGTGCAAGACCGTTGTTCTTAGGACTTGGCGCCGGAACGGAAGTATTAGTGTATGAGGTCGAAAGAATCGTGACTATGGTTGACGAAGGTGCGGGATCGGGCCACGCAGCAGGGGCCACTGTGAAAGTTGCTCTTTCATAGTCAACTATGAGGTATGCTTCCTGCAGAAATGTTCTCCCCAAGACATTTTTGCCATCAATAGATCTCTTGAGAGGAAAATACCGCGTAGAGTTTTCGAAAAGAGGTTCGCTTGCATTCATAACAAATGCTGCGTATGGTAAGGCAATTTTCGCTGATCGGTCGCTGTTGTCCTTCGATTGGCCAATTTGGAATGTCACAGTCGCATTCTGATTTAGGTTATACCTGTGGGCACTGTCGCTGATCTTATAAAATTTTTCATCCTCGTCATAATCGAGCTGGAACTCTTCCTCAAACCTATCGCAAATTTCTTCGGGCAAGGTGAGATATGGGAGTGTTGAATCAATCGCCGCATTGAACGTCAAAGTGTCTGCGGTGAAGGAGCTGCTTCGCACTTGTACGTCGGGATCGGGTCGGTATATGATAGACTGAACTCCTACGAGTAATATGGATCCCGCGCTCGGAGTGAAGCTAATATTCGCTGTTTGGTCAATGAATCTGGCTCGATCATAACCTCCGAGAACTAGATGTCCCGGAACACCCCTGTCGTTGTGTTCTAAACATGTCAGTATCTTTCATACAAAATGTTTGTGGGGCGCACGATATGAGTCATGAAAGGAATACACATACTGTAGGATGCGCCTGCGGAGTATCCGTATGCAGTACCAAGTCCACCACTATTCATCAAGAGAGTGCGTAGGAAGGAGACTGAAGAAACTCCCCCTTGCTTCACTGCGTCTATGCCCAAACCGAATGATCCCATGAAGAAATCTCTCGAGTTAAATTGAACCACCCAAACGTCTCCTATCATCGGACTATCCGGTGAGCTTGGACCCAATCCGACTGTGCCGAATCCATATGTGCCATTGGGATTTCCAGTATTGTTGAATTGGCTGCCAGTCCACCAAGATGGAAGAGGAAGTTCGGATTGTCCTTTTTCATTCCACGTCGCTGGATCGGGGACAAATCCAAGGGGCTGTTTAGATTTGAAAGGTTCTACGCCACGAGCCGCGGCGCAGTCTGTATTGCACCATGACTGCTGGGACGGTAGCAACGTGAGCGATGAGTATGTGAATGGCAGTACTCTGAAGTTATGACCACCATTAAGATCCTCCTGAGTTGCACCAACGTTCAACGTGAAGGAGGACCATTTGCCATCATTACCATCCCACTTCCCACTCGAAGGCCAAACTATAGGTTTTGGTAGCGGTATGGGCTGTGTCTCCTCAGCGCGTTTGGAATACATGTTAAATGGGCATGACTGGGGAAGGAAGTGTAAAAGAACAATACGGATTCGCGATGAACAACACCGTGGGCGTACTTGACAAGGAACAAAGTCGAGCAGAAGATAGGATCAAACGAAAGGGTAGGCGGAGACCACCAGGAGCTGAGTTGAGATAGACGGCCTCCGCGGACCACGCAACCTGTGGTAGTGCAGGATCTGGGGTTACCGGTAGATTGTAGCTAAGCTACCAGGACGTCCTCCAAGGAGTGGCGCGCTAAATAAGGTGTACAGAGAAAGAAAGAAAAAGAAGGCCGTGCGCGGTATTCAAGATGGTTTCTTTTGATCATGCTCAATTCTACCTGTATGCCACGGTGGGGCGTGGCTTTTCACAGGGCATTATCGCATTATGAACATGTCAGCCGGTAACCTCAGTGGCAATAGCCGTCTGGATGTCTCCATCCTTAGCTTACAGAGCCCACATAGGGCCTAGAGGACGGTCTTGGGTGGTGCTTGCTGGGCGATGTTCTGCTATGCAGCGTCGCACAAAGGTTGCTTGAGATGGGACAGCCATTGGGGGGTTAATTTGAGCACATATTGGACAGGGATGAGTACGCGATCGATAGGTGAGATGGCGCCCGATGGTGAAGGGTTGCATGGAGGGGCTGGCAGGTCGCATGCAGCTTGACTGCGAGAATGTATGATTCACCGCTTGAGATACAAAGGTCGGAGTGAGACTCGATGGTAAGATACTGGTCAGCGTAGTGCACCGAGAGGCAATAGTATTAGAGGTACTCCATACGCTCATCAAGCAGTGAACCGGGCTGGACCGGTGGGTAAACCGCATGTCAGGGAATTCCAATTATTCATTATTGAGTTCTTTCAAAGAGAATGCATTGATACCGGGCTCGCCTTGCTCCCCTCACCCCAGAAGGCATCAATACAAAGTAGATGGAGAACAATAAGAGATACTCCGTGCACAACGTTTGTCCGATGTAGGTACAGAGTGTAAACTAACTCAGATTGGGGAAGAGGTCCGAGCGGTAAGAACAGCCAATGAACGCCACTCAGATTGGGTCCACTTGGCGCCGGACCGTTGGAGCGGGACAAGCTAGGGACACGTCAATAGTGAATGTATTGTATGTACAGTATTCGGAGTGTCCATGTGCAGTACTCTGCTCCACCATACTATACTCTACCCTACTCTCTCATACATCTACTGTATGTACGCTGTCCTTACCACATGCTGTGGATTCTATATACTCCCCTGCTTCGTTACTATACGAACACGAACTACTCCGGACTCATCGCCGGTTCCCGTTTCCGTACCCCCCACTCGACCATTCGATCCCACTCCATCACGTGTAGTTCTTGATTTTGCCCTCCATGCCTAGTCATTCCATTTCTCTCTTCAATGACCCGCTTTAATACCTGTGCGACTGATTATACGTAACAACATGGTTCCCCCACCTTTGTTGATCCCGTCCGGCTAGCTGCAAATGTATTGCCGCCGCACGATGTACCTTGCGTGTTCGTCTGCTGGGAAGATAGAAGATACAGTTCGTTTGGCACGGCCCGCTATTGCTGTCGTGTCGGTACGGAGTACTGTTGCTGCTACCCCAATCATTGACATTGTCGTTAGCTACCTACCTATGTCAGAGTGGTGGGTAGTACTCGTACAGTCTTTGGATCTCCCACCTCTTTAGCTCCTAATGCCTACTGAGTTGTACAGTCCCCGGTCCCTGTACCTGTACTAACGTGTGCCTGCCCGCCTTTATCCTCGTCCACCGGTCACCTTCCTCTATTCTCGCCACGGCATTTCGCTAGCCTTATCTGGCCATCATGACTTGCACCATAAGCAATTGCCATGCAGAGATGCTCTTGTATGGATCCTCTGAGCTAGGCTCATAAGCACACCACCATCATCAAAGGCCCTGATGCCGAGTCTATGCTCCACTGGCTATGGTGGCTTCCTCACACTGACCGAATGCTACGCTGGATGCTGCACTCGATTGAGAGCCTTCCTTGGAACCTGTCTTGGTCTGATTCTCGCACGAACTAATAGAGTAATATTCAGTGGCTGGTCTTCCATATCACTTCTGCCGGAGGCATGCATTGTTTGAATCTGGCCTAGTGAAGCTATGATCTTCACTTACCATTCGCTGCCATCTAGACCCGCCGAGTCCTGGTACACATTGGTCTAAGCAACATGGGCTCCCCCATTCCCTACCTCAACTTGCATCGCTATCCGCCCGGGCCATCTGCTATGTATTGATATATCTCATCCAGACAATAGTGATCATCGTCCTGATCTGGATTGAGCCAAGCCTGGGCCAGCTTAATGTTTTTGTTCTTCCATGTAGGCCACGAGCTAGCTTGCGATAATCTTTATAGTCACGCTTTCTGCCTCCGTTCAGCCTTTTGTTCATCGCCGCCTCCCGTGTGAGTTTTCCAGCCCGTATCTTCTGTGTGGTAAGTTTCCAATCTCTGTTCTGCTGCTCTCTAATTGTTTTGTCCCGATCCCCCGTCCCATACTGTTGGCTACATGTTGGCCACTCGTGTGTCCCAAATCCCCCAATGGCCAATGCTGCATGCTACCTGTGTTGCTATGTGCTACCTATGTACCATTGTTGTGGTATGCCTTGCGTATGCTCATTCAATCAGAACGGGAGCAATCGCCCGATAAAGCTGCATAGGGCCTCCTAACCATCTTGTTTCCTTATTTCCCCGATGCATCGCATCACATGTATCTAATCATCACCACTTGCAGTTTCACATCGCCTGGCACTCGTTCAGCAGGTGACTTCTTTCGTTACTACCAGAATGCGGACCTTTTGGCCTCTTCTAGCAATTGTTAGTTTGGTTGCTGCGCAGGAGTCGCTCCAAGCTCAAGATTATGCTACCACGACATCGCCTTCTGGTGGATATGGGAATCCATTGCCGCCACCCCCGTCGTCAAGTAGATATCCTGTGAGTTCATCGTCTAGAAGGTCTTCAACCGCACCCTCTAGCACGAGGCGATCTTCTTCTTCTAGAAGCTCTCAGAGATCGTCAACCAGCTCGTCTGAATACCCTGTCTACCCACCACCAAGTTCATCGCGCCCCCCTGCGACTTCATCATCAAGATCATCGCGGTCCTCTGTTAGTTCATCACCGTCTTCCGGATACCCTACACAGCCTTCCTCGGGAACATGTAGAGCAGAGACTATCACTTCAACGAAGGAGGTCCTGACGACGACTACCACGACGAAAGAGGTTCCTGTGCTGACTACGACTACTTCAACTACAACGACAACGATACCGACTACTGTAACGACGACTTCCACAACCATTAGTTACAACACTACTACTGTCTTTGAACCAACGACATATACTACGACCCAGTTGAACACGACAACAACAACAACTACATGCACAACTACTACTACGGAAACCAACAATATTACAGTGACTGTTACCATTACTAATGTGAGCATCCAACCATCTGTGTACACATCAGTAGAGTCAAGATTCAGCATCAGCACCTTCTTGACGACATCGCTCACATACATTACGTCTTGGTTGACTGTGACCATCACTGAAGCGGGGACAACGTACATAAGTTATGTCCCAACTACAATTCCTGTTACTGTCACTGCCACTACTACAGAGCAGTATACGACAGTTGAAACAAGCGTTCAAAGTGTTCCGTACACTGTCACATCTATTCACACTACTCCCGTGACATCTACCTACACATTCGTATCTTTTTTTACCAGTTGGATAACTACCTATATCACAACTGCTGGAGAGACGGTTACGAGCTATATTCCCACTGTCATTCCTACTACAATCACAGATACGATTACCCAAACTGAGATTGTCCCTACGCCAGGACCGACTCAGACGTCCTTCATTACGGAAACAATCATTTCGACCAGTATCAGCACCATCGTCACGACAGTGACTCTCGAGCCTGAGGTTGTGACAACGACACTGACTCTCTCTGGAACTACCGAGACTGTGACCACGACGCTACCAGCAAGCACAGTGACAACAACGATTCTCTCCACATTGACATTCACCGAGACCCAACTTGTTCCGACAACAGTAGAGAGAACCGTGACACCGAGTTCCACGCCCGTTTCAACGCCATCATCCTCATCCTCATCCTCATCTGCGACGATTTCGTGCTCTAGTGATTGCCAAATCACTGTCACGGCTACGCGATTAGAGTATCCTGGTACAGTGATTGTATCCACTGTGAGATATCCTATCACTAGCGTCGATGTATATCTTGACGAACAAGGTCAAACGACGAGCTCATCGACGCAAATCAGAGCCGTACCAAGTGCCACGCAGACAATTACCTGGGAACACTCTGATGTGACATTGACGTATCCAACTGTCTATGCGCAGTATGCCGAATTCAGCCATATTACTGTAGAGCCTGTCGGGACAGTTTGTTCTACCGAGATCTCCAGCTTGACATTGCCATCTCCAACAGAATACTCGTCGCTAATTCTGCCCACGAGTGAGATTCCGGATCCTGCATACGTCGCACCAACAGTGGTGAGCTATCTAAACGGTCTTCCGACCATTAGAGAACAGCTAGGAAAACCTATTGGATCTGGAGCCTGCGATCCACTTATTACAACTGCAAATCCTCGCGATACATCATCCCTTGGAGAGACTGTCTCTGTCACAACAGTACCGGAGGTGGAGATCACCACGACGAGTACCCACACTGCACAGAGTGCCGTCCGTCCCTCTAGCAGTGCGCCAACTCCTTCGGCCTCTGCCAGTGCTCAATCCTCAACGGAGTCCCAACCACCTCCTCCACCATCTAGCACGCCTGTGCCTGAACCATCGGAAACTCCTGGACCTCCAGATGTTTCCAGTAGTGTAGCTTCTGAGCCTGAGCCCACACCCAGTGAGTCGGCGCCTTCCGAGTCTATCCCCAGTATGTCCGGTACCACGAACCCTGTTTCAATTACCATTCCCTCTGTTACTGCTTCTCGATCCCCCAGTGCAGCCCCAGTTCCGTCGTCTTCTTTTGCAAGTAGCGCGGCTGACTCCTCCGAAGCCACCAGTCCCGTTTCGTCTTCCTCGCCTCCGGAGCCATCTACAGCAGAATCAAGTCTTGAACTGCCCCCACAAAGCACTTTGGCCTCGGTTCCACCGGCTTCTGAAGATACATCCATAACCCAGGATATTCCTACCTCGACAGTGTTCCAGGGAACCACGACTACAGTTTCTTCGCCAGCGAGCGAATCTGGGCCACTAGAAGTCTCCACTAATGCTGCCGTTCCTCGTGGTGTCGCAAAGATTGGCAGAATCGAAGGATTGATAATTGGGGCCGCTGGCCTGGGCCTAGGGTGGGTGTAAGATCCCAGCATTCTATCTAAATGAATAGATGCTGATTGTGTATCTAATTTCAACATCACTATCCTTAATGTTTTTTTACGAGACTACGCGCAATGAAGATAATGGGCAAGGCAGTGGATCTTTCGTCAGACAGACCGAGGTATAATGGTCAGGCAGGTAGTTTCAGGCATATCATATGTGCAGCTGGATAGAACACGTTGCGCACGGAAGAAGGAACAATGGATGACTTGGTTTACTATGGAATTACTTCCTTATCTTTTGGGAAAATGCGCTCTTATTGTAGGACGGAAACCGATTCATTGGTTATATTTGAAACTGTAAGCCATTGGAAAACGTCGCAAAATGGCATCTATGGATCTATGGATCATGCATGATCCTCTATGCTATTCTCAGAGCGTTGCCTTTTCCCATCAATGAATTTTCAGCCTTGGCCCACTTTGAGGCTCTCGGAATTACCAACGCCGCCTTGTACATCTCACAGACGGGCTGAATCTGCAACAACATGTGAGTGAAGAGGGCTAGCTCCTTGATAGGCGTTCCATTTCTTTTGTGCTCTTGTCCGCAGGCTGACACAAGAGATGAACAACGTTCCTCCGAAGTACCCGATGCGGTTAGGATAAGTGTCCATTCTCGATCCTGAGTGGGCCTGTGGAACTAGGCGTCTTACACCGCCACCACTGTCTCTCAACTTCTCATCGACAAACTCCCAGAGTATCTAATCGTAAAGTTCCCTCCGTCACCAGCATCTTCACAATTCTCGATTACGATCTCGATCTCGATCCCACTCTCACATCGGCCCTTCTCCTCTCGTTGCTTCTGCCACTCGTATTTTCGCCTTGCATTGCTATTCGGTTTCCCATAGCAGATCATCGCTTACCTCGTACTTTTATGTCGTCATTCTTGAAATTGTCGGCCGAGTTGAAGTTGGCCATCATTGAGTTACTCGTGCCGGAACGAAGTGCACATCAGCCTTCTTGCTCAACACAACCGCGACGGCTGAAAACTAGTCTTGACAAGAATCCGCTCCGTACGCAATGGAGCGTTGAGAACGTCAACTGGGAATTAGGATTCGCGGATGAAGATCCATCGTGCGACCTACGACACCTCTCGTGTGTTAATCGAGAGTTACGGGAACTGTCTGCGCCGCTCTTGTTCAGAAATATCACTCTTCGCTGCAACGAGCGATCTGGTGCGTCCGTGAGAGCCGTTGCGGAAGGTGATCTCGCAAAACACGTGCGAGTCCTACATTACGAACCGGAAATAGAGCACCTGATTCCATCTGAAACATCGGAAGGCCATGATTGGATCCGGCACCCAGTCGCCGCGAATGCCGACCATTTTCCTGAGTGCGTCAAGAGCATACTGGAGAATCTTCGCAAATTCCCCGAGCTCGAGATTTTGACGGTCGAATTTATTCTCAGTGACGAGGCATTTCAACTTGAGCCTGGTCTAATGCATCTTTTCACTGCTGGCTTTGAGCCAGAGACAATCGAAGAGAGGGACAAAGCCGAGCAGACAGAAGCCTGGCGAGCCGTCATGAAAAAATCATACAACGCCATTTCGAAAAATGCACCCGGCCAAGTGAAAGCACTCGAGTTGCGCAATGTGATTCCACAGCAAGTATCCTCCTGGCTGCAATCAGATTGGCACAAGTTTCTTGGAGGCGTCCAATCATTTGCGATCACTCTGCGTGGCGGTGCAAACTCGATCGGGCAACAATTGGGAACGTGCCCCGAGTACCCAAAATTGACGCGCGACTTGGATATCTACTTCTTTGACCATCTTGCCAACGTCATTAATTTCAAATTCGCGGCGACTTTGGACGGGCCGGTTGGTTGTGAAGGCACAGACAACCACACCAAATTCCCAATTCGGCCGGACCATTTTCCACAGTTGCAAAGTCTCCATTTGGCCTATGTATTCATCGATAAACAACTTCTTGAAGCTATCATCGGCCACAACGAGACTCTACAAATGATTCGCTTGGACGATTGCTGTGCACTCGACACGTCGTGGTGTAGCGAGGAGTATCGAAATCCGAATGACCTGTCGTGGGCGGAGCTTTTCAAAGGTCTCCAAAAAACATCAATGAAGAAATTGCGCAAGTTCATAGTAGATTTGCCCACCATGCCTAAGCTAATGCATGGATGGGACAAGACAATGGAGAAACTGCATAAGGGGAACCCTGGTAAGATCATTTTCGTCTATTGCCAATTTGGGGATAAGTACGCAGACTTCTGGATAGATGAAGATCATTCGGATGAGCGCGCCGATCAGGGGGAAGATGATGATGCATGGCACGAACTGCAGAGGTCAGGAGAGCCCAGTTCCGGTGAAGAATCGGGATCGATATATCTCCTGGGGTGGAATCCAGAAGTTGAATGAGGATAGAAGAATGGCACTCCCTCACATCATCTAGAGTAGCTACCAAATCTGAAAGTAAAACATGGCATTTGACTCAACTCCGACCTGTAATGAATTCCGCAACGTAGCCATTGTTGAACCCTACATCGATTCCCATCAGTGATCCCTCACAAATGACCCAGAATAGCTACCAAAATGCCATCTAGTGATGATCCAAGTTGAGAGCTTATCTTTCAAGACATCGAAACGTGGTTAATGTACCCATCAGTTCGAGCGTCAGCTATCGTGTGCCGGTATGGAGGCTTATAGTGTGCGAGACAGGTGAAAGTGGAGTCTCTTTCGTGACAGATCTCAGGGGTGTGGAGTACTTCACCGGAGATCAGCTGTATACGAGGCCTCTGGGACATTGCCACAATCCTGTGTACTTGGCTGCTGCGTTCAGCCCTATCAAAGCAGTGTTGTTCTGTTGCAGTGTCCTCAGTATGGTGGGTCCCGAGTACAGTTGTTCTATCAAGTTGCCTCATAGCCGGTTGACCTTTGCCCTGCCACTACTACACGTCTATGGAGATAGATGTGTCCATTCGAGATATGCCAGTCTTCTCAAACATGTCTATTGTACGTGGCTTGGAGAAAGGTATAAAGATGGTTGATATCTTGCGTTGAGATCATTTTCATCCAATCCAAACAACTCCCAATTCACCAACCCACCAACCCTCATCCTAATCTCGTCAAATCCAGCCGGCTGTGTTACACGACCTTTTTCTACCTTTTTTATATTATCCTTCATTCTGTTGTTCTGTCAAAATCCAGCAGTATGAAGCATAGTACCGCACTCATTTACCTTTGCGCCTCTCTTGGCATGGTGCATGGTGCCGTGGTTCCTTATAGCGAGGGATCTGTCGATCCGTTAGATTTCGAGCAAGAGGCTTCCGCACTGGCTGTCAGAGATGAAAAGGATGGTAAATGGCCAATGTGGGATGCCAAAAGGAAGGGAAAGCAGACAAAAAGAGACGGCGGAGAGATGAAGAATCACGAGATCAACAAGGAAGATTACAATAAGCTCAAGGGAAAACACCCGGAGGGCCACAGATTGAATCCCAAAATTGCAAAGTACAACTGCAAAGGTGATGGAGTTACTTCGGTTTGCGAGGCTGATTGTATTGGAATTCTTTGCTTCAACGTGCCATGGAAGATCCGATGGGTGGGAGATGGGCCAGATTCCAGAGACCAGTCAGGTGCATTGAAGGGATTTTTGAAGGGCACCATGGAAAATCAGCTCAGGCATGGATTCTTCGTCACTGATCAGGTGAAGGCAAAACTAGGAGACAGTCTGGAAGAAACCTGCCACGCAAGCAGCGACCAGGGAGGGAAGTCGGAAGTCATGATGCTTGTCAAGGGTGATGATAATAAGCGTAAGTTAACCCAGATGGCGTATTTTCTTACCATACGTGGTCTAACGGATTACGCAGAACACGGAACACAGGCGATTCAAGCTGCAATGAAGAAGGGGAAAGTCGACAAGGGCGACTGGGTCATCAGACTTTTCGAACAGCTCGAAGCTAATCAGGCGCCTACTTGTGATGCCTTGATGGACGTATGGGAGAAAAAGTCAACGTGGTTGCAAGCATACAACAAAGCTTGCACTGGCGCTATTTGGGACGATCCACTCCACCCTATCAACAACGCTTATATGCCTATCAACGAAGCCGACAGGGTCAAGGCAGTTAAGGGTAAGGGCAAAGAGCAAGAGATCAAGTTTTACTACCATCGCATGGGTCCTCTTGATGAGTGGGTAGAGCATGGCTGGAGGGTCGATTCGGAGCATGGCAGAGATGAGAATCCACATCCAGAAATTGTGTATCAACAGGGTGAACACAAGATCTATGTTATTGGGGAGGGAAATGACGAACCTCCAACATCGAAGCCAAAGACCGATGAAAAGAAATAGAGGAAAGAGTGAGGAGGAATGTACTCGGTTGATTGGTTCAGTGATTCGGGTACCGTACATTGGAAAATTTATAAACCATAGATAGACTTATAGACCATAGATAAACATAGACCTTAGAAAAGATTAGACAATAGATAATAGAATATTCGCCCTACATATCTATTCTCATTCACGGCGATCATTTCTTACTCCATCGCTCTTCGGAGGAAACGTAACGGCGATTGTCAAAATTCAGAAGCTTGGAAAACCGAATGCGAACTGAAAACAAAATATGAGAGTTGAACTCAGTCTCGGCCATTTAGTGACGTTCATAAGTTGAGCCACTTTTGGTTTGATCTTGAAAAATCTACAGGTTCAGTTGATACGATGCCACACGGTGCTAGCAATATTTGCAACGTGCGCATCATGCCGTTTGTGCGCTAGAGTTAAGACAGTAATGTTTCGGTTGCTGGCGATTCATAACGTGAGTTACATTCAAACGCAAGGAGAGCGCGTGCGCTGGACTTGGTGTTGAGCAATGACCTCTTGGCTGGGAAGACATCGTTTGGTAGGAAGTGTATACAATCTTTCCACATATTGCACTCGGTGTTCGGGCTCTTTCGAATATACATTCTGTTTCCGGACTATCGTTCGCGGAGAGGCGGAGCAAGTCAATGTGTTCAATCTTGTGCTGGAACCACCCAATTCGTGGACATTTACGGCTATGTTCGCAGTTTAGCGGTTTTGTGGGGTAACTATATGATGCACCCCGGATTTCAAAGCTTTGACAATCGTACGCGGGACAGACAGAGGCAAAATGAGGAGAATTCAAGGCTATAAAAGGCCCTAGAGAAACAGGTTCAGAATATCATGAGATTCTTAATAAGAATCTCTATCTCTGCATCTTTTGAACTTGTTTGATTTCCGCGAGACGCTTCGGTCACAATGAGGTCTCCTTGCCTGTTGCCAACTGTGATGAGCCTTATCACCTTATCATCCGTTTTTCCAACCCATGCGACAAGACCCATGGAGAACTTGGGTCGGGGTGTCGTAGCAGTCCGAAAAAGTAGCAGTGAGGTCCTTGTATCTTGGCGTCTCCTCGGTCTCGATAATCCCAAGATCGGATTCAATGTCTATCGCGCCACAGAGAACGGAAATCCCTTGAAACTCAATTCAAATATTCTGGCAAAAGGAACAAACTTCATCGACTCTGAGGCGGACTTGGGTAAGGATAATCATTATCACGTCCGCCCCGTCAACGATGGAAATGAAGGCCCAGCAAGCGGGACGTTCACACTCGATTCAGACCATATGATTGAACCGATTCATCGCGTCCCTATCAAGGAAACTGGCAACATTAAATACGTCTGGGTAGGGGATCTTGATGGCGATGGTGAATACGACTACATTGTAGACCGGCACAACACTGTCCAAAGCATCGAGGCCTATACCTCCAACGGCACATTCCTATGGGAAGTCAATCTCGGCCCTAACAGCGAGAATCAAAACAACATTGAGCCTGGAGCAACTGCAATTAGCATCGGACATTGGGATGGCGTAACTTCATACGACCTTGATGGCGATGGCAAAGCAGAGATTGCTCTTCGAATTGCCAACGGAGTCACGTTTGGCGACGGAACCAGGTTCGAACACGCCAACAATGACGAACAATTCATCGCTGTACTCGATGGGTTTACTGGTAAACTGAAGGCGAAGTCCCCAATACCGACCGATTACATCGCAAACGGTCCTTTGGCTGCTCGTTTGATGGTTGGTTATCTTGATGGCAAAACTCCGCACCTTGTCGCTTGGATGAAAAATCGCCAACCCAACAAGGGCGACTTTAATCGCATGATGGCCGCTTGGACATTTGATGGGAAAGAGCTTACAAGAAAGTGGGTCAAGAAGGGCGACGACTTCCAAGGGAGACCGGATGGACACAATTCACGCGTGATCGACGTTGATGAAGACGGGTTTGATGAAGTTTGTGAAATTGGCTTTTGTCTCAATGGACGTGATGGAAGCATGAAATATGGAATGCCCAGCATTGTTGTTCATGGAGACCGCTGGCACATCGCGAAAATGGATCCCGACCGCAAAGGCCTCCAAGGGTACGGAATACAGCAGAATAATGAGAATCTACTTGAAGACTACTACTACGATGCTACAACGGGAAAGCTACTGTGGGAACATTATGGAACTGAAGTTGGAGATGTCGGAAGAGGCATGGTGGGAGATATTGATCCAAATCAGCCTGGAATGGAAGTCTGGGCATTTTCTGGATTGTACAACGCTAAGAGTAACAAAAAAGTTTCCGATGAGGCACCATGGCCCCAGCTCGGCCTATGGTGGGATGGCGACGTGACTATGGAGCTGTACAATGATGGCAAGGTACGTGTACCTGATTATCCAGCTTGATGAAGACGCTAATGGGGAGAAACATTTAGATTGAGAAATGGAACCCTTCCACTCAATCAGTCGAACGCCTTATTACTGTTTCAAAATTTGGGGCGGTCAATCCTGGTGGCCGTCAGCCTGGTTTCGTTGCTGACATCTTCGGCGACTGGCGTGAGGAGGTCATACTAAAGAATGAAAAGAACTCTGAGCTACTCATCTTCACAACCGACCAACCCAGCGACATCCGGTTATATACGCTTGCGCACAATCCTGCGTATCGAAATGATATGACGGTCAAAGGATATCTTCAGTCTCATCATGTCGATTACTTCCTCGGTCACAACATGGCGACTCCCCCCAAACCGGATATTTCCTATGTCAAACGGTGAATAAGTAATCGCCATGCTGCAGCACGTGTTCTTCAGTCTGTAGATGTTATCCCTTTGGATGAAACGCGTAAAATTAAGGAATGTCTTTTGACATGCTCCAGCAGCGCTTCACAGGACTGCTACTCTGTAACTAAGAAATATCGAGTCCTGGCTCCAAATCTACCGTTTGTTCTTATAAAATAGTTGTCTCAATGTGTCACACGCTGTTGTAGTGCAGACTTTGCTGTTGCAGAATATTCTCGACAAGCCACTTCGGGAAGATTGGCAAGCTTGATAGCCGCCACCACGTTACGCCTAGTAAAGCGCGGTCTTCAAGAAGTTTACGAAGCATATCTCCAGCTGTTCACCACCCCAGTTCTCTCCTCCTCTTTCTCCAGGACCTTATTTTTCCTAATGCACCAGTATCGAGTAGCGACGCAGAAAACAATCGTGAGACCTGCTCCGACAATGATACAGCCACCTCCAAGTTGATACCTCGGTTCCTGATTGGTAAGGAAGAAATATGGAGTGAACCAGTGAGAAACGCTGGACACGCAATTGGCAATTGCGATCAGCGCTGCTCGCTTGGTTCGTGGTCGTGGAACAACGGTAGTCTCCCAAGATAATTGGATGTTGAGAGCAACGAAAGGCCCAGAGCAGAGGAGTATCATCGAGAAATAGCGCGCACCAACATTGAGTGTCGATATCATGACAGCAGCTCCGACGAGAGACATGGCAATTGCCCCAACGATGTGCCAACAGTGCTCGAGTCTACGTCCAGATGACCAGGAGATGACAAGGGTTACAATGTACGAGATAACATATGGTGGTGCTTGAACAAGATAGGTTTGAACTTTCGTGAATCCGAGAGTACCTGTTCTCATTAGGAACGTGAAATTGTCTGTGCATGTGTCGAGTACATACCGACGATAGAAGGAAAGAAATCCTTGAAGGACTGGGCAATAATGATAAAGAAGTGCATGCCAGCAAAGAGCCAGGTGAAAGGATCTTTGACGGCCATCCAGAACCCACCCCAGTAGTCTCCCTCATCATCCTCAGAGATACCGCCAGCTGATACGAGCTGCCTGTATTGGGACATCTCCAATTCCTCGGGGGTGAAGAAGTACGTTCCGGTGTTATTTGGAAAGTTTGGAAGTAGCCAGAACCCAGGAATCGCCACGAGAATGCTAACAATACCCTCGAGAAGCAGGAACCATTGCCAGGCACTCAGTCCTGCAACGTTATCCATATTGGTGAGGATTGCGGCGGAAAGTAGACCAGAAAAGACATTCGAGATGATATTCCCTGCATGCCAAATGCCCATTCGCAAAGGAGATTCTTGCTTTGTGTACCAGGACGAGGTAAGGAGGGCAACAACAGGTACGAACGGCCCCTCTGTGAGGCCGACCAGGAACCGACATAGCATGAAACCCCAGGCGCTGGTTACCGCTGGCATACATATCGTACAAGCCGACCAGCCGAGCATCATACACGGCAGCATGATGCGTGGTGAGGATTTAGCAATCAAAACGTTGGCAGGCACCTGAGATATGATGTAGCCGACATAAAACAGTGAGATTCCAGCCGACCATTCCACATCGCTCATATGAAGATCCTTTTGCATGCCAGCCAAGCGTGCGTTGCTCACGTTAATTCGATCGAGGTAACTGGACATTGGTAAGAATAGATGCATGTATAAGGAAATCTGCTGATCTTACTTCATAAGGAGCATAGCAGTAATACATGGCAAAAACCTCCAATCCAATTTCTTGAGTACAGCTTTATTCAAACCGTCCAACTCTTCCTGAGACTTATCTCGCAGAAGGGGATATCGTTGAATCCACTCATCTTCCTCGCGGATGTCTGCATTTTCGATCTTGACGATCTCTCCGCTTGCTTTTGGCGTCGACTCCCCTTTGTGTTCGGACGATATAGCCATGGTGACTTTGTTGTTTGATCTTCAAAAGACTTGGAGATGTTGAGAAGATGCAACTGCCTTGGTTGCTGTACAATCGACATGCTGCTGTCTTTTATACAACGTACGAGCTAAAATGCCAATTATTGCCAATGCGGCAACTTGTACTATGCATCTTCATCAGCTCTCCATTTTCCCCAGACCCCGTACACTATACCTGGGGGCGGCTTCCCATTGTGGGGTAAACGGTGCTTGGCTTCCTGAGGACGCTAAATTGGTTGCTACCGGTGCCCACCGAGGAGGCTTCGGACAACGCCCGAGGAACTAGCTTCGAATCCTCGGCTGTTGTTCAACGCGTGACGGAAACCCGACGAAGATCACATTGCGGAACCCCGCCGAGATTGAAATTGGCGACTCACTAACAAGTCTTTGGAGGCGGTCCGGTTGGATCGGAGGACCGAGACTGAGGTGAGCGAGCTGCAGCTCTAGCAGAATGTCTCGTAGACTCTGGACGGGAGGGTACCGCATGGACAGCTGCGCAAGGATGCTCATACACCAAGAAATCGCATGCAGATAGCGTTCGTGCGCACCTTCAATGTCGCTCATCGCGGTGTTAGTGCTGAGGCGTAAGGCCATCCAGATTCCAATGAAGAAAATCTGTAAGGAATCCAGTGCCGACGGTGCGCTCTCTCGTTGGATAAGAGATCCCTCATATACGTCCAGGAAGGCGATAAAGGATTCCTCAGCGTGCTGAGCGATCATGGAACAACTGGGATCTAAGATTACTCGTGATTGTTGTAAGATTTCGATTAGGCCACGATTGTAGAGATGACTTTGCTGTAGTGGAGAGTAGTTGACCTGGCCAGGTAGAGTTTCCTTCCAATGACGCAGGTTAATGAAATGGCTCAGAATTTCGCCATCCATATCATCACGTATATTTCGGATGATTTGGGCATGCTGCACTAGACAACGATGCGAAGCATCCTCTGAGCGATTTGGGCTACTTGTGTTGGACAAAGGTGGCTATGTGTTTCCGTTAGTATTGAATTCGCAAAAGGGAACTTGCCACTCATACCGAGACAAGAATGTCTTCATTGTTTAAACAATACGGCCTGTCCAGGGAACTGCTGATGTATCTGAATTTATTAGCTGGTGTGAAGTTGAAGAGATGGGTCTTCACTGACGTGTCCAAGGAATATAATGACCATAGAAGCCTGCTCTTCCGCCTACTGTCTTCATCGTGGGAATTAAAGGTTGGACCTCGAGCAGTATGCCATCCGGAAGAAATGCACCGCATCATAGCTAAACCCAACAGATGCCACGTCGATCCGCCATGCGTGGTGAATAGTGAAGCAATTGTTAGAGCCGTCAAGCATTGTCCCATCGTGAGATCTGTCGCATTGTCGAAAACATTCGTCATGAGCTGCACCGCTTTGAATATCAGTTCGTTTGCGATTAACTCTTTGTAATTGTAGTCTGACGATAGTAAAATTCCTATCGCCAGACCGAGGTAAACAATCGCGACCTTTCCAGTATCCTGATTCAGAATTTGATCAAATGTGCCATTTTTCCTTGCATCCATTATCTGCGCAAGCGCAGCACCCAGCTCGAACTCGGTGATGAAAGGGTACGACTGAACGACTGCATTTTGGAAAACTTGAAAAGGCTCAGACGGATCGATTTTATCGAGAAAGTCATATTCAGTAATAAAATGACTTCTGAAGTCTGCAAGCGACCCTGTCAGAGACGGGTTTCTACCTTCTGGTAATGTTGGATTCGTCCCGTTGACTTTCATCGCTGCGGATAGAAGGGAAAGAAATGAGAGTCCTCGTGATACATCGGATTGACGGTCTGTGGGCTCTGCCATGGCGGAAAGAGAGAGGTACGAGGCCTCTTGCATTGCGTCTGTTGCCTCCTTCGTTGAGCTTGATTCTCGTAATGCGGGATCGATTACCCCAGCAATTGGGGATGTCTGATTCGAACGATTTCTATCTTCCTGCAGAATGCGAGATGATGCAGTGTCCTCAAATGATGGAGAGCTTGTCTCAGATAAACGAGACTCTAGCATTTCAATTCTTCGTTTGAGGCTTTCTACAAAGCTCCCACTCCCAGGATCTTGAGCATCCACCGTAGAACCAAAGCGGCGAGGTTTGCAGTCCGTAGAGGCGAGACGACATTGGAGACAAATAGGCGACTCCCGTGAACACTGAAGAAGTCAATTAGTTTCGAATTCTCATAGAAGATCATCAGTCGTGAAGCAATTGTTGAAATGTATCCCGTGATCACCAAACGGTAGGAACACAGACCTTCTGCTTCCTCTTCCAGCATCTCTCACAGGCTTGAGTCATGAGATCTGTCATTGCGAAAGAAAGGGTATCACCTGCATAACAGTCTTTAATAGATATGATAACAATGAGATATGTGGATAGTAGAGGATAGATCGAGATTTGGGGTGGAAGTATTGTTGTTATCGATAGAAAATGTGGCGGGCCGACCGAGGCCATTTTGTTGCCAGTAGCGCATGTAGTAAGTGCAACCTCGAATAATTATTGCAGCCAACTAGGTCTTTAGTAACATGGCAACATTCATAGAGCACACGGTTGCACGCCAGTGCTTTTCCTTGCCGGGGAACATAACGAACAACTTCATAAATTATATCGTTAGAAATTGATATTATCAGACAAATAGGTCCATTAAAGCAATGAATTCTTCAGCTATGCTACAACAGCTTGTCATCGACTGCGCCATCTCATTCCACTATACATTTTTCTGATCAATCCGAACCTCCTCGTTCTTCTCCTCAATCAGCTCATTTGATCCCAGGTTGGCCTGCTTAGATTCGTATAGGTCATCGGCGGTCGGATACGCAACTCTACGTACGGTATACCATGGGCGCTCGAAAAGCTTGTCCATACTCTCCAAAGATCTTCCGGCGGTCTCGGGCATGGCGAAAAAAACGTAAGTGAGAGAGACGATGCACATGCCGGCAAAGAAGGCAAACGCGCCAAAGCGCTTAGTAGCAGCCAATAAGCTGGGCATGGCGCGAGAGCAGCCGAAGTAGAATGCCCAGTGGAAAGCCATGAGAATCGACACATTCAAGTTGCGGATTCGAATAGGGAATACCTCGGCCGAGACGAGGTATGGGATGGAAAACCATCCAATCGACCAGGCTACCGCATGGATGAAAATGGCTACAATGCTTGCCTTGCTTGCTGCTGTTGTACTTGCGCTTGCTTCGATTTCCGCAGTGGTCATATTGTTGGTGGCACCCAGGTATGCGCCAATGAAAATGAGGGTGACGATTTGCAAACTGATTCCCATTAACAGCGAGCGCCGACGGCCAATGAAGTCGATGACGAAAACCGAGAACAAAAGGACGGAGACAAACTTGACGATTCCATAAAGTCCCGTTGCAAGGAAGCGAGCTTCTTCGCCTGCGATTCCCAAGTAGCCGAAGATCGTGGGTGAATATTGAGTGATGGCATTTGCTCCACTCCACTGACTGAAGAGATGGCAAAGGAACATGAGTACAAAGCGTCTCCTGTATTCGGTAATGGTGAAGGTCTCCTTCAGCAGGTCCCAACTGCTTGCTCCGCTTACAGCCTCAATCTCCAGATTCAACTGGCGCTCCATTCCATGGAATTCCTCGGCCACGTAGGGATGATCTGCTGGAAGACCCCTGAAGCCAACCAGGACTTCCATAGCTTCTGTTGGTTTGTTTTGTGAAAGCAGGAATCGTGGAGATTCCGGTGTAAAGATGATGCCAATGAACCAGATTACTGCAGGAATCAATTGGAGACCCGTCGGCAATTGCCACTGAAGCTGTGTTCCCTTATGATATTTGGTGACTCCGTAGTTAAAGAAGAATCCAAAGACGACTCCAAGCTGCTGACAGCAAGCGTACTGGAGAGTCAAAAGGCCTCGGATACTTCGTGGCGCAATCTAAGGGCGTTAGTTGCGCATACATTGGAACGTTGGAAGAATGACTTACTTCGGTGATATAGACTGAAGGGATAACCGTCGTCGTTCCAATACCGATCCCCGTGATGAAGCGGCTAGCATACATGCCGCCCAAGCTTCCGCCACAGAATGTCTGTCCAAACACGCCCGCGATATAAACGATCGTAAAGATGAGCATTGTCCGTTTGCGTCCGAGCCACTGGCCCAATTTGATACAAGCCAGACAGCCAAACACGGCGCCAGCGGTCGCGATAGATACCAGCCATCCTTTTGTATTTGCATAGTCCTTTTCGGATTCATGGTCAACATGAAATCTCTTTTTGAAGCTAGTCATCACCACAACAGATGCAATGTTTCCTGTCGACTTCAGTAAGCACCGAGCAACATCCACATGGAGGAGGAAGTATTTACCTTCGTCAAAACCTTTAGCTACACCGGAGAAACTCCATACTGCGGTACAGAAGAACAGGTACCAGTTGAAGATTTCCTTAGGAGACGCTTGTATGGCTTCCTTGGTGGACTTGATTAGGCTTGTTCTCGCCATTGTCGTCTTCCGGGTGTACTAGATCGAGTGACAAGAAATGGACAAGAGAAACAAGAGAGTCCAAGATAATGATGGCTGTGACCCAGGCAATAGGGAAAACCCAGGGGGGCGTCTTTATAACACCTAGGCAGCTTCTGTGGCTTACGGCATCCGTCTCCACGACGTGATAAAACTTCTGGAGGGTAGACGCTTGGATTGCTAAACACATAATGTCCCCTACATGGTGAAGCTTGCGCGCTGAGAAGCTGTGGAGAATCCGGAGACTCCACCATCTGGAGGCGCGTTGGGGAAGGCCCGGGCGCGTGGAGGAAGAATCTCCTGGGACACTAATCATGAGCCGCTAGACCTCCGAAGTGGCCGAATTCGATTCTCGGGTTGGACCGACCTCGATTTGGTCGGTGCTCGTACTGAAATCGGACAAATCTACCGAGGTTGAGATGATGTGGAAGACTTTTTGGGCGACGGATCTTATGGAGGTATGTAAATAAGTTTGATCGAGGACCGCAGTTCTGCCATATGGTACGATGCTGGAGCAATTGACGCAACATGATGAATGAGCCCTAATCGTAAAGTTCCGATAATATGAGAGCGTCTTTACATATATCCAAACACTACTCTCTTATACACTATTTTACTTTAGATAGTATAGATAGCCACTTATAATTGTAACAAGAATGATTTAGTCATATCCTCAATCTCTGGATACGGAAATGTGGAGATAAAATGTTCAGGGTCCGACCAGCATTGTTTGAAGATTCAGTAAGGATAAGCACATCATTTCTTTGGATGCATGCAAATGTACCGACCTACTTATGATACTACTTAGCTGTATGCATCTGTTGACGAGAGCAGTTGCTCTTCGGCGTTATAATGGTAGTATTTATGTGCATGGTATTTGCCAGGGGGTCTTGTACACGGGTTGACTTGAAGGACTCCAGAATACTGACACGTAGTGTGATCACTAGGAATTGGTATATCCAACTTCAGACATGTAATGAAGACATACTTAGGTTGTAATGAAGAAAGAATAACCTTTAAAGAAATTGCGAGTCAAAGTCATTCCGCATGTTTCTTGACCAATGATCGCAAGAGGACTACCGTGTGCCTCGTTCCATTCCTCTGTGAACGGCCAATTTCCAGCATGCACAAATTTCATGAAAAGCCCCATTTCTGCTTTTTGAATACGATCAGTTACATGTTGAAGCTTCGGACCTACTAACTCAGGATTCTCGAGTCTCAAGGATGGAGAGAATATCAATAGCCACCCCAAGTCGGGGGCAATCCGGAGACCTGTAGCTGGTGGGTAAAGAGGAGCCTAACGTACAATAGTCTAAGCTTATCTCATGATAGATCATCACAATATCGGTTGGAGTCGATGCATATCGATATGATGCGATTCTTTCTTGCATGTTCTCGCACAACTGACTTTCCATTGCATATCTGAATATGTTCACTTGGAATAAGTGAATGAACGAGGGGATTTCATAATGGGTTTCTACACGGGGGATAGTTTGCGTTCTTGTTTACAACTGCATATGATGTAGAAGTCGGAATATATGGGAAAAAGACAGCTAACAGAACCACATCAAGATGAAAGTGACAAGACTCCTTCGCCATGCCTCTAAAAATATGCGAGACATATCCATCATGAATATTTTTGCATCCTTTCACAATCGGTAGAGTCTCGGGCATCTCATGAAAACCATTTTAGAAAAGGCCGACGATGTGATCGAAGAGTCAGGGGCTAAGGAGCCTTTCGGGTCCCCTCCGACAAACCCCCGACAAGACCGAAGTGAATTGTATGCGCAGCCGTTTCTCTTCATCCGTGCACGTCTTGCGGCAAATCGGGATTATATCCTCGAAGGCGACAGTGATTGGTAAAATGTTGGCCGAAGGCCCGGCTGTGTACGGGGACCATGGAAGCTGCAGGTGTCTGAGCCAAAGGTATAAGCACGATTTGATTTCCCCATGCTAAACGTGAACTACTCCATAACAATCACTTCAGATTATTTATCATTAAAACTTGTCAATATGGCCCCTGCGCGTATCGAAATTGACTCTGCTGCTGCTTCCCCTCCTGCAACGATCGAGAAGCCAACAGTGTATCTACTTGACACTTTTCATCCCGAAGCGGTTGAACATGCGCAGAACTTATTCAATGCCATAATTCCTTCAGATCCAAAGCATGCACAATGGAGAGAAAATGCAGAATACCTCCTCATTAGGGGTTCGTACTTAACTGCCAAGGACGTTGCGTCATGTCCGAACCTCAAGGCGATAGGAAAGCAGGGAGTTGGTAAGATATGGAAACGCATTACAGCTAGACTTACTCTAACACTCCTAAGGTATTGATAAGATTGATGAGGCAGCATGTAAAGAAAGAGGAATCAAGATTTTCAACACTCCTGGAGTCAACGCACAAGCGGTTGCAGAAACCGTCTTGACACTCACTATGTCTGTGGCACGCGAAGTCAGCCGCATCACCACATCACAGAGCCATGGAAAAGCTGTTCCAAAGGAGACTTGCTCTGGCCTAATCATCAGCAATAAGACTATCGGAATTGTAGGCATGGGAAATATTGGACACCGGGTGGCGAAGATCTTCCAAAGAGGTTTGCGCTGTAACGTCGTCGCGTATGACCCTTTTCTTCCCAAGGATGCCTGGTCAGATATCGAGCACACCCGCGCCGAGAAACTAGAATCACTGCTCGAGAATTCGGACATAGTTACCCTCCACATTCCATTGCTACCACAAACACGAAACCTCATTGGATATGAACAGTTTTCTACCATGAAGCGAAATGCTATCATAATCAACACAGCAAGAGGTGGCATTGTCAACGAAGCAGATTTGGAACGAGCATTAAAGGATAAGCTCATTTGGGGTGCAGGCTTAGATTGTCACGAGCAAGAACCTCCCACGAAGGAAAAATATGGTGCATTGTGGGAGACTGGAAGGGTGGTAAGCACACCGCATGTGGGCGCTGCAACCAGTCAAACACAGATGGAAACAGCGAAGGCGGCGGTGGATCGACTATGGGACTATGTCAAGGTCACCAGGCAATTGTAGTAATGTTACAGTCAACCAATAGAAATGTGTTTCATTCGAATGACATTTGATCCCAAAATGATAAATCCATATTGATAGAGCCCCATGCGTAATCCTCCATCCCAGCCTCGAGGTGTTGCATCATATCACCTGTCAATCCTAGATTCATACTCTGGTCAGAGTGCTCATTGTATGGGAGCATTTCGCTAGTTTCTTGAAAATTGAAATGATCAACGTTCGTACTGTTCCCAGTATTCACGAGGGGGTTTTCATAGGGGCCGACATTGGAGGGAGGCGCGAAGGTGAATTGGTTTGGATGTATATCTCCATGGTCAAATGCTTGTGAATGAGACCGTGCGTGTAGTTGCTCGCCCTCATTGACTTCTGAGCTGGTTGTCAAGGGAAGGTCCACGGAACGATCTTTCGTACACTCATCCTTCAACGCATCGAAGACTACGGCGAAGGGACCAGCATCCGGCATCTTTTCTTTGAAGAATGCAAGCACTTTGCTGCACGTCATAAGCGTCTCCAGAGGATCCCTCTGGCTGACTTCAGGCTCAGTCGGACCTTTGAGAACCTCTAAACTCAGACAGTAAATCACGGTCAGTCCAGCCGTGAATATGACCTGGAAATAACTTCTGGTCCAAGTAATGATACCTTTACCCATAAGATCGGCATACAGGCAGATGACGCGTGTCGCGGAGACATAGCAGGCTGTCAGTATCTCCTTGGTAACACCCCCAACAGAATATGGCCGAGAAGAAACATTATGCATCGCTCCTCTCGCTAGGAGTAGACGATCCTTCTCATACAGGAAATCATTCCACTCGGTGTATTCATAGAGTGTACGAGGCACAAGAAAGACCGGGGCTGTTCGCCGCCAAGCTTCGAGCTCTCTATGAAAATCGGAAAAGGCAGTGTATATGTGTCCGATTGTTTTGAACTCTGTAGCCTTCACTCCTTCATTACCAGGCTTTGTGTGAGGGGCTCGGCCACGATAAAAGGTGGAGTGAATGCGAGAGCTAATCCTGCGAAGCTTGACATGGAAGACAAAGCAAGACAATTCCGTTGGGTGAGAAGAGGATGCGTTCTGTATGGTACTTAGACTGGCGGGGCGGGAATTTATAATTGTCGCATCGTCAACATCGACTGGAAGTGGCACGGTGGCTTCGGATTCCCGAATGGCGAATGGGCGACCTAATATTCCAGAACTGTACCGGTCCAATGCATAGCATTCCCAAAAGATTCTCCGATGGTGTTGCTCTTGCATAGCATCGACTACTTGATCTGAGGGGACATGAAGGCGCCATTCAATGCATTGACGCATACATAGATATGACAATTCCCAGATGGACGTACCAATATGATAGTACATACCAAATCGTGTAACGAGTAACAAGTTCTGGATACCATCTATGTCTTTGATCAACGGTACCTCACTAAGATATTTCTTTGCAGCAAGAAAATAACCGTATGGATGCTCAGCCGAAATGCCCAGACGATAGCGTGTCGTTGAGCTGACGGCAAAGATCATGAATATTCGGAAGTAATCCTGTGCAGAAGCAATGCTATGTGGCGGCATGGAAGACGGTGTAGATGGCGCATAGACTCGAGAAAATATATCTAGAATATCTTTACGAAGTAAAAAGGCATGGCTCTTATGAAATCGAACGAGGCTGCAGAGTAGTATCAGTAAAAGCCTAATTGAGCAAAGACATTTTTCATACTAATTGTCAATAAGCTCTTGCGCTTCGTCCATGGGAGGAAGGCTGTTTGATGTGTGTTGAGGTCTTGTGATACGAGGCCGGTTGGCAAGTTGATGAAGAATCCGCGCTCGATGATGCAACCATCTTGAATCAGACAATATTATGTGCAAAAATCTAACGAGAGTAAGCAAATACTATTCTGCCAATGATAAATAAATATCCTTCCTTACCCAAGACCGCTTCCATCGCCAACAAATCCGTTATGTGACGTCGCAGTACCGCCAGTAGGATGATCAACAGGAGTGCTCTCAGCCGCGTCAGATCTGACTTGGGCGGATGAGCTCTCTGTTACGGATGATCGCTCGCCCACAGGCCCTGACTGGTGTACACGTTCACGTAGCTCTCTTTCCCGATCCTCCAAGCCGGCAATGTACTGACGCGAATAGCTTTGGCCTGTAATATGGTCCACTATTATGCATGCGATATTTGCTTTCGTACAGTTGCCACATTTTGGAGCCTGTCGGTTGCAGCGCACCTTGCGCAGCTTACATTTCTGACAAGCGGGAATCTGAGTATCGCGTTCCTCCGACATGGCATGCTGTAGGCCCTGTCTGAGACATCAATTTAAGTACATGAATCGATGATAACTAAGAGAAGATGAATGAAGCGGGTGGGTGAAATGTTGGAGAAGAAATTTGTAGAGAATGGGCCTTTCACGGCGAACGTGTTAGCGTCTCCCTAGGAATCGTAGTGCAGCCGCCAATCCCCCAAATCCCCAGCCCCAATTCATCAACCCCGCAAATGGCACAAGCCGTCTCCACCATTGTTTCTACTTATACGGATGCTCGTGACAGTAAATATTAATTGATTGATGGTCTAATTCTAATCGCTGTTACCTTTTTACTCTTGGAATTCGTACAGCGCCTTTGCAATGCCACTCCACACACTGGACGTTTCCTTCGAGACTATCCGTGATGAACAATGTCTGCCCTTCCGGCCCTCCGAAGCAACAATTGGTGAGATTGATTCCATTCGTACCAGACACTATTCTTGCTTTGGGGGTTCCATCTGGATTTACTACGAAGACAGATCCAAGGCTAGGATGGCAGACGAACAAATTGCCCTCCTCATCCATTGCCAATCCATCAGGTCCAGCAGTGCCAAAACTCTGGAAGAACAAACCAACCTTACTGGTAGTGCCGTCCTCATGGAGTGGCAACCTCCAGACTGCGTTCGATCGAGTCATGGCAACGAACAGTACTCTCTCGTTTGGTGACAACACCAGCCCGTTTGGACTGATGCCGTTGTCTAACAAGGTATCTAATTTCCCATCTGGTGACAGACGGTAGACACGGCCCGTTTGATCAGTCATGCCTGTTTGACCTTGATCCGTGAAATACAGATTGCCCTTTGAATCATAGATTAGGTCATTGGGGCCTTTGAACCTTTCCAAATTCTTTCTTTTCAACAGGCCGGTAACTGTTGTAGAACCTGGCTGAAGCGACAATATACCCTACAGCCGGATCAGCTATGCGTAAGATTAAGTCTATCTTCATGTCTTACCTGCTTGTAATCCGCGATGGCTATGTTCCCTTCAGAATCCACTGCTAATCCATTTGGCTCTCCATCCCACTCTGCTTCGACTGTAACTTTCTTCTCTGCGTCTATGCGCAAGATACGACCGTATGGAACATCCACGACATAAAGATCACCTGAAGTCGTGTAGACAGGACCTTCAAGGAAGATGTTCTGGAATAGCCGGCTGAAACCACCTCGCCATTCTGATTCCCGATCTCTGCATCTGTACAAAACCATTATTCAGTTTACCGCAACACACAAAGACGACAGTAATCAACCAACAACGCGCCGTACCTTATTTCATCCGGGATGCGAACGTAGAGTTCAGCAGTGATGATCGGTGGCGGAGGATAAAAGTTCATTATTGCACGTTAATGGGGTCAAACAACAGCTTTTACAACCGGATTAAACTCTTTTTTTGAAGAACGTCACATCTTGGCTAGCCAACAAGCATTGGAAGTGGTCCACATTGGCCGTCGGTCAGTCTCCGAAGGGTCCGATGTTGCGAGGCACTAAATTCTGCTAAGGCATGTGCTATGACGCATCGGCCACCCGCATCTTACACTGACCCAGTCCAGCTCATATTGGTGTCCATGTCCTTCTATCTGCGAGTAACGACCCCTGGTAAGAGGCACGGTACAATCATTTTTAAGAACCTAGATGCCCATCTAGTTCCCTATATACTGCACTTTCAACGCCCAATTGACATGGCATAACTATCATCCTCGACCTAAAAGTGCTTGTGCTCCAACCTCTCTGCCTTTTCCTTGTTACAGGTTTAGCCTCTACTCTACACGTTCCACGAGTTGACATGCGCAGAAAGGTGCAAAACGCATCGCACTGTTCACACGGGGGAATAAATGAATAGCCAAGACGTTACAAAGTGAAGTGACACGAATGGGATCGAAGCTCCAGATTCATCGCCTCGGTATCAACTTCGCACTATGAGTAACTGAAGACTACGAGTAACGCACATGCTACTTGAGCCTCTAGGACATAGGATTATTGCAAGGCAAGCCTCGCACATGGTGCGTTGTGGCTCAGCGCACTGCATTCGACCTCAGCAGATGATCTTCGGTCTCATCATAGTCTAACAACTTTGATACGTCTTCGTCATGGCTACTGATGATAACATGCCTAGGCGCCAATCCGCGGTTGCATCCTTCGCCAAGTTTAGGCGCGACTTTGATTGCCGCTACATGTCTGTCTTTTGATTTTTCTTTATGTAGTAAATATATCACATTCATTCCAGCCTTTGCCGATGATTGACTATATAGCTCACGCCATCTCCCAGCCCTGGTGATTATCTCAACAAGTCAATCAGGCATCTCCAGACATATCCCAACTCCCACAACCCTTTCCTTTCCTTTGGCCTGTAAGCCTATATCTCGCTACTTTGAGCTGGTTCTAGGCGGTGATTATGGCGACCAAAATAGCAGAAGCAGGTAGACAAGCAGCGCTGAAGGCGACCTCAAAATACGTAGAGGACGCCACTCAAGCACGGGAAACGCGGGTCAGCCATGCCATAACAACGAAAGATCGAAAGAACAATTCCACAACAGAGCTTGTTCAATTTGCTGCAGCCAGCATTGGATTTTTCTCGGAAATTGTACACCATAACCAGGAGAAGAAAAAGTTGAAAGAAGCAGTCAAAACAACAGAGCTTCCGAAAGATGAGTGCAACCCTATAAGTCCGCCAATCACTGCAAACGAGGCAATATTGGCACAGGACGACAGCGACAAAAATACAGTTAGTCAAGGAAATAAAGCTGAGCAGGAAGCCAACTCGAAGAAGAACTCAAAAGACCACGCAAGAGAGTTTCTTAGACGACGCAAAGTAGACATGACTCAACGAACGGAGCTCACTTTGCCGGTGATTCTTCCCCAACGAAGACCCAAGGACCGCAGCCGTGGTTTTGTCCGAGCATACTCGCCTGTACTTTCACAGGCTGGAATCAATGAGGACACGTTTTTGGATTTCATCGATACGTTCAATGCTACACTCCTACCGAATCCATACCTCCAAGCGATTAACCTGGCCGGCTTCGTTGACTACGGTGTACCCGAACCGGTAACTCTCATGATCGGATTTGGTCTCGAATATGCCACCGACGCAGTCATGGAGGCTCAAAGCCGATATAAATCCAACAAATTCCTTGGAATCCTAAACGCTGAATTCTTCCAGCCGATGGGTCTAGAATGCATGGTGGTAGTGTGGAGCCCAGATAATGATGCATCAATGGCAAATCTGAGGGTTAGCGCAGGCAAACCTCTGGAGCCCAGTATACTCTCAAATGTCCAACAGATCATCACTCAGAAACAGCTCAGAGACAAAGCTTTCCAAGACTTCGAGGAGGGAATGAACGAGAGTCTTCGAAGCCATAGTGGCGCAGTCGCTTGGAATGTCTCTGCACCGCTCGTCCGTCCCACCAACACTGTAAAGGAGAACAACGAGAAAAAGAAAAATCCCTTTGGTCGTGCAGAGATCTGGCTCGACAATTACATGGACGATACATCACAGGCACGACGAAAGCTGAAGCACCCCGACGACCCCATGGGAACGATGCTTCCAGCCCATCAATTTCAGTCTCGCTATGCCGATCCCAATCATCCAGCCGCAAGTGGTGATCTTGTAGCACTATTTACGGGGGGACGATGGCAATACAATCGCTCCCAATCCACTTCCTGCCAGGAGAACGAGAAAAATGAAACACGAGAACAGATTGATGGAAGATCCAATAGCGAAAGGGTTGAGACTCCTAGGTCCTCAAAGCCTGACTATGATTCCGCAAATAGACCATTGATTGAGGCTAAGGATTGTGAAGAGAAGCCGTTCTCAGCAGAACGTAAGCCCCACTCAGAGGATAAGGACACTGGAAAGATTATCCACCAATCACTAGATCCGAAGAAGTCCGCAAATGAGGAAGAGAAAGAACGAAAAAGGGAAAAGAAGCAGGAAAAGAAGCTTCTCAAGGAGAAGGAGAAGGAGACAAAGAAACTAGAAAAGAAGAGAAAAGAGAAAGAAAAGAAAAATAAGAAAGCTGAGGGCGAATTTGCAATTGGGCAGGCTCCAAAAGAAGACTCAAAATCCGGAGATGAGAAACCGGCCAAGTCGACTGGCAGTGCCGGGGCGAAGGGTCTCAAAAGTTTGCTTCAGAAGGTACTACTACTACTCATTCTCTCAGAATTTCAGTCGTGAGCTACTGCTAATTGATTTGAATCAGGACGTTTTATATCTCGTCATCCTCAACTCGGCACCGGATCTCAAACAACCCCAGCACACCAAAGCGCATGAGATTACCTCGTTCAATCAGATGGATAACAAATTACCATAAAATCCAAATATACTATCGACGATCCTGCAAAAATCCAAGGGGAATTTACAATTTTATAGAACTTCCAAGATTGTACGACCTAGCACTGCCACCAAGGGTAACCCATAATGTCAACGGGTCTTTCCCAACCTGCTCCTTCGTTGCGCCGGCATCTGAAACAACATTTCCAGGGACCGTGACTGGCAATGCAGTTGCACACTTCGTGTTCCTGGCATTGACTGTTAGACCCGTGATACTCTTTCGATCATCACTTAGTTGATAGCTGAGATTGGGAAGACATTCGTCCCGCGTCTTGCGGTTGATGATGGCGTTCGCTACATCATCATGCTTCAGTGTGATGATGGGCCACTGTGTCAACCTGACCACCTCGCCGAGGACTGACTCAGTCCAAGCCATCAATAACGACCACTTCTTATTCTTTCCCAGCAGAGTCACTTTTGGAGTGTCGGAAATTCGCATGTTTGCCTGGTGAAACATATACCTATCATAATGTAATTAGTTGTTACTCTATTTATTAATACAAAATTTACTTACGGGTCCCATCGTAGCCCCAAGAGGTATTTCGAGTTCACATCTCTTTCATAGTCAAGTTGGGTTTGGAAGTCGCCCTTACCGCCCGCGATAGCTTTCCATTCGTCGTTGTCGCACTTTGGCAGGTCGCAATTATAGTAGATTGATGTTCCGTAACGTCCGATAATATAAGCTCCCTCGTAGCCATTTTCTTTGACGTTGGTAACAATTGGATGAAAGTCTGATTTTCGATCGACACGATTCATCAGGATTGGGCGCGAATTGTCACCGACTGCAAATTTAATCCCATTTTCTAGCCAGGCCCGGATAGCGTCCCCATTGTGAAGACCAGTGATACCAGGGGGTATGAGACCATTGGGAGAAAAGTACGGAGAAGATTTCGCGTCCGTAAACCCGATTCTTTTGAACCATTCCTGATTCCATGAAATCTCTTTCACAACATCGGAGTAAGTCGCATTTGTTTCGTCTTCGTGAGTGAAGGTATGCGACACATGGAAATACGCATTCATATTCTGCTTATCCGAAAAGTAGGTTTCCAGCGGGTCCAGGTCTGAGCACGCCTTTGTCCACTGATACTCTTTGAACTTTTTATCCCACAGATCTTTGCCGGTACCGATGGGCTTCATGTATTCTGGGGGTCCGTCGGTCTGGGCAGGATAATCGACGCCTTCTTGTGGTTTGCATTTCGCAGGATTATTGTCGTAATCCTTCTCAACTGCGGCCTCGATATTACCATTTCCGTTGTGTCCAAGCTCAATGATATAATTGGAACCCGCGGGTAATTTTGCATTGATCTCCTTCATCCAAGCAACATGTTCGCTGAAATCGGCTGCCTTGATTCGATACGACTGCTTGTAATCAGGGTATAGCTCAGTCATGACAAAAACGTCATCAACCTGTGTGTTGAAATACACACGCCGGAATCCAAGGTAGAGGCCACGAGTAAGCCACTGGACCCATGCATGTGAAAGAACTGTTGAGGAAGTAAAGTTCGGGTCGAATGTAGAGAACCAAACTTGTTGCTCGCGGCCAGATGGGAATTTATTGATGACCGCTGCAGTTGTCTTGGTTGTGCCCTCGAATCGTGCGATTTCGGACGCCAGTGAGATATCGGAGATTTTGGCTGGGTACTTGGTGATATTTACTGTACTCATTTGAGCTCCGCTGGGTGTTGCATCAGTCTTGCCGTTGGTCTTTTGTTTCATCTCTATACTTACACAACTAGACCCGCGCTCGCAAAACCTTTGGCATCAGAGATAGAGACAGGGAGATCCGACTTCACCGTTCCACCGGTTGCTTCCACGCCGAACTCTTTGCTTGGCCAAGAGTTCAATCGCACGAGTCTAACTCCAAAAGCTTCCTGGTAGCTATAGAGCTCGTTCCATTGCTTGTCCTTCAACACAGCCTTCCAGTCATCGCTGCCCTTGTATTCCCGTGCGCTTACGATGACTATTCCGCCAAAGTTACCAGCGTTTGGAGTTGAGTTGAGTTGAGGAAAGCCGCCCCCTGGTAGCGAAACGTCGACGGTCTGGTATGGAATGCCGTAGCCTTGTAGAATGGCCGTTCCTGAAATCGTTGCATTTGCTTCCCGAGCGATGACGAGGATTGTGCTATTGACCGTGACAGCCGCAGAGGCTTGTCCCCCGAGAGTGGCAATGCAGGCAAGGAAACTAATAGACACTTTCCAAGCGAAAGCCATCCTGATGTTCAGTGGCATCTGTGTCCAGCTTGGGGATGCTCAAGCATATATTCAGGCGGTCCGGACTAGCGTGGCTGCGTAGGATTATCCCATGATCGGGAGCTGGTCTTGTTATACAAGTTTGACCCGGCAAAAGGAATAGCGAGGTGCATTGCGCATCGCATTGGTATACAAGTTTGACCCGGCAAAAGGAATAGCCAGGTGCATTGCGCATCGCATTGGGTCTTGATCTGCACTTGAAATATGTAGAGTATATTGATTGCAACGTCAATCGTATTTATGCATGTTATGATACATGCTATGGTTGCGTCCTAAGGGAATTGCCGACTGGCTTCGAGTAGAAACGCCAAATTTAGATTGGACTGCAGGTACAAACGGCAATCTAACGTACGCGACAAAGCGGCAATCTGGGTTTAGGGTATGCTGAAAAGAATCACTATCCACCTCAACATCTAGAAGAAGCAGAGTTGGTGTAACCTGAGTGAGTCGTTTTATCAATCCGTATTGTTTTGATGAAAGCCAATCTGGATCTCGGCTATTATCACAACCTAACCTCAGCCACATATGATTGGAAGACTTTCCCATTCAGCTCGACCGACAGATCATGGTATCCCAATTCCGAGGCATATATGGCTCTATTCGCTCGACCTTGAACGCACCACGGACAAATCAAACAATGATTGCACACGTCCTCCGAGTGTACTCAATTGATATCTTTTCCTCCTATTTTCAACAACACAACTCGTGCACTACAATATACTTGAAAATATCGATCAGATATATTGAAATAAGACTCAATATTAATTTGATTATGTACAAAAAGACAGAGACATTGATACCAGAACTCCATCTATAAAATTTTCGCGAGATACTCTTGTGTCAAACAGAGACAAAGCGCGATGTTCAAAGATTTTACCAAGCTACAACTCAATTAGACGTTGCCAAAAACATATTATCCAAAACCATGTCTTCTCACCACAATCAAGAATAGCAAGTGTTCATACCCGCAATGCGTGCGCTAGTGGCATTGTTGTCAAGCTCAGCATCCAGACGCCCCAAAGCTTATACATCTTTGCATCAAGAGCAAAATTACGCTTGTTGATGCCATACAGAGTCATGCCAGCAACGCCCATGCCCAATGCCCAAGGTAGAGAGGATGCAATGATCCCAGCTCTCATGAAGAGCGGAATGAATATCGACCAAAATAAAATCCCAGCCACTAAAGCGACTCGAGCTGTTGTATTTCCAATAGCCGAGATAATTGTGCTTCGTCCCCGAGCACTGTCGCCAGGCTCATCACGGAAGTCCTGAGCATGAATGGTCGTGAAGATAACGAGCATCATAATTCCAACCCATTGTCCCGCTTCTTGGGTCATCATGAATCCAGAACCTGCTGCAACCTTTAAGGCGCTCGACAAGAAGCATGCATAGCCGATGCTATTGATAGCATTACGGAGCACGAAGTTCGACTCTCCGCCTCCAAAGTCGTTGTAACCAATCACGGCGACTGTGTAAATGATCCAGATAGGAAGTACACCAAGTAGGCTGCTGACCATTGCGATCATAACACTCGAAACAACCAGCAAGCGCTCTGCTTGTGAGCAAGTCAATCTGTCGGAGGGTATAGGGCGCCATGGTTTGTTTATTCTGTCCTCCTCCACCGAAGTTTCGTTCCGTTGATTCTGGAGGCAGCACTGCAGGACCATGAGCCAGAGCCACCCCAGAACGACCGGAGACTGGCACAGTATATCCGACACCGTCAATGTGGGAAGGCTCAGCAAAGGTCCTGACATTGCTGCGGATATGGCGAATACTGTGCATGGAAGAATGACATCGAGGTTTTGATCGCAGGTGAACAACCATAATGTGTGTAGATGATACGTTGCGTTTCGAAGCTGAGCGTTCAGTACATTAGCATAGAAAGAGATCAATAAGGCATGTCCACTCACAGAGAATGCTGAAGCCGCGGAGCGGAACTTGTTCAAGCCTTTGTGAAAAGCCATTGTTATTAGCACGGTCGAATCAGGTTTAGAGATAGGACCTGTAGAATGAATTCACTTGTGATAGCTGTGCGACGTGAGAATGAGATGAAAGGCGCATTTATATAGCACATTTACCGTGGGTGAAATAACTAATCAGTGACGAGGACAGCCCCTAGGGGTGCCTATCTAGCTTCAGAGTTTCATCATCAATACAAGGGGCTTGACCAGTCACCCGCACCTCTATCGTCCTTCAGTTAGCATATGTGAACGAGTCACAATAGATGCGGTGACTAGACATGGAGAAGATGATGTTAGCTGTGATCCGGGCATAAAATCATGCGCCACAGCCTTAAAAGGTTGCCTTGACTTGGGGCCTTAGGTGAGACATTACATTCCATTCCCTAGAGACGAACAATGATAGGATGATATTGAAAATGTCCCATGTACGAGATAGTATAGGCTCTAGACTAGATTTCGAGGGCTGAGGCTAGATCAGTTATTCACAAATATGAGGGCTGAATTGACGAAGGACCAAGCCAGTGATGCGCCTCGGGGCGGACATCGCCAATCCAGCAATACGAAGGACCGCGAGAGACCTGCACAGGAACACTGCCCGTGTCCAACATGCATACAGATGGATCGAAAGGCCAGTTGATATTGAAGTAACCACCGTCACTGACTCAATCCATATCGACGATTTTATCAACATGTACAGCGAATATTACTCCGAGCCACTACAAACAATACCAGGTCTTGCAAGGGTCGGGTAGAAGCGGATCTTCGCGTATGTCTTCTGCATCAGGTGGCACTTTGAATTTTGATAGCAATTCTACCATGATGAGCGCGTGTTGGTGCCTAGAAGTAATGATAGCTACATAAGAGCATGGCTATGTTGAAGAGATGATGCCTGACGGGATGCTTATGACGTTCGCTTGCTACCCTGCGGCGCAATAGTGGAGCAACCCGCCCACCCCCCAGGCCACACTCATACATTACAGGTAATAACCCTGAATCAGAGCACCCATTGCTCGGAAATAATCTCCAATGGCGTTCCTCATATGGAAATGCAATCACCAGCTTCGCATGGGTCAATCTGTAAGATTTTTAGAAGGGATGAAGGACTCGCGGAATCAGACTAAGTTGTAGGGGATGGTGTGTGCACCAAGGTCGCGAACGTGCATAAGCTATTTCAATGCACCACTTGGAAGCTGCATTGCAAAACAACTCTGGCCAGTGATGGCAATCCCTATGTGGCAGACAGCCAGTAAAATGGTGTTGGCCATTTTCGTTTCTTTTCCTCCACATGCATGCCAATATATGGACAGGGATGAGACATCGCAATAGTCCACCCCATCCATTCCGGGAATATGAACAGGTTCCGCAGGTTTGCAGCTAACTTTTTCAGCATGTCACCCTAGCAGAGCAACCTGACATACTGATAGAGTTCTTCTGTGTATACGCGGATGCAGGCACCTGAACGGTGAATGATGACCCGCGCACCAGGGTTCGGCAGTCCAGGGGCGTATGGGTAGGGCTGAAGTCACCCCATTATGGAGATCCTCCGCGACCTCTATGGCACATGCCATGTGTTCTATCCGGCCGGCTAGGAACATGAGGGACCATGCAGAAGGCAAACGTCTCGTCTAGCATTGAGCCACCAAATGGGTTGCGGGACGTGAAGGACAGTTGGGCTCCTTGTATGTATCTGTAGGAGGTAGGTGGAAATGAGGCAATATGCCCTCAATCACATCCCTCAGGTTGCCTTCTTCTTACAAAACCAGAAGTCCGGCTGTTGGCTTGCAGGGGGGGTGCACCATCTTCGATTCTGCTCGTCCGTTAAGGCTTCATTCGTTCCTCGCATCAACTAGATGGTCTCGCACAATGAATAGGCCCCAAGTGAGTCATCATTTCACAGAATATCTTATCCATTGACGCGACAGACAATGTACCTGGTAACGAGCTGTCAGATAACGATCCGTCAAGCCACGCAGCGATCTGACGTTCTGGGTGACCGCCAGAAAACGTGGGTGTATCATGTTGTGCAATATGACATGTCAAGTGTGCTGGATGCTGGTGCATAGCTATTCATGGAATCGTGATAGGCTGCACACACTCGTTCGCCCCAAGCCTCCCGTCTACACCACCACGTAAGCGGGACGCCGGACCCCCAAATCCCCTTCACTCCCTTCGGCACCTGACAATACTATCAGCGGCGTGAGTGGTTCCTCGAAACCCTTGACAAAATCAAAAAGAATGCCGGAGTTGCGCGATTAGAAATGCTCCAAGACTCCCGCTAACGTACATCGCACTCAGCTGAGTTCGTCCGCCCATGACTCGCAATGGCAATGGGTCTGCGCCATTGGCTGGCGTTTTGAATTTACTGCCACAATCTAGCGAACGACACCTCCTGCATGTCAACGGGAGGGGCGCGACGGGGCGAAGAACGGTGTGAGATAGAAGGTCACAGCGATCCCAAGTATGCGATCACAAGTAGGCAATTCACTCCCTAAATTGTAATAAGCGCTGTCGGGACAAACGATGCAGTATTCGTGGTACTTTCATCTTTAGGTGGTTTCATAGTAAAAGTTTCTACTACTATGTGAGAGTCGCAACGGTTCGGGCTTCACAAATGCAATGTCACAGCGCGAACTCTTCAGTGTTTTACGTGTTCATTTTGTATGCCTAGGACATGTGAGGCTCTCATTATCTGTAGCCTCGCGCGAGCTCCAGCACGATCTCCTAGCCGCTTATCCATGACATCAAAGATTGTATTTATTCAGTAATCAGAAAAACCATAAACTGCATCATATTTCCTCGAATAATAGCGTCATACTAAACTGTCTGAAATGCCGCTCAGCCAAGATCTCGACTTGAGGCTCATCCTAATCATCGCACATGGGCAAACCAAGGGTAGTGCGTCTAAGGCCTTCTTGCAATTTGCGTTCCATCCGCAGCTGGGCCTGCATAAGAAGTGTTCTGCGCCTTTTACGCACGCGTTTTTGTTCAAGAGCATTGAGTTGGTTCTCAACTGTCGTAATCTCTTCGGCAGTGGCAAATGGGCCCGCTTTGATCTCTGCAGGCGTCTTGTTGTACCACCATAATGGGTTCTTGTCTCGAAAACCGTGAGCAACTGGTGGGACTGGAAGCCGGTAGCATACTTCATCGTCTGTGCGCCATACCCTCTCAGCAAGGCCCTCCTTCGATGCGTCTTGCATCGAATGAATTGCAATGCGCGATGAACGAGTGGATAGACGATAGTCAGCGGTTTGTTGAGGAGTCTTTCCTTTGTCACGACAGTATTTGGCGTAGGCAATCCCCGCACTGATACGAGAAATCTGCCAAGTTTCATCGTCATCAAGAGGTTCCCATGGATAAGTAAAATTGCATTCACCTTGAAATCTGTATACCTCGAAATCGTCGAGGTCTGCTTCGGAAGTCTCTTCATCAGATGATGCGATAATGATTGGATTGGAATAACTGTCCCCAGCACGTTTTGTCCCGGAGGTGCTTTGATCTGACATTGAGACAACGATAGGATCACGATCATTGTTCGTCATGCGGCCAGTCCGGTGAGCATTTGCAACATTTGGACTTTGGCTATCGATGGCATGTCTCTTAGATCTGGTTATCTCCATCGATTCGATGTGGGTCAAACAGCTCTTGAGTCGCGATGGCGTACGGTCAGTTGAATCTTAGTGTCCGGGTAGGAGCAAATTGACTCTGCTTGATCTTTTGAAAATTGATCTTTTGTACTATCTGAGTAACAATAACAAAGCGCACAGATGGGATGAATGGGAGGAGATGTTCGTGAACAATGTTATTGAACAATGCCCCAAGGTGAAGGATAAGACGGTACCACGAAGGGAACACATCCTTTCACACACGGTGCGAATCGCATAGCGTCTTATAAGTACACCCGTCATTATTCAATGGATAATGTATATGATGTTTGATGCTATTCAAGTATCGCTTTCCCAACTACGGTGCACGGGAACCAGAACGTTTAAAACATAGATAAAAATTGCGACTACCGTGGTTCCTTCACTCTCAAAACATTATCGACCTAGGTAACGATCTCAAATTGACGGACTTACCAACATTCCGTCGTCTTGGTGATAAAATCTGCAATAGTGCTTTGGCTCGGTTATAAGTTGTGTCACCACTATGGGAAACTTGATTGGTCTAAGACCACGTCATGCTAACAATGTTCGTTTGTCCAGACGATACCCACCAACCTTCTGTGGTTCAATATCGATAATAAAAACATATAAATTAATGCTTTCTTATCTAAATACACTAACGGGATCATGCAAATATCACTCGCATTACACTAAATTACAGCTGGAGAACTCCTCTAAGGGGCCTTAGCTATCTTGCTGTCCCTCAATCCGAGTTGTTTTAACATATTGTGGCACAGTGGATCAACACTTTGAGCCCATACACATATCGTGTCTCAATATCTTGCAAGAACCTCCTCAGTCCATTCCCACAGCTGGCTTGCGAGCTTCTCGTCCTTTGCGGCCTTGTCCAGAGTGTTATCCCACCCGTCGAATCCGACAGGGAGATAGAAGGTGCCATTTCGGAGATCCTCCTTCTCAGCAGCGGCAACAGCCCAAACTGTATTCCATGCTCCCTGACTGGGCTTCATTAAACCACCATTGATGAACTGACTCGCATGAATAAGCATTCGGTTGTACCACGTTTGGGTGTTGACAAGGGGTGTTTTCACCACACCCGGGTGTACAGAGACAGATGTGATTTGCGGGTATCTGCGTGCAAGCTCGGAAGCATATAGGATGTTGGCTAGCTTGGATTGACCGTATCTTAGCCATCCACCTGTGCCCATGTACGACAGCGAGCTTCCGCTTTCCAATCTTTCGAAGTCAATGCCAGCGGAGGGATGGTACCGGAATCCGAGCGATGTCAAAGATACAACACGGACGTCGCCGTTTGGTAATTTCGCGGTCTTCAACAGCGTCGGAAGTAGATGCTTAAGTAGCATTGCGTGGCCAAGATGATTGGTCGCAAATTGGATCTCGTATCCATCTTTGCTCAGTGTGAAGGGCTGAGCCATGATGCCGGCATTGTTGATAAGTCTGTCTAGCCTATCATGCTTGAACTCTGCCTTCACCGCCGATGCAATCGAAGCAAAAGATGAGAGATCCATTGCAATGAACGTCAGGCCAACTCCAACGAACTGTTTGGAGATTTCAGCGACTAACGCATTTCCTGATTCTTTGTTCCGGCCGGAGAAGTAAATGTGAGCGGGGCGATGAGCAGCGAGGTACCTCATTGTTTCAGCTCCTATTCCAGCAGTGCCTGTAGCATTCTGAGCGCAGGAATCTATCATGATAAGGTTGTAATGTACATACCTCCGGTGATGAATATAACCTTTCCGCCAAGCGGTTGTATTCCCGTATGGGGATTAAAGCTCACCTGGCCTTGGATCGCAGGAGCCATTTCAAGGCAAAGTGTGACTAGTTTTCTTATTTAGAGAAAATATGGATCTTGTTGAGGATTTTGACAAGCAGAATGTTATGTCTCAGACACGTAGCAAACGGGTTCTTCATGTATACGAGTAATTTATTCCTATTGCAGTCTTATAATCTTATTGCAAGTTTTCGGACGAATTTGCAACCTCTACCTAAAATTTTCAAATAATATTGCGTTAGTGAAACAGCCTCAACGTAAATCTATCAAACCTGTTGCTTTGTCGGAAGAGGCTTTTGGAGAAACTATTGACATGCATAGCTTATTTGCGGCTAGACCTAGATAGGATATAGTGCGTAAGCACATTGCATAGAAGGAAGCCTTCGTTCCCTGAACTCCTTTAGATATATCACTTTTCAATTCAATGAAACAAAATCAATGAGAGTTAATTTTCAATCTTACCTCGAATAGCTAAAGTTCATAAGCAATGTACATACTCGCTGTTCCAAGTCTCACGAACAATATGAAAGACACCACCAATAACTCTTTGGCCGGATTTGGTCCGTACAAGCATCTGACTGAAGTATGGCCCAAGGCCTCATGTTTGATTTGACAATTGACAAATACACAGGCTCACAGTCTCGAGGATGATTGGACAGGAAAATCTTCAGCAAAAGAGAGGCGTAAATTGCAAAATCGCTTGCATCAGCGAGCGTGGCGTACGCCGATTTTCCTTCATAATGCATGTACGCAACTAATATGTAGAAGGTCGAAAAAAGGCTGCAGAACGAGCAGAGACATCATCTATTGAAAGCTGCAGAGGCTGCGGTTCGAATCTTGCCCAAGAGTCAGGCCTGGACTTGGCTTTCGCGAAAGCCTCTGCCGCACTCATTCCACAGCATCGGTTACGTGTAGCGCCTCCACCTGGTTATGTGGGTATTGGAAGTGCAACACCTGAGACAAATTCGCATCAATTGACGCTTAACAATTCTGTTTCGCCAGGAAAAAATGCACATCAAGACCTAATCCACTTCGATGGAGACACCCGAACTTTAGGTGCAATTTCTAGCGTCACGCCAATATGTTATGCAAACGACATTATGAACGCCCCCCTCTCCGCCGATCACCGACTCATAACTCTCATTCAATTCAATGCTCTCCGTGCATTCATAACAAATATGTCCCTCACATCCTCACTTAATGCAATCCCCACAGAATGTCACATTCAACTCTCAATAGTTCTGCCCACGCCTCCTCAGCCGCCACCGACATTCACTCCGACTAAGCTGCAGCGCTTGCATCCCCACCCATATTGGGTGGATTCTGTTCCATCCCCAACTCTACGGGATAATTTAACTATTGCTATTGCAACTGGCGACCCGCGATTCGACGAGGACGCACTATGTGGAGATATGTGTGGAGGGCTATGGGATGGGTACGATAATTGCGCCGAATATGGGATTCTGGTTTGGGGCGAGCCATGGTTGGTAGAGAGTTGGGAAGTCACGCAAGGGTTCTTGCGAAGATGGGGATGGCTTTTGAAAGATTGCTCAGATATGATAAGGGCCAGCAATGACTGGAGAGAGTCGAGAGGTGAGGAGAGACTGATTGTAGAGGTATGATGAAGATGACATATACATATGCTACGCTCTAGAATGCGGATGCTAGTAAACCAATATTGCCCAGAATGAATCGTTCAACGGAACATCGACGACTCGACTAGTTTGCCCCTTCTCCTGTCTTTACCCCAAGTCTCTTGCGTTCTTCAATGCGCTTTCGTTGCTCATTGCGCTCTTTCATCCCCGTATTGATATTGAAATGGGCCCCGCGGAGCTCGGCGTACAGTTTCCCTGCTGTAACGTCTTTGATGGGCTCACGCCACGGGCCAGTGATCTCAGTCTTCAATAAATCTGTATCAACCATCACGTCTTCATGCGCCCTCAGCACAAAGACAATACTAAACCGATATTTTGCTGGTTCTTTTCGACTGACTTGCGATGCAGCAGCCCCCTTGCCGACCGATTTACCGTATGCGACCACACGGTGTCCGCCAGCCGGATATCTGAAGTTTGACAGTCGCTCCAATTGGCGACCACCCAGCAGGGTCGCGCAAGGGGTACTATAGTCCTTTTCGATGGGTATGTGTTGTGCGCCATTCCAAACTTCCAGCCCTGGCACGTCGCCGACGACACAACTGAGAAGACCCAGATCCGCATGTGGTTCTGCGACAATCTTTTCCTGCCACCCTTCGTATCGGAATAACCTCAACATTGTAGCAGTCTTTTGCTCCTCGTGGTCGCCCATCTCTTTGCAGGGTCCGACAAATCTTCTTAAGCCTTCATTTTCGCCATCGGGTATGTCCAGGGTGGAACTGATGCGCCCAAGGCAGGCGTCGAGATGTGAGCCCATCAGATCCCAATATCGCTTCGCAGGGCCCTTCAGCACATCCGGTGTGTATGCTAGAGTTCGCAAGGTGATAAATTCTTTCTCCCCAGGGATCTTTGACCAACCCTCTTCGCTACCATGCCGAGTCTTCCATTTTTCTTTCTCCTCGTCTGGAAGGTCGAAGAATGCAGCGCTGGCGCGAAAAAGATCCTCATATGCTGTCTGGATGGGGTGTGATCCTGGATTCAATGTTGCTTGTGGCTCGGCGGCAGACTTGGTGATAGAGCTGGGTTTAGCGGTCGGCTGAGGAAATGTGACTATGGTCCATCCGAGCTGCGAGAGTATATGTTGATGTTCAGGGAGGACTAGCGGAAGAGGGGAGGGTTTCAATGGCGCCCTTGGATCAAAGTAGTCTTGTGGCTGCTCTTTGGTCTCCCTGGTCTTCCTGTTTGGTTTAAAGCGTGACAACAAGCGGGATATCGGGGAATCCCGGCGCGCCTGATTTGGTGCAACTGCCATTTACTTGATTTGGAGTATGGTGGCCAAACACACTGTAGATACTGCGGTAGACAATTCGTGAATGTTAAATGAATCCCGTGAAGCGATGGAGAGGTCCAGGTACTCAAGTAAGAACTAGGTACCTCACCGCCGAAATGAGGCTGGCAGCGCCACGCGTGCTAAGCCACCAGCACTGCCTTAAGGTTCTCAGCAGGAATGATATCAGAAGAGCGAATACGAAAACGATGGCATTTTACTCTCGGTACGAGGTGTTAGCATTGCATCTAGCTGAGCTGTATTCGCACCTTAATCCTTGCCTTAGTTCAACTCTTGTTCGTAGTAAGGACGTGGAATATTCAGGATACGGACACACGGGGCTGGGGGTTTAGTTCTCGATCGCCACACTAAACCAGTGCTCCGTCTGTTACTTTTCGTTTGTATAGGTCAGACTAAAACTGTTTTAGGACGAAGGAGAGTTGGAAGTTGGTTGGAATATGAGGTAGAATCGTACATTTGAGTGAAATGATGAATCACGTGCATTTTCTGCCTCTTCTCAACCCTTTTGACGTCACATATCGAGGTCCGTGATCGGCGGCGCGACCCTGCCAAGCCTGCGACTTGTCATACCAGAGGGGAAAGTAATTCTCCTCTACAACACTTGTGAACACCCCACACTCCCCAATTGCGTAAACCACATCACAATTGAAGCTTACGAAAGCATCATCAAACAAGAAAAAATATAATATGTCGAGCTCGGAAAGAAAATATGCGGTATGAATTGTGTAAATTTCCAATTGCCTGCCTCTTAATCGTCGTCGCAATGGCCCCTCACACTATGCTCACCTATCCACGGATGGACATACTTTGATGAATCGCAAAGCATGTACGTATAGGTATCTTGGGTGCCATTGGAACAGTTGGAAACCGATTTATTTCCATCCTTGGGAATCATCCTCAACTCAAGGTTGTTGCCGTCATAGCATCCAGATCAGCGGGAAAGCGATATGGTGATGTGACTTACTAGAAAGTCTCCTCACCAATGCCCGCGAGAATTGCGGACATGATCGTGAGGAATTGCGATCCTGGCGAATTTACAGACTGCGATGTTGTCTTCTCTGGTCTTGACTCTTCCGTTGCTGGCGATGTCGAGACAGCCTTCTTGCAGGCCGACATTGCTGTCTTCTCCAACGCGAAGAACCATAAGTTGGCTCCTGTCGTACCATTGGTTATCCCTACGGTCAATTTGGCACACAACATCATTCCCGCACAGCGTCAACAGTACAACCTTAAGAAGGGACTTTTGATCTGCATTAGCAATTGCGCTGGTGAGTCATTAACTCGAACTCAAAAAACATCGTGCTAAACATTCGTAGTTGTCGCCAATGCAAGCTTTGTCGGGAGCTGGCTACCCCGGTATCAGCAGTAAGTGAATTGAAGCGCTGTTGTACGGGCGTCTCTTTCGCACATTCTCTACTAACATCATGTCAGGCATCGATATCATGGACAATGTCATCCCTTTCATCAGCGGAGAGGAGGACAAGATCCAAGCTGAGGCCTTTAAGATTCTCGGCACCGTAGAGCAGAGCTCCGCCGGAATTGCTAATCAGTCTGTACCCATCTCCAATGCCTGCAACCGCGTACCAGTACTCGACGGCCATCTCGTCTGTGTGTCATTGAAATTTGCACAGCAGCCCCCACTAAGCGTGGATGAGGTTCGCGCTGCTTTGAAGGAGTACCAATCCGAGGCACAGACTTTGGGCTGCTACTCTGCGCCTAAGCAAGCCATTCTCGTTCGTGACGAATCCGACCGCCCTCAGCCACGCTTGGACAGAGATGCCGAGGGTGGATACGCCGTCACCGTCGGCAGGGTTCGACAAGATCCAAGCGGTATCTTCGATTATCAATTTGTCGTTTTGAGCCACAACACGATCCTGGGGGCTGCTGGCGCATCTGTCATGAACGCAGAAGCGGCCATCATCCCGGGCTATCAATGAGTGCAATTTTTAAAGCGCACGTTCTTTCATACTTATCAGCATCATAAGATGCTGATCATATAAGGGGCATCAAAAAATCATTATACCTTTTTTTAGATCAGATCACTACAACAACCTTGATTGCCACAATGTCTGCTTCGGCCTTATGTTAGGCAATCCTTTGGCGTATAATTCGCTCATGTTAATGAGCACATCATGCCCGATTTCTTCTAGTCAATGATGTTCATGGGGATTACGTACCTAGGTCTCTTACGGAGCAACAATCGTTCCTTAGAGTTATAGTTTTGAGTCTTGGCCCATGGACGCTGGGTAAATATCGCGGATACTAGGGTTTCCTTGTTTAAATTAAAAATTCCGACATTTATAACGTCCGCATCCCATTTAGGAGCCATCGCCGGCCGAGCATTTCGGAGAAAATAGTCAACGAAAATCCGGGGAATTAAAACTTGTTAAGATCGTCAATTCGGAACTTACCTGTCATAGTTACCAAGGGTGTATTTGGAATAGACAAACTTTGCTGACGGCCACCCTCGTACGATTCGTGAGGGGTACACTAAAAAGTAGGCACGCTGTAGCAAAAAATCATGTAGTAGATAAATTGACCAGTGGAGTATGTCATATAAGCCTATTACTCTTCCAAGAGCTCGCTTGCAGCTCCAGATTCACAAACCTCCTCTGATAGACGATCGCCTACGCCTAGCCCTTTTTTCCCAGTTTTCAACATGATGGGCAACATGATGAGGTCTCACTGCTCAACCGTTCTTTACGAATTATATATAACCTCAAGTGTCTTGCGCAGAGATCGCATCAGAAGCTTCATCTAGGTGTTCTCTTTCAAAACCGAGTTTCACTTGTACAAGTGCCAATCACTACCCTCACAGCCATGCACACCCCGTCCCTCGCCCTTACTCTCTCCATCCTCACCCACACCGTCCTTGCAGGCTGGGACTCCAAACTCTGCAACGGCTCCGGCGGCTGTTTAGGACTAACATGGTTTCCTGGCACCGACTACAAATGCCCTGACGGCGTAACCTTCACAGCGCAGCAACTCGCCGGCGATCTCCTGGCGCTCGACAACGGGCACTACGAAGCCACGACGCCAGAGCAATTCCCAACGAAATGTGTCCGTGGGACGAAACCGGGTCCGAACGATAAGCTTGTTGTGCATACGGGCGAGTATGGTCAGCTATACTATGCGTTCATTTCCGAGGTTTGTAGAGAGGAGAAACCGACGGCGGATTGTTATAATCAGAATCCGAATCCTTCTTCGTAAGATCAATGCCGGTTGGGGAGATTGAGGGAGAGAGCTGATCTGACAATGTGTTAGGAGCACTCTTTGCCAGATTACTACAAAGGATGGGTCTGGGAACTGTGAGCAAGCGTGAACATGAGTCGGAAGCAGCGATGCTTCTGTGCTGGTGAAGATTGTGCCAGAGCATCATGGGCAGCAGAACAAGACGATGGAATCTCATAATTGAGATGCATGTATTAATCAGATATCAAGTTGTTCTGTCAGACTGAGATACGTTGGGTTAAATTAGGTCGACGCGATGCTGATATTTCTGTTGACTTTATTCTTGTCCTCTTTGCCTCCCTTTGTCCCAAACCTCCTTTTCCCTTTCTATTAACCACTCCGGCACAAAGGCCTTGATTCTGATGGGCTGCGACGTGGAGCCTTCCGCACCGTCTGCCTGTAAACCAAATTCCATTCCTGGCTTGAAAGTTCCGCCCTCTGCACTTACTCGTAATGGGGTCATCATCTCGAGTCTGCAGAGCGCAAGCCCTACATTACCAACACTTGCAATGAGCTTTCCAGCTGCTCTTCCTTTCTTGATGGAACCGTTCTCGTCAAGCTGCTTAATGTCTACGCCAGAAGAAACATCCTCACTCCACTGCGGATCAAACCTTGCAGCGGGGTCTGTCGAAGGTAGAGATATTGGCATTTCTTCTCCCGAGCGATACAACTGCACTGGTAATATCCGCTTCCGTACTATTCCAGTATGCTTTGTACGGATCGTGAGCTCCTGGCCGACATAGCATCCCTTCTTGAAATTGATACCTCTTGAAAGATCGATGTTGTATTCCAACGGGAGAGCACTCTCTCTTGCAATCTCTGCCTGGCCTTCCGGTATTCCAAGCATATAGCGTCTGATTTGATACTGTCTCAAGTCCAGAACCTGATCTTCACGAGAGACCGTGTCCGGAGGTCCTTCATGCAACAACCGTATACCAAAACCGTCAGCTCTTGGATCCACCAGTCCGCTTACGAAATTGGATGAGTCGATCACGCCCTGTGATTCAGCCCCCCAAGCGGTCCATAAGTTGTGTTCCTCGCGCGGTACGTGCTTGAGGGTAACCTTGGATCTTAATTTGTGCTTCTTCAAGTGTCGCAGGACAGTGTCGACTTCCTGGCCATCTACATCAATGAAGCACGACCAATCCCCGCCACCCGTTCCTTCAACGCTGTTTGGCCAGACGAATATATCCCATAACACCCTTCCTCTTGCGTCTAGAAATGCAGAGTAAAACGGTTCTCCATTGTGAGGATCCACGCTATTGGTGATAAGGCCTTGTAAAAACTTCGCGGCGTCTGGGCCTGCGAGCGAGATAAGGTGACGGTGAGACAACTGGACGAGTCCGTACTTTGCGACTGGTCCTATATCGGCTGAGGACTGAGGAGCACCTGTGGCGTCTATAGTATCGTGGACGGATGATGCATAATTTCTATTTGTCTGGGCATATATTCGAGTCTTCGATGATGTCCGTTCGAAAATAAATCTTGAAGATAGAATTCGTTCAGTTGGTCGTAATGGATTAAGAGTCGCAGCGGATGCGTATGTCGCGGACAAGGCGGGGGCATTTATGTTCAGACGCGTTGGTATCTGCTTCAACCGAAGAGCCCTTGAGCAAGAGGTACATATAAATGACGCTGAGTTCGGTCGAACACTCATGATTGATCTCAATAACCGGAAGGACTAATGATTCGAGTCGTGGATTGAGAGATCGGAGCTCTGACCAAATCTTTTTGAAGTTGAACAATATTAGTGTCTTGGCGGAGGGTGATGTCATACAGATTGGACAACCGCGGATTCGTCAATTCATTTCCAGGTGCAACCAGCAACTGCCTCACGTACGACAGAACAGTAATCATAGGGTAAATCCTACTTGTCGGACACCTAAGATTTGTTGTCTGACACCTAGGATTTACCTAATCATAGCAGCTCGCTGGCCTTTGTGGCATACAAACACGTTTGCTCGATAGATCGGTCGGCAGGACTTTTGGAGAATCATTGTGTTTACATGAGGAACGCCTAAAATGCCCTAGCTGCAGATATCGAGGGTCAGAATTATGATCCCAATGAACTTGCCAAACAATACAAATGCCCGATATTCTACGCCGCTGCTGCTCAAATCGTTCGCAGCCCAAGGAACCTACACCAGCAAGACGTCTTGATCATAACGAAACTATACAAAGTTGAAAACACTCAGTCGTTTTTCCTAGTCAGCCGTGCACGCTCATCGCCGTCTGTTGGACTCGCGGGCTCTAATTCATCGTCACTCCACTTGTCATCATCTCCGACAGCAAATATGGTGTCACCATCAAGACTCTCCCGAGGTGGTATCACGGGCTTCTGAGGTTTGGGTGCAGGCAGAGGAGAAACATCCCGGTTGAAGTTTGAAGGGCCTTCGTTTCGATTCCTTGGTGCAGGATCGTATGCTGGCGGGTGGTCGCCACCACCTTCTTCCTCATCCAGGGAATCACGCAGAGATGCAATCTCGAAGCCCTCGTCATCTTGTGCAATCTGTATGGACTGTTAGTGCGTTCACATTGCATTACAGAGACCTGTCTTACCTCGTCGCTCATGGCAAATCGTCTGTTGTTCACCGTGGGTCTCCACATGTAAGCCACGAAACATACATCGGCCAGATAAACCAGGTTCAACCAGCCGTCGAGAACGAACCACCTAGTTTGCCAATGCGTGGGCGCAAACTCAGGGCTTGATGCTCCGGCAAAGGTGAAGCTGTTGATGAAGAAAAATCCAAAGATAACAACGATGCTTCCCAGGATACACCACCAGAGCTTCTTGTACATATCCGCCTTAACGTGCTGCTTGCGCTCCATCAAATCTTTCATGGTTAGGTTAAGAGAGTTAAGGGTCCAGATGTAAAACGCCGTGAGTGTCGCCGACAATGGAAGAATGACAAGTAGAACCAGAGGGCCAGCATCATCGGGTCGGACAGTGAGGGAGGCGACTGCATAGATGACACCGAAAACGAAGTGGGCGACAGCTAACCAACGCACAATCGTCATGGTTTTGCCGAGCGAGGTCTTGACAACACCATAACCCATGCACACGATCAAAAGCAGGAAAAATGAGAACGAGTTCCTGAAGGCATTGAGTACCGCGACGACGATCATCAACACCTTCGCTCCCACATTGTCCCCATGGCGATTCTTATAGTCATAGAAACCCCAGGTCATCAACATTTCCAGGACCAAGAATGCGATGATGGCTGTAATGTAGTTCTGGACGGCCAGAATGTCATGCCTATTTTGGAAATAGAGAAAGCCCCAGAAGATGCCAATAACTGCGTATACGATGGTGATTCCGCCGTAGAATGGAAGCTTGGCGATCTCCGCGGCGCGAAGTTCGCCATAGGCGTTTTGAAAGGTGACTATAGCGGTATAGTCAACATCTTTGGTGTATGCAGCCGTCGCCACGCAGTAGTATCCAGTCCGCAGGGGTATCCTCTTCTCTTCGTTCTGTGCTACGGGGTATTTGGCGACCTGGGGTTCTTTCAGATGGACCGCGGAGGTTCGGATGTAGTTTTTCGACATCTGGTCAGCGTTATCGGCGAGAATCCATTGGCCCTTTTGCGTTTCGTTGCAGAGCTTGATGTTGATAGTATCATCGTTGCAGATGTAGTCGCGCTGCGCCGTACGTTAGCCACATTGCCGCGTGAACTGCGATCATGTATTCCCAACGAACCTCGTCAACAGGCTTGTCTGAAGGCTTGCCCAGCAAGTCTGTGTCTTTCCACTCCCAGATGACGACGCCCACGGTCGGGTCGTCAATTCCTTTGTTTTTCTCTGTATTCTCCTCCTGCTTGAGGAACTTGACCATGATGTACGGTTCTACTTTGCCGCCCCATGACTTCTTGCTGTACATTCCGGAGCATTTTTGAGTGTCATCAGGAGTCTAACAGTCAAAATCAGTATCCTAATACATTACGGATGTCGGGTGGAGTGTACCAGAGTAACGTCCACGGCTGTGACCGCAGTGATGCCTGCTAATAGCAGCAGGGCGGAGGTCCGCCATAGCTTCATCTTGAACGTAAGGCCAGCTGGCGTGAAGCCTTGCTGTTGTGGAGATGGGGAGCTTCGGTCGAGGGCGACGAATGCGCGGAGCGTGATCAGAGGATGCGGCTCTTCAAGTGTGCATCGCAATCCAGGTAAGATATCGTTTGTATGGGAGGAGCCGGGAATCACGGATTGTTAAAAGGTGTTAGTTATTTAGATGCGCGTCGTAAGTCCCAAGTTCCGCCCCGACGTTGGTCCGTGCGGGCCTTCCCACTTTGAGGCGGCGTCCATGTCTATAATTATTCGTCACATCCGACGAATCCTTCTGGATAAGCCAGCGTCTTTTGTATACCATACTCATACTATGCCAGGCAAACACGTTGAAGGCATCGCCGAGAAGGCATGCCGCCGATGTAAAGATAACTCTGCCGTACTAGTCGTGCGATTAGAGCCACTCTGCAGGTACTATCAAAATGTGACATGATTCATAACTGGCCGTTCACTAACAAAATTGATATAGAGACTGTTTTAATAGATATGTCCAAACCAAGGCCATAAAGCGAATGGAGACTTTTCGTGTTAGGAATTCTGCCCCAGATCAGCAGCGCAAGATTTTGCTACCAGTATCTTTTGGTGTATCTTCAGTCTCTTTACTCCATATCCTGGATACCCACTTGAAAACTCAACAAGCTAAAACTGGCCGAACTGGCTACTCCCTCGTAGTTTTCTTCGTCGACACCTCCAGTATCGATGAGAAGTCCCCTAATCCGGAGTTATTGAAAAGACTGCAAGAATCATATCCCGATCATACCTACGTCTCAGTTGCGTTGCAAGATTTGGTCGCACATATTCCTCCGGGAGATCCGTTACTAGAACTTGTACCAGCCCTTGGCCTAGAAAATACTCCAACACTTGAACGTTTCTCGACATTGGTGAACTCGTTAACATCCGCCACCGCACGCGCCGATGTTCTCTCCACTCTACGAACCAGGTTGATCGTTGAGCGCGCCAAGTTGGCTGGGTGTGAGGGTATCCTATGGGGAGACAGCACCACCAAGCTGGCGGAAAAGACTCTATCAGAGACAGCAAAAGGGCGTGGCTTCAGCCTTCCCTGGCAGATTCTGGATGGCGAGTCTCCTTTTGGGATTGGTTTCCACTACCCTCTCCGCGATGTGTTGAAGAAAGAATTGGCTTCGTACGTCGAATTGTCCGACCCATCTCTTTCAACATTTGTGCACGAAGGCTCTACTTTGGCGACACAGGCCTCGATGAGTTCCAAAAATACGACAATTGACGACTTGATGAAGCAATATTTCGAGTCTGTAGAGGAAAACTTCCCTAGTATCGTCGCAAACGTTGTGCGCACCACTGGCAAGCTCGAGGCGAGTGAAGTCGCTCAATCCGATCCACGATGCAGTCTTTGCAAAATGCCAGTTGTGCAGGGTCGATTCGGCATACATGGTTGGGGCGGAGACCAACAGGACGGACTTCTGCCTGCTGGAGCCGACACCGCCACAGGGCTATGTTACGGTTGTACGCGATCGATGCCTCGCTCCACAGTCGTCTCGAACGGTTCATCCTGAGTTTCTTTACATCGCACTCTAGATAACCACCGCTTTATCAAGTATCTACTACAGCGCAGTGCATCAGTGATGATGCACCTTTAGAGGCGGCGACTACCTGGCACCTGTTTCTAAGCGCCGTTCCCCACCATATCTGCCATCTAACCGCCAGCATAACGTTTCAGATGCTACGACGAACGACAAGGATGCATCGATTGCGGCACAGCAGTGTGCAGTGAAGGCAAAAAATATATTAATCACTCCCATCCGCTGTATCTTCCAGACATGTATACTCTGTTGTTATGTCGCTTCGCGCTCTCTTCCTCGCCTACATATCCAGCAGAGTCGCAGCAGTCCCGCTTCGTCCCCAGGCAGCAGAGGACGTCTGGTTCGACTCACTTCCTAATAATGTAGCCTGGACAGACGCCCCACAGGTCCGGGGCACTTTTGATCTGCTTTTATCGTGTATCACGACATTGTCTCTTTGCGCGTGGACGGCATACCACCCAAACGTCTATTACACATCCTCTGGGTGGCGACGACTCGGACACAGAGCACTCTGGATGGCAATTGCAGTTTTCTTACCAGAGGTCGTTCTATACTGTGCGTGGGAACAGTGGTGGGCTGCAAGAAAGCTCAGAAACGCGATCGATACGACTGGGGCTTCTGCATTTGATGGCAACGGTGTTCGGACAACTACTGAAGGGTGTACCAGTTGTCCAGGAGCCAGACCAAGCTCCTCATTACCAGACAACAGTTCAGACTTGCAGACCAGCGGGACGCACGCGCCGACAGCTTCAAAATCTGAGCAGGACAGCAAGCCGCAGAGAAAAACTTCTGGACGATTGCAACAGTTTGGATCTTCGTTATCGGCTGTCTTCAAGAGACAGAAAAAGAAGAAGAGATGGACATGGACCACAGAACAAGCATTTTTTGCACTGACGGGCGGCTTTGCGATACCAGCACCAAGTCGTCTGGAAAGCGCAACTGCTTTGGAGAACAAGTCTGCAGCACCCACCCATCTCACTTTAACGCCATCGGGAATATTATTCCTCGCACAGCTCGGGCTACTACCGAATACAACCCCGGAAACAGTCTCTGACAAATCGAAGGCAGATCTAATAGCGAAATTAGTTGTGTGTATACAGGCCGGTTGGTTTCTACTTCAATGTCTTGCACGGACAGTGAAAGGCCTCCCTCTCAGTCTCTTGGAGATCCATGTCCTGACACACGTCTTGTGTGCATTTGCAATGTACCTACTTTGGATTGACAAGCCATACGACGTGGGAAGTCCAATCATGATTGAGGACGACGTGGTGCGGGATCTCGGAGCCTTATGGATGCTAGGGAACAGCGAAACAACTGGATTGGGTATTGATGCAAAGCTTGGGTATGACGACAGCCTCGAATGCGCGCTCACCTCGGAAGTCCACCTCTCTCATATTCAGGCATTCTATCGAGCCCCTCATGGTAATTCTACATACCAGCGGTACACGAGCCTTGTACGCAAGCAATTCAAGCGTAATGTCCCGCCGATACTGGAGGCAGAACCCGAGACCAGATTAGCTCTACCGAATGAACTCGAAACCACGCATCTTGAGCAAGCAAACGCAGCACTGAAGTTCCTCAAGTCGCTCGACATCCACTTCCCTTACCACAGCAAAGCGGACGAGCTCTCGTACCGACGCGACGACCCGCAAGACCAAACGATATACCGGCACTCCACCCCAAACGCCAGAATCCGCTTTGCCACACAATACGTCATCCCGGAACGAAGCAACCTCCTGATCGATGGTCTCACCGACTTGACTGGAGACAAATCTCATTCAACCCACGTCCTACGCTCACTGAAGACATTCGCATTCATGGGATCCGCGTACGGAGGCCTGCACCTCGCGGCATGGAACGCCCACTTCGCGTCCAACATTGAGGCCTGGCTCTGGCGTGCATCGGGAATCGTCATGATCACGATGCCCGTAGCCAGCGCCATAGTTGGTACCTGTTTCGCCCTGGACGACACGTTGCGAACCCGCTGGCGTCGCTACCGAGACGACCCTGCGACCAACAGCGTGAGGAGGATGGTTGAACGCGTACGTTGGCACGTCCTCAAGTACCTCGGTCTCTCGGCGATGTGGCCGGCGGCCATGGTGGCACTGGTGGCTGTGGTTGTGTATCCAGCTGCCAGGGTTTACGTGCTCGCGGAGAGTTTTGCAGGTCTGAGAAGCGCAGAGAAGGGCATTTATAAGACGGTGGAGTGGACGGGATTCATACCGCATGCTGGGTAGGTTGCCGGGAGGGAAAGAAGGGGAGGGAGGAAAGAAATGAGAGGAAAGAAACGAATTGTCCCTGTGTGTGTTATATTTGCACGTAGTAGAAACGACGTTCATCTGTTGATATAGAAGTCCGACCATGAAGCTGACGGGACATCATTAATGGAAATGTTTTATTGAACCCATTATTTTCAGATGGTAGGGAAGGCAAGATGCCATGATACAATGTTCTGTGTACTACGGTGATGATTGTCCGCATTTCTCGGAAAGACGAGGCTAGGTACCTAGAAAATCGACATTCGCGTGGTGTGATGATGGGAAAACCTCGACTTATTCTCGCCAAGGTGGCGGATGTTCAAGCTACTACTCCTGCTCGTATTTACGTTAACATCGGATTCAGAGTATATAGGATTTACTCGTTTATATTGATTATTATAGTTATAGTAGAGTGGGCCCAACTTGGATATCCTGGCGATTACATGGAGACAGATGATTATGAATAAGAAGGGAAGGAAAAAAGAATGAGAAAGAATGAGCGATTTCGTAACGATTCGTTAGTAGCGGTCGATGAGGAGGTATTACACAAGTGTACAGATGAAAGTAAAAATCAATCTAGCGAACGCTGGCGCAAAGAGAGGGCCGATCAGCCATACAACACGCAAAAACCTGAGCAAACGCCGTACAAAGGGCTGTTCCTGCTATACACAGGTATTTGTAGTACTATTAGAAATGAAAAAATAATGCGATGGTTTTCAGGGCTTCAATGTCTCCTGCTGTCCCTTGTGTTGTTGCGGCTCGGGCCGTCGCGATGAGAGCGTTGCGATCGGTGGGTGTCGTTCCTCGAAGGTATGGCCATTTCCTCGTCGCGGATCCTCTCGTTCCTGCGACCAGAGTATGCACGGGTTGGGTGCCGGACTTCGTCGTGGTCGTCGGCGAAGGTGTTGCGGCGCTCTTCCTCCTCATCGGAAAAGTCTTCGTAAATGGTCGCGGGCGTGTAACTCAATCTGTTGAGCCTCTTCTCTTCCGCGATAAGCTCTTTGGATTTGTATTTTTTGTCGAGGTGCTCCTCAAAAAGGCGCACGTTTTTTGCGTTGCACTTATAGGCCGCATCGGCAATGTCGCCAACGAATGGAACCAAACCAACAAGGAAGTCGAGTGCCAGGTTGAACAGCATCATTATGATCACCGTCACTGGAAGGCCGTCTGTGCATCTGCTCATACTCCAGATGAGTTTAGCAGCAAACCCGGCATCGAGAGCATCGCCGACTGCAGGGACGATACCAACGACGGACGACCAACCGAAGCGGACACCCATGAAATTGAATAAGCACATGTCTAGTCTGTAGGCGGTCTTGCGGGCGCGGGCGAGGATGTTCGCATCGTGCTCGGGGATATAGGCAGGAATCTGTCTCTTGACCTTCTTCGTCTTGCCCGGCTTCCTAGGGTGCGGGATTTCTTCGTAGAAAGGGTCCTATACACATGTCGTAAGTAGATGTTATGAATATAGTGTGAACGCATGAAGTCGATGACTTACATATTGTGATCCGACTTTCTTGTCCTTGTATTTGTTGAGCTCACTAGAGAGCATCTTCTTCGCGGCATACTTTGCGATGAGTTGCGTCATCGTTGCGGTGTGGTGTGTGTAGACTGAAGTTGGATGGGATGGAAAGGAGAGAAGACAAGGGGTGGATGTGGTGTTTTTCTTTCCTCGTTTGTCGCTACTGTTTGAGGAGAGAAGGAATTGGTCTTGGGATAAATTGAAGAGTCTGAGGCGACACAGGCAAACTTATAGGTAAATAATATTGAGAGCGCTGTCGTTGTGTCGCAGGTCTGGAATGTTGTCTGAGATGTGGGACAGGATATGGACCAGATGGAAATTAGTGGGCGGCGAGCGTTGGTTGGCTGATGTTGATCGTGGTTACAGGATTTGAAACGGGCGCGCGCGTCGCTGGCCAGCTACAAATAGACCAAATCGAACGAAGCGAATTGCGACGATTGAGTGGAAGGACAAGAATTATTGTGCAAGAATGAAGGAAGCAAGATGAGATGGAAAGGCGACGAGATTTAAGATTTATCAATCAGTGGGCGGCGGCTGCTAACATGGCGGGCGATTAATGATGTTTAGACAGCTCATGACACCTCATAGTGGTGCAGATGGATGGGTGGTAGAGACCAGAACTTGATAGGGAAGGCACGCGAGACGTCATCGCCCGTAGCTTCCTTCCTCGTCATTCGTCCCTCCCACATCATAACTCTGTAGCTCCTGCCTCGTGATTCGTTAGCTTGACTTGCTCTTTCCATCTCATGTGCCCACCAAGATACTGTTCCCTTCTCGACCAGTCACGATGGAGGGATATCAGCACAGCCACATGAGCGCCACACTTTTCAGCGCATCAAGGGTTTCTTTCCTGAGGTTTCTTCGGCGAACGCGACAGATTGGCCAGGCCAGAACGGAAGAGATTTCACGAGTACCTTTGCTAGCTTGATAAGATGCATTAGCAATTGTATTCACATGCAATTGATTTCCTCTCACTATCAATCTTTCAATTCTTATTATTATTATTATTATTGTTGATATTACGAGGTACATGGTAACTCGTCTGATGAACTCCGACCTCCGACGCCTGTCCAGATCCAGAACGAGCTAGTCCATATACGTCTGCCTCTGCCTCTGCCTATGCCCAACGACGCGACACACCAAACTCTCCCCTCCCATCAGTCAAACAACAACGAACTACTCGTACCTTTCAATCCATCACTATCACCAATATCACCCCATATACATACGGCCATAAAAGGAACACCTCCTACCTCCTCTTACTCAATCTCAACTCCCGTGCCCAAACGGCATGCCAGCGCACGATATCACATCCAAACATGACAGACATAGACACAGGCACCTCCAAAATGCAGCTGGTTGACTGGCTCGATGACCTATGCGCTCGCTTCATCATCAACCTCCCCCACGAAGAACTCCTCTCCGTCGAGCGAATATGTTTCCAGATCGAGGAAGCTCAATGGTTCTACGAGGACTTCCTCCGTCCCCTCGACCCTTCCTTGCCCTCAATGAACCTGCGCCGCTTCGCCCTCCTCATGTTCCAGCACTGCCCGCTGTCCGCCGCATACCCTCAATCTCTGCATGAACAGGCCTACGACAACTTCCTCGCCTACAAGACCCGTGTCCCCGTGAGGGGTGCAATCATGCTTAACTCCGACATGACCCATGCCGTGCTCGTCAAGGGTTGGAAAAAAGGCGCAAAGTGGAGCTTCCCTCGAGGCAAGATCAACAAAGAGGAAGCCGACCTCGACTGCGCCGTGCGCGAGGTCTACGAAGAGACTGGCTATGAGTTGAAGGAAGCTGGCCTCGTGGGGCCCGAAGACCAGATGAAAAAAATCGTCGTGTCAATGCGCGAGCAGGAAATGATGCTATACGTCTTCCGCGGGGTCCCAATGGATACCTACTTTGAGCCCCGAACCCGCAAAGAGATTTCCAAGATCGACTGGTACAAGCTCACCGATCTTCCCACTCTTAAGAGGAACAAGCACGCACAGCAAGGAAATGCGCAGGAAGGCATCAAGGACAATCACTTCTACATGGTCGCCCCCTTCCTCGGTCCCCTCAAGGCTTGGATCAAGCAGCAACATCGGCTTGACAAACAAAAGGCGAAGTCTGGCCCCGGCGCACAACATTTGGCCCCTCCCGTCCCGGCTGCTGCCACAGATACCGAGCTCGAGGGGGATCTGGGAGAGACAACGGCGGATGAAGCGGCCGTTCCCGAAGACAACCTGGCCGGCCTCCTTGCTAAACTGGGCGGTCGCGGTCATCGAGCGAGCGATGCGCTGCCAGAGGTTTCCGATCAGGTTGGAGAGCAAGTCACGGTAGACCCAGCTGCCGAACTCAAACGTCTGCTCAGCGTGGGCGCAGGCTCAGGTCTACTGGTACAATCGCCGCCCGTGGAGGCTCCCACTCAATCCAATCCGCTGCTAGCTATGCTTCACGGCAATAGCAATCCGGTTGCCCAACAGCAGCCTCCCATGACACCATTTGATCAATTCATCACGCCCATTCACCCTCAGAGTCCCCATGGTCAGCGCCATCCTCGCCAACCCCACCTTGACCAGATGGCACCTCCGCCCCCTTATCCCCTTAACTCCCATCAAAGCGCGCCTCCATTCCGTGGTCCCCAACATGTCCACATGCCTCATCAACCTCATAGAGAGTCTCAGGCGCCCCAGGTGCCCTTCCGCGGCCAATTCGTGGCGCCGCCTCCTTCCCTCCCGGACAACCCTCCTTACCCGGTCGGAAACCCCAATGTCCAACAACTTTTCGGCCAACAACCGCCGCGGCCCTATCAACAGACTGGCGACCCCCAGTTTGCACATGCGTCTCAGTCCTCGAATCACCAAGGGCCACGAATACCGCAGGCCACCGACTTGCCTGCGCCGAAGCTCACAGCACACGCATTGGGACTACTCAATTCCTTCAAAAGTCAAGAGAAGCCGCATCCACCTCCACACCTCCCACCGAGTATTGTTCATGAAGCTCCACAAACACAGCATCAGCCACCAGTTTTGCATCACCAGGACTCGATCAGCTCCCCTCCTCATATCTTATCTCACCCTTACGCTCCAAGTCCACCCCCCTTCCAGTCTTCTCCGCCCAGTTCAACCTTCCAGCCCGTGCAGCCTAAGCCGAGGAGTGCACATCAAGACTCTTTATTGAACCTCTTTCGGTCGCCATCCTTGACCGCCGCAACCCCCGAGCCTCCCAAGACGGATGAAGCGCTTGTCGAATTGTCCGCCATGCCCACTACGCCTGGACATCCTGCATTGCCTGCGGAGCCTCAGCACAAGGGCCCACCGGCACCTATCTCGGCCCATCAGGCAAATCTTCTCGCTGCGTTCGGACAAAAGCCGAACCACCCAGGAGTTACCACAGCTACCGTTAGCGGGCCGGTGAACGTACCTGACTTTGAGACCATGAAGAGGAACACACACCTCAATGACGCAAACGGGCACGGCCAATCGCGCGGTCCGTCGCCAAATCAAAGGAAGAGTGCCGAGCAAAGGCAGTTCATCCCTCAGCAAATCCTCAAGCGTAACGATACGGTGGTCTCCCGAGAGAGCCCCTCCGAACTTGGCCCTCCCAGTAAGCATGCGAGCCCGTCCACTTCGAATGTCTCGACCCCACAGGCTACAACATTCAAGCCACACATACTGCGACGTCCTCAACCAAGTACATCTCCAGCTCCGCCCAGTAATCCAAATTCTAACCCTCTTCTTGCCCTCCTTGGACAGCATGCATCGCCTCAACCTGCTCCGGCACAGCTTGCGAAGACGCCTCCCGTGCCAGCCGGACAATTGGTTAACGATCGTCGAAATGTGTTGCCGACGGACCAAAAAAGCGCACTTTTGTCCCTGTTTGGACAACCACCCCGGGTCACAGCGTCGCCAAAGCCAATATCAACCATTCCGGTTCCGCCTTTTGGTGTATCCAATCCTCCATCTAGCATCACTAGCCTCTCGGCGAATTCGCCTTTGCCTGGCAGTCCCGGCCCGGCTGGCAAGAGCGCTCAACCTCCCACTCCTAAGAATCTCATGTCAGGCGTCATCAGCCCCGTCAGTCCACTCCCAGGGCAGGGCAGCCAAATGAACAGCCCGGCGAATGCCGCAAGCCGAAGCCGAATCTCCAGCATCGGCGAGCCAGGGCCTACGAACATTGTAGTTCCGCCAGCCCAAAGCAATAATCATCTTATCGAGGAAGGCGGACTCACCAGTTCAGGACCTCCAGGTCTCAGCGACAGACTCGGGGCTATCAATTTAGACAAGGGAAAGGTCAGAGCCACCAGCCCTTCCGCCACGGACAAGAGCTTCCTTCTCGGTTTCTTAGAAAACGTGGCGAAGGGCAGCGGGCGGTGAGCGGTGCACTACGATTAGATAACTCTTCAGAGTTTTATGGCGATTTTTCTTAGGTGGAGTAGTGGCATAATTTTGGCCGGATTCATTGCTCGGAGTTTTTGCTTAGCTGGGGTCACGTTTATTCATTGGAAGCATTACGGTGGTGAATGGTATCTCATATTATTTCATGATGGATTGGGATTAGGAATCAGGGATCAGGGATGAACGAATTGGCCACCTAGGAACAGTCTAGGGCATGGGCATCTCGTCCCCCGAGCGTTGGCCTGGGGTTGAGGGGGAATCGTGAACGACTATTATTTTGGGAGGATCCAGGTAGAACCCTATAAGTCATGCATGCTCATGGAGCCCACGAAAAAAAAAATAGAAATACAAACTCAATCAGATATCGTTTATCAACTATATTTCCCCTGTGTGACTGATTGAATGAAATATTATGTAGATGCGCCGCGTGGGTTTTCATCTCCCATTTCCTTCTATTGCGTGCAGGAACAATTACAGAATGCAGTATCCCTCCAGCCCCCGATCTGCTATTTTCTATTTTGAAATCACTCTTGATAGGTCTATCTGCATCCTCTAGTTCTGATGGCTTTGTAAATTTCGCTCAAATGCTGTTTCTGGATTTTCATGGATTTTCTATCGTTTTGGCGTGCTATTTTTGCTTGAGAAACGAGTTTGAATTGCAGATCGGTGTTTAACGTTGCGATGGAAAACAAAATCTGCAAAAGCATAAATCATGGAGAATGACATCAAGAAACACACGAAAAACTGGAAGAAGATCGACTATGATGAAGGGACTGAGCTTGTTGGCTACATGGTTCAGGATGGAGGCCATATTCCTGCTTTCTGAGGTGGCGCTACGCTTCGTATATTTCTTAAGTTTAGATGAGCAATGTCCTAATGTAAACACAATACTCAAGCTCTAGAGGTTATGGTAGGAAAATGGTATTAGTGAAATATACAGACTAGTCTTATAAAAGGGTTATCTCGATATCCTAAAATCCTAGCATAACAGACCTGAAAAAGGATTCACCCCATCTATGGTTTCAATATTGAGCTCTACTATCTCTCTGACAGCTGTGGGCATATGAAAGCCGTATTGTCTTCCAATGATTAAGCATTTCACAAGAGCTTCATAGGCATGCTTTTGGACAGTTTTGCAGTGCTCTTGGGATATCAAAGCACTCGATGTGTCTGGTAGTGCCTCTTCAATCAGAAAGCGGTAGGTAAATGGGCTGACTTGGCAGAGAATCAGGCATGCTGCGGGAATCATGTTGAAAAACCGGTCTTGTTCTTTGTCGTGGGAACGCCGCGCAAAATGGAAAATAGGGTGAGTTCCAACATAGGCTGATACCGACAAATTCATTGGCGCACGCTTTGTTGGAACTATCGAAGGGTTGCGCCTCGTGACTCCCTCCGATATAACCTTCATAGAACTCCGCAATCACTGTTGAAAGGAATTCGACCGGTCGCGGATCCAGACTCTCAAGCATGGCGATCTGACTTGTAAAGAGAACTGTCGACCGCTGCACGCTTTCTATCATGTTTCCCTGCTGGATGCAGCTATCAAAGTCTACCAGAAACCCACGGACTCCATAGTGCAAGAATTGCTCCGCTCCTCTGGCATAGGCGATGGAAGCCCAGTGGGAAGATGACCTGCCTGTGATGGCGTCCCCAACTCTCCATTGGCGTCGAACGGTTTCGAGTTTAATTTCCGACCCTACGAGAAGAGAAATTGCCAATAGGGCTTCAAGATCAGCGTCAGATACCCCTTGAAATATAAGGGTCGGAAGGTCCGTCATGGAACTCAGTCTACGAATTAACCACATTGATGGCATGTCGAAAATGGTCTGTCTAGTGTAGAAGTAAAAAATGTTAGGGAACTTTGGAGAGACTCGTGGCCGATACTACCTGGATATTTGTACTGTTCTTCGATCAATGCTGGAATGGCCCGTATTAGAGTCAAGTGAGTGTTGCAGTCCATGTAGTACATGGATATCCCTTCTGTACTTATCTGAGGACTCTACAAAAAGTCATTTGCCGATTCATGGGCAAGATTGACGATATCCTCTTCAACCTTGACTAACATTCTACAGGGCAGTAGTCGATCTTTCGTCACTTCGGTTGCCATGAGGTTGTCAGATGGTTTCACCCCCACTACCACTGTCAACTCACTTACAGTAAGAAGTTGGGCAGCGAGAATGACCCATCGAAGGAGAGAGACACGCTCTCCTTTGTCTTCGATCCGCCGGAGTAGCCGTTGATAGATCCCACCAAGTCCCTTGGGAACACCACGAAGAATTTCCTTGACGTTAGACCAAATCCTGCCCCGAAGTTCATCAGCAATAAATCCGACCCATTAAAAGGTTCCTTTAATGCCAACCAATAGACTTTGCTGCATTTGCAGCACCATCTCATCTGAAGGCACTCGCTCAGATGCTAGTTCGGCGACCTGGGCAAATATGTATCTCCCGACGTTGTGGGAAACATCTGAATCCGAGTCGTCCAGTTTAATGCGATGATATCGACTCAGTTTCCTCTCCTAAAGGGTCGGCTGGGGGCGGGAAAGAAGAATGAGATTTAGACATGGGTTTGACTTGTCTTTAGATTTGGATATGCAGTCCTCTAGAGCCTTAAGAAGCTGCTCGAGAGATCCTTGTTGGCGCTCGTCTAGTCCATCTACTACACACACTACCTGGCAAGACCCTTTATGCTGAAGTAAGGTGAGGAACAGCCCCCACAAGGTGCAAAAGCTGGAAATGGCATATCTCGTAGGTTTAGAGCTATCAAAGGGATTTGAAATGCATTGTGCTAGGTGAGGCTGCAGGGTAAGTCAATCATGTATAATGCCTCTCATAATGGCCACTGCCGTGTTTCGGTTCTGGTCACGGTTACTACAGAGATAGCAAATGAGAACATCATGGATCGAGTCAATCACTAGCTGTAGCACCTCGGTAATGTAAATGGCGAGCATGCCATTTCCTTTCCAGGAACTCATTAGATCCAAAGAAGTGGTGGATTTGCGTACACAAGCACTTTTTAATAGGTACGATATTTTATGAGCTAGTCGCAAGTGCCGATGATCTTTCTCGTTTTCAAAACGATTGGAGATTTTCGGTCAACTTCAGGTCGGGCTAAAAGCAAAGCATGGAGAGCCGTTGAGGTTGCCGGATATGTTTCTGTTACCACAGAGGCGGATCTTGTGATCGTGGGTATTAAGGACAGGACCTCTTTGGCACATGAAGCAGCTGCAGTGGCAGCAGCGGCGGCATAGGCATGCCGGAGGTTTGAACGATGGGAGTCTGCGTAGTAACAGATTCCTCGGATGGCCAGATATTGAGTGGCATCTATGAAGTCAACAGCGGCTGCGTCGAAACAAAGGATTCCATGCTCTCACGTCAATTTGTCTCGTGTCGAAGCGTTACACCTCCACTGGTTTCCGGATGCGACTAGGCCGTAATTAACTCTAGGGTTCTGGTTCGCGTGAGGTGGCAGATAGAGACATTGACCTGAGTCGCAATTGAGGCATACGCCCTCTGCAGTTTCGATTGTTGTTTGATGATAATTATGGTCGGATAGGACATCTTGCTCTAGGTTTTCATGCGCCGTGGCGGTGTGCTTTCTTCCCGTCTCGGAGATATATAGAGGTATCTAACTTTCGCCGAGAAATTGGATAATTGCTGCCTTGCCTACAGCTGTGAGAAGTAGAGTAGACAGTGCCTTACACGTACCGCCGCTGGTAGATTGGGGGATCATATACAACCTCAGTCTCCAGATCGTACTGAACAAAGCATGGCTGGGCAGCGGTTGGTTCTCCCACAACGACATCACCGAGGAAGAGATTTTCTCTGGTATTTGGAACTCCTCCTCCGATGTAGACTGAGAGTCTGAATCGAAGGGATTTGAAGCTCATGTATAATTGTTTGGCGACGACGACAGTAGAAGAGATAGACTCAAGTTTACCAAAGGTTGGAATGCGATTAAGACATCATGTCCGCAGATACTACCCAGAACATAGCTATTGGTGTCATGTACGGTTGGACCCAGAGGCAAGCTGGGATGAATATGATCCAGTGTAGCCTTAGATGCGGCCACCTCGACAGGCAAAGCGCAAATCCACCCAACAGTATAGTCATCTCGAGAAGCCATTGCTTAATTTAGCTCGAAAGAATGGTAGTAACCCTGATGAGTGGAATAGTTGATTCAAGGAGAACTGATTGGCGAGAGTGGGTGGCAGAGCGCATATGTGCAAGATGTACGCAAGTAGATTTGGCTCAGCTCCCGTCCGCCATTTGACACTTATACAGTATCTTGGCGTCACCAAGACATGATTCCCCTGTGACACTGCAACATGTCCTGCTGTCAGGTGTGTCCGACACTAGCTGGACGCCAAAACTAGACTGTCGACTGTGCATACAAACTTCCTTGTCTTAATTTGAATGATAGAAGAATCTATTGTGTAAACCTTTGTAAAGAATAGTTGGTTGCGCAGATGTAGTGATGATTGTCCGTACAGCGTGCAAGAATTGAAGTCACCACGCTCAGCGATTCTACCGCCTCCTTCAGTGATTGAATATCTACTCGCCATAGCTAGGGTTCTAAAAAATCATGGCTGTTTTTGTTTCAGTATGTTCGTTAGAGGTCTCACTTTGTCACAGTGTATAAACTTGAGTGGATCGTGCTCGCATCTAATTAAGCGTCGACGGACCGATTTTCTTCAAGGATTAGGTCCACGCGGAAGGGATATTCACATAAGATCGTAAAGGAATTATATGCCTATCTACAAGATACCATGCCGCTTCCTTGTTCTCATGAGTGTGCATAGGAATCCCTACGTGGTTAGTGTTTGTACGCAGTGAAACGGGAAGATACGAAGTGTGTCCACATAATAGGTATTGGCAAGAGAAAGGGCCAATATGAATTTCTATAAAGGGTTCACGTTTATATATGTATACAAATATATAGTATACGAGTAATGGTCAAAGAAGACATTTCAACCAAGCCAGCACGATTGTTCATCACCAACACAGAGGATTAGACGCCTCTGCAGTAGGGAGCATCACAGGCACGACCCGCAATCGGTGGATAGGTAGGGAAGATAGATATTTGACTCTGTCGATAGGTCTCGGGAGGTAGGTTGAGAATGCCTCGATCTCTTTCGGCAGCCCTGATCGATCTATCTATGCCCTGCCTAGTGCCTTTCCCCATACACGTGATCCCCGAATAGCCTCATCTATCCTGCTACACCACAATGCTTCGTAGCCAAAGACGTACAATGTCTGTCTGCTTCTTCGACCCCTTCCATCCGATGGTATTGCCATTCATTGTCCTCTCAGCCGTTTCACAACCTTTTTTGCGCGGGCTCTGGGATGCCTACCCGCCAGCTTCATTTCTTCCTGCTTGGTTGGGCCTACTCATGTGTAGTTCATATCTAGCTCGACGTAGGTTGGCCTCCACTATAGCGAACTCCAAAGGATGCTATCATTTCTCCACTGTAGAGCATTTTTACAGAAGTACAATTGAGTCATGCTCTTCCACTGGTGTCCAGACGGATTGTTGATAGAATTGTAGCATATGAAAAATTATATGCACACTAAATACCTAGGAAAGAGTCAAGTATTTCTTTCCATCTTGACGGACCTTGGGTTCTGAACCTCTTGAATGTAGTTGGTCAGTATGTCATGACTTGCCGTTTCGTTTTCGTCGTTGTTCTGCTCTAGGTCGAGTCCTGCACTATCTTTAGGCACTAGCTCCGCTTGAGCTCCATCTTCGAAGGATGGCCTCCCATTGTCGAGCACACTGCACATGGATTCTTGCGGATTTATTAATGCAACGGCATCCGTTTTTGACAGTGAATTGCTGTGAGAAATCTCAAGAACGTTGTTGCTGCCGCTAGGTAGCTTCTGTAATGCAAATAAAGCGATTTCTTTCACATGGCCAGCGATGTGTCGACGAAGAGTGTTACTCCCAAAAACAGGATCGAACCTGCTATCTTCATCTTCGTCTTTATCATTGTCTTTCGTGATCTTGCAATCGTCGCCAAAGGGACACTTAAGAATCTTGTCGTGAATTGCAGCTGCATTACTGAGAATCCAAATATATTCCTCGGGAGTGTTATGCTGTTTTCGTTTATGCTCCAGATATTGGACCTTTTGTTCGAAAGTGATGGCTTCATGAGAAGGCGCACCACACTCCCATGCATGCGGGTACGCGTTCTCCATACAATTGCTACATCTTAACCCTATTCAACTTACACTCAGTATTATTCCCTAAACTACCTACCACGTCATGAAGATCTATAAAAAGAAAGCGTCTCTTACGTTCTTCCTTGAACTTCTATTTACTAATAATTTTTAAGTCATGCTATAACTTCTAAATTACCTTACTATACTACAATACGTTCAAGGGTGTAGATATAATTTAGGAACTTGAGTACATTCTAAGTCTGATAAAGATTTATGCTTGTACTATTGAGTAGTTCTACTGTCTACATTAATCAAGTGTATAACAAAAGGTTTCCTTATGAGGACCCTAATAAAATACGTTCTGGCCTAAGGCATCTGACATATTCTAAGTGTATAACTGCATGTGTTGCTGAATTTTCTTTTTCCCGAGATAGTAGCTCAATACAGTGGCCTTGATGCTCAAATGTAGCATAATGATGTTGTAGTTGTGTCAAATTGCCGAAAAGAGTCCATTGTAGAGTACGCCACATGTAGAGGCAGTGTGCAACATGGTAAGCGTGTTCGCCAAAGACAGTATCCATTTTTGAGAGAATGTGCGGGTCTTGTGGTACTTCTGTATCCGGGGTTCGAGATTGGGAGCTATACCATCTCCACGGTTTGGAATACAGGGCTAGTGAATCGTCCAGTAACTGAGCAGAGTAACATTCTGGAGGTGTCCATGCATAATTCATCAAGTCGAAAACGCAACCCTTTTCCAAGGCTTCCTCTGGAGTACTGCCACATGTTGCAAATGTTCCGTCTGGCATGGACATCGACTGATGTGAAGCGGGCGCCCCCCAAAGATGCAGTGGCAGAGGCAGTGTTACACCTATTATAACGCCGACAATGAAGACAACGGTGCCGAATAAACAGATTCCGCATACTGATCGATGAAATAACTTGTCTTTGGTCGATATGTCGACTAAGACATCTCCGTCGTTATCCTCTGACTGGGGGACGCCCGAATAATTGTAGGGGGCCATGAAGACGATGATCGGGTAGGAAGAAACTGCTGAGAGACGAAGAACTGAGTGAGGGAGAGGTCTATCTGAAAGGAAAGAGAGATAATTAGGGCAAATGAGCGAGCCATGTGATTCTACAAGCGGTGAAGAGGTTAATTAAAAGCTCAAGGGTCGTCAGTTCGTATTAACCCCTCCCCAGAACCCGAACCGGGTAGCATCTAGACCTTTGATTTATATTATAAACGACACCTATATTTCACGCAACACGCCAGTAGTCACTTCTCCAACTGACCAATTTACCAGGATTGGCATAATTTGACCGAGTAGAGCATCAAATCAACGAAGCTTCCGTGTCAAAACGTATCGTTCTAGTTGCTAACCAGCAGTGAACTTCCTACGGACACCGTATTGACGACTAAGTGGAGATGTAGTGCTCATTCGTATTGTTGGAATGTACAAGAAGAATGACCCACCCTTATCATTTTACGATCGATCGAGCGTTTCGAGTTTGAGATAATTTTGGCTAGAAATGTGCCTATCAGCTTAGAAGACTGGGGATCTACATGGGGAGAGTGTATACGGGCTGCAACTCTCTTAGTCAATTTGTCAAGGTAATCGTCAAGATAAACAGTCATGCCTATGAAGCATGACGGGGAAGATGCTCAGTTCGTACATGCCAACCCCATGTACGCCCAGCGTGTCGACTCAAACCCGTCGTCCGCAATGCTATAGACATATAAATGTGCCGCCTGCTCTCATGTTACTTTCTGATGCACAACCAACATTCATCTCCTTTACCTCCTTTTGAAGACTTTCAGAATTTCCTACCAAGCAATCACTCAAAATGAAGAGCTCTATCATTCTCTCGGTCCTTTGCACTCTTTTTGTCGCAGCGAGTGCTCTTCCAGCTCCCGACAACGCTATTGTCATCGAGGCACGCGAACCCGCAGCAAAGCCGGAACCTTGGGTCTGCCACAATTGTGACGAAGTTGAGGAGAAATAGGCTGTCAAGGATATATGACAGTCTCGCCATCACCACACGAAGCTATCAAAACCACTCCTGAATTTTTCGGTTCTGCATTCCAGCATGCCCACCGGAAACAACCAATTTCGACAGCAGGCCGACGATGGCTAGCACTTGCGTGGATGGAAATTATCCTGATCAGTAATAGGGGGATATACTCAGGAAGCTTGGACCATCCTTCGTCTATCTCGTTCAAGTACCTCAATACAACCTATCGCTGTGTCCAAACTTGCCGTTCTTTTTGCTTTCGTGACTGATCCATTTCTCTTCTACCTTTCCTTCCCTTCCCAGCTACACACGCAAAGTACATGTTCAAATCCTCATGCGTGAACAATATCTTAACATGAGTGCATTGTAGATCCCATGAAGTTTTGAGCTCCATAATCCTAAGATGAGTCTCCGTCCTGGCACGTTTCTCCGCTAGATTTGTAGTCCTATGGCTATTCCAAGGGTGTAGAGACGGCGAAACTATAATAGCTATGCGCTAGACTAGCAGGAAAGACACATGCAATCCAATGTACACAATCTGGTAGGACTTGGATAGAAGTAGATGAGCTAGACCTTCGCATGAACCCAAGAAGTATTCAATGGTGAATATCAGGGTTCTCATTCCAGTGGTGAAGTAGCGTTTGTGAGTTTGAGCGGCGATTTGTCTCTGCCCAGTCCATCAATTTGCCATAATCCCGACAACGATGGGTTGTTCCCCATCCAAGAGCACTGACGAGACCAGGGTGGCCCGGTACTGGCTCAGCCAAATCTAGGGCCGGATCCGCGGCGCATAAAACAGCTTGTCGTAGGTACTCGATGCAATGATACACGTGGTCGATTTCTTCTTCAGTTATGTTGGAAGTAGAAGCAACATCGGGAGTAATTGCACGAATCGCTTTGTCAAAATATTCTCGTACTGTGAACTGGCAGACGATGAGAACAAGTAGTGTTTTAATGGGTGTTATGTGATAAGCATACCAGACAGTGATACTGGTGAATGCCAGACACGCTGAAGTCTTGCTTTTTGTCTTGCTTCCCGTGAACAGGATTACTCAGTGAGACAAAACCTCGTCCCTCTTTGCAAATCAGCATATACAAGGCCTGCTCAAGTTCCGAGACATACTTGGGAAAAGACTTTTCCATGCTGCGTCAGATGTTACTGTTGGAGGTCCGAAGAAAAGTTTGTTATTTTCAAATGGAACACTCGTTTCTGAGACTGTATCCTCTTTAGTCAATAGTGTGTCAATCGGACATTGTGTCTGGCTTATACTTACAGCGTGGAGCTTCTCGGTTGAAAGACCTCTCCCTGAATGATGTAAATGATATTAGAGGATTAGGGGAATGATACATAAACAAAGCTCCAGTAAATACAAGGATAAAAAAAGACAAGACCGACAGCTGGATTGACCGCCGGACTGCACACATTTCTCTAACATGAAAAGTCATATTTTATGAGGACAGACAGTCAACACTGTAAGTGAGAACTTTCACCTTTCTTGATAAGGTTCCAGGTTCTGGCAGGTTTCTTTCTATACTAGCGCAATCTCGTATTCTTTTGGACTAATTCCTGAGTCGAGCGATGACTGATCGCAAGCAATTTCCCGAAGTCCCCGCATTGATGTTCAACCCCTGCGCCACTTGTCCCCAGAGCGTTACCCGAGAATGGTTCTAAGCTTTGATCTGCATCGCAGATAACAACCTGGCAGAATTCATTAGCTTTCGCCACTGACACAGTAGAAAGTGGTACTGTACCTGTCGGATGAGGTCTAAGCAGTGTCCCAGATGAATACGAAGGTCTTTCTTAGCAGGGTTGAAAAAGCTTTCACCGCTATGTTCCGCTGGATCGGACATAATTAGGGTCGTAAATTGAGACCTCAACATTCCAAGGCAGTGGAGTTGATGAAGCATACCGAGACTGTGCATTGTCTGGGCCCCGGAGCTGTCCGATTTGAAAATATAGCCCTGGTTCTTGGGAAGTAGCTCATTCTCCCAATATTCTTGAGCTTTATGATCGAAAGGCAGGGCTCGAACGTCTTCTATAAATTTGTAGCGTATGGATGCAACAGAAACCGGTCCTAAGGGTTCATCGCGGTGTTCCCACCGGAAATGAAAAGCAAACGTTAAAATAAGAATTAAGGCGACAAGTACAAATTTCTGGTACGTTGGCGAATAATAAGAGATCATCTTGATCAGTGAGTGTTTCTAGCTCCCTTCTGCTGCTAAAATACCAGACAAGCATGGTCAAGCTTTTATAAGCAGTCCAGAAGCACTAAATACCAAGGAACAATATTCCGAACGCTAACTTATTAATCCAGCCCTCAAATGTCACCTACGCTTACTTACAAACAAACTTTATCATTACACCTTTTCTTCCGATTTTCTATTGTTATTCCGATATGTTATCATTTCATCGGATTTTCTTGGCTGTTTCGACATCAGTAGCCCTAACTCTGTGTATTCTGATTATTGCTGGCCCAACTGAACCAAAATCCGAAACACACCCAGAGCTCGCAGATATATCCCGGATTTTTATTACAGACTCAGCTTTTGTACGATGGGATAACACTACAAGCGAGAAATGGAACGCCGTGCTGCCTTCGAACTTCCCATTGGAAAAGACGGGACTTGTAATCACAACAGACCTCAAGAACGGGTCGCATACATGGTCGGATATGTCCCTGTCCCACCAACTTCGCTGCCTGGTGTTCATTCGCCAGGAGCTGATGTTTCTTGCTTCATCTGCGAGCTATGTATCTACCTTTCGGGATCATAGAGGGGAAGACTCGCCATACAATTTAGTTGCGGGATGTTTCGATTATCTCAGACAGGTGAGCACTAATAGCCAATTCCATTCAGAATTTTGGTACTGAACAGTCTCGTGCAGAGCATCCTATGTGCTGCTGACTCTACTTACATTCCATCCTTTCACGAAACGGAAGCAGAGGGAAATGGATTATGGCGTACTTGTAAAGATAGCGAGCCCTTGTTTGAATGGATGCGATTATCCTTGGAATTTGGCGAGCCTTCGGTGGAGGTTATCTAAGAAACCCCAAAACAAATTTGATACCGATATTCCTTCTCAGATTATATGATCAAAGCCGTATTTATTTATCGTACCTACAATCCAACACTTTTAAGTCTTTGTAAATTGTCTTGAGCAACTCCAGAAGTAGTTGCATCCCTTGTCTTAGCCCACTGAACTATCTTATCGAAGTCCCGGCAGGTGTGAGGTTGTTCGAAATCAGGCATGATTCCATTGATATATGTCAGTGGTAGTGGCGTTAAATCTCCAGTACACATGATATTCTGTCGCAGCGCCTCGATGCAATGTTCTATAAGCTCTGTAATTAGTTCGATGTGTGCCATGTACTCAGATATATAGATTGCGAAACATGCCAATGTGGATTCTCCAGAACGGCCTTGTCGATATAAGACTACTGTAGTAATCACTATGAACGTCTTTACGAATGAGGTTCTGCACAATATCTTGGTAAGTTCTTGTTGTCGGGCAATGACGCATCGGATGTTTACTTACCAAGCAATGTAAACTGTGGAAGACCTCGATCCTAGATAAATAAATCATCAGCTGATACGTTCAACTGACGAGGCGCTTTTCATCCTACTCTACTTCATAAACACCGGACCTGTTGAACCGGTAAGGTTGCCCAGGAAGCGATGTAGCCTCCTCAGGCATGACGTAGAACGCTTGTGCTGCACAACCTGTCAGTTGGTGTTGAAGACCGATTAAATAAGTATGAATGCGACGTACTATCTAGATTGACGATATTGTCCCAATTAGCATCGATCTCTGGGGAAGGAGGGCCCACGAAGGTCGGCTCGCTAGGATCGTAACTGCGATACAAGGTCCCATTTTGGAATGATCGAATTCCCGTTGTGAACTTCTTCTCGACAACATCGATAGCAGAATGGGCAGCTTCTAGAATCCCGAAAAGAAATGAATCAGCATTGAGTTAAGCCGCAAGTCAAGGAAAGGTACAATCCGATCAAATTATGCTTACCTAGGTCAGAAGCCCTCCATGGCTGGCAGGAGATCCTCCGTGACGCAAGCTCAACGCGTAGCAAAAGGACAGTTACCACTACACTATAGACTGCCAGGGAAAGTATTGAAAATGTCCAAAGCTTGGATAAATTCGATTGATGCTGATTGTTGGCACCTAATCGCTTTTCTTCTTTATAGACCTCTATCGTTGTGCTCTCGGAAGAATTTCGTGGCGTGTTAGTGTCGCTGTGGAACAACAGCTCAGTTTCACGATGAGCCATGTTAAGAGATTCAAAGCTCAACGTTGAACCTTGAGTACATGAACGTACACATTCAAGTAAGAGGGGTGGCAGCTGTCACGTGTTCCTAACCCTCTAGCTCAATACTACGGCGTAATTGTTTATGTTCGTGCTTTGCTACATTGAGACGCAAGCCTCCCAATATGCAACAAGTAATACGATGATGTCTGTGTAATTTGATGTACGAATCCTGCTAGCTTCAATGCCTCGTATTTTGATACTCGTTGATTTATCAAATACTTATATAGGATGTTCCATAGGTCGATCAGGCTGCGTCATTTTAGTCTAATAAACGTGCTTGGACAGTCAATTCCAACTGAATAAATACGAGTTGAGCCGTTGTAATAATCGGGGGTAGCACCGCACCGGTGACCGAACGCCGAGAAAGATCGTATCTTGTCAACGCACCTGGTATGGCTGTCCGAACTAGACTACTCACGGACCCATGAGATGTAGATCAGCTCAATACCTTATTTATTGATAACGCTGATGCTCACAGACCGCCTAACTTCACGCAAATTAGAGTGACAAATAGTACGGAGTAGATACAATCGACTGCATGCAGCGCAAGCATTGGAACGCATACCACGTTCTCGAATTGTACCTAAATCCATCCATGTTCGGGACTACAACTTGCCACAAGCATTGCTGAGGGACAGCTACGGAGCGCAAGAAGCTGCGTACAAACAAACATGTACGAGCTTCCTTCTCATTGAGAGCCTGAAATAGTCAACACAAATTGCGTACGATGCGGATAATAACACAGAGTAGGAAGTTATCACGTGTCATTCCATTCACACTTTTCCAGCGATATCAAAAAGTGATGAATGACGAGGACGAGCAAGAAATACATGACGGCGAACGAACTGTCGAACAGCAACATATCCTCGAGACCTTGGCAGACAAGAAGAAGTCTGTCAGATTAGGTTACGCAGTTTCCTTCTTCTCCGGAGCGCTATCTGTACTCCTTCTCTATACAATAGCTGTCTTCTTCATACTAAAGCCGGAAACAAATGATGCTCAATTGACGCATCAAATCCTACCATTGCGCAACGACTGTGGAAGGAGTCCCACCGAAGCTCGGTCGTACAATTGCCAATTCGACGTCCTCTTGGGTTCTTGGTTACCGGCCCCATGCCACGACGCGGACTTGATGGAGCAGTACATTGCAGATGCGGTTTGGAATTGGTATGAAGACCCAGAATTTACACGTCTCATTCCGATAGACACAATGCGCATGGGTGAATATCAGGGGAAAGTCTGGACAAATACAAGCGAACACAGCGACCATTGTGCATATCTCTGGATGAAACAATTCCGCGCTGTAGTAAACAAGAAACCTATGGATGATATCTCTGCACGATACGGACACACGGAACATTGTGTGTCTAAAGTTAAAAAGCCAATAGTTCCTAGCGAAACGGTTTATGGGATTATCCGATACGGAAAATGCGTTTCTTTCTTCTAGTACAGTATGGATAGAAAGGGTTTGCTCAACAAGTTGCTTAAAGGAAACGTTGTAGTTCTCTGAAAGATAGTAGTTAGGATACGAATGGTCAAATGTGAGCATGCTTCTGGATTGAAAGATATTCTTCTGCGTCGTCTACCAGCACAGGCTGCGAAGCCAGTTGCCCCAGACAACGGCCGAAGAGGGCAGTTACAAACTTTAATATTAGGAAAAGGTAGCAGGACCCTAACCCTTCCCTGAAAGTAGAACTGGGTATCAATCTAGATAATATATTTTGGTAGGCATAAAACGAATCGGCTCTATTATATGGATACATAACAAGTACTTTGGCGCTAGAAACGAGAAAGATATCAGGGCAGAAATCCAAGTTCTGTTCCAAGAAGAGAGGGTTCGGGGTTACTCATTCTCTGTGCATCTAACTCCCAGAGCATCTGCACAATTACGTCGTGCTCTCCAAGGAATGGGGGTTCAATGTTGACTCCCTCATTCAAAATATTGAGTGACACCTGCTCTTGCCAATCTATGGAACCGCTATCAAGAATGCTCATGTCTGGGCTCGGAAGGTGAGCTCCAATTACCTCTGGCCCAAGCTCATGTGTTATGTCTGGAAGGAATATTTGATCAACCAGCTTTGGCGTTAGTATTTGCTCTTCCTGTTGCACTTGAGCATGATATGCTTTGATTGCTTGGTGAAAATTTGCAAGGATATTGTAATACTGTTCTGCCTGTGGGCTAAGACGCTTGAGGTCCCCGAGCACTTGTAAGGTCTTAAGAAATGCCGCCTGTCGATTAGTTCTTGTGTCCCCCGTCTCTGCGAGGAACGAAAAGCCGAGAACGAGCCCAGTAGCAAACATCCATGCCCTACGTTATACTTTAGTAAAATGATGTTACATAATGAACATGAGTCCTCACTTACTTGATGATGCACATATTGCCCATCAACTGCCCGGATTTCATTACCTGGTAACACATTTGCGCCATATATGTAGCTGCTTCGACACAAGCATCAGCTAAACGGGCAACTTTGACGTCCGTTGTTGGGTCTCGATGTAAGCTATGATGGTTCTTGATCGAGCTGCGGGCATGCCTCGAGAGCTGAGGGACAACGTGCTGTATAAGGAAGTGGCGTGTGACGATGATGACACTGAAATAATAGACCCCAGAAACATGGATATTTCCGATAGTCACACTTTGACCTGAAACCATTGTTTCTCCGTCCAGCTGTCTTAGAATCGTTGGAAAGCTGCGACTGCGCTGCTGTAATGCCAGCAAAAGCGTTTCGGCTTCGCTGGAATTCAAATCTCCGGCGGCAGATTTAGTAACAGAAACGTCTAGAATAGACGTCACTTCGTACGCGGCCCCTAACGCCAGGGCCTTATACTTAACGTCTGCGGTCATAGAATTGTCATCGATGAGATGGCTGTTAGAGTCCGAGGGAACGGGTGAAGTGCTTGTAGGCCGGCCAAGAATAGAATTACAGATAACATCAAAAACGCGCAAACTTTTAGCTGTACGTAGCCTAATACAACAATTAGCGCCTCACTCGATCTGGTACACGAGGATCGATGTTAACTTACCTTTTGTCTCGAGAGTCCGAGGAGAGACGATTATAGTGAGTGGACACGCAAAGACCCAATATGTCAGCAGATTTGGAAGCAACTCCCAGATACATAAAAGCGGAATTGCGGCGGCAAGCCCCGCACATGTAGAATGCCATCAATATGAACACCCGTACAAGATCAAGACTAGGTGTTTCTAACATTCCCTCTAAAGCCAGCTTGCGAGCGAAGGAGAATAAATCGGCAGCATATGTGACATCTGCTCTGCTACGACCACAACATTGGGCTCCAATGGCGACCATTAAGTAAAGTGATGCTGATTGTAGGCTGTTCAGTCTTTCGGCAGTTGGCTCCACCTTATCCCCAATAGTTGGACAATGTAAATTCAACATTTGAGAGACTTCTTCCCACGAGTACAAGTCCAGGAGACCAGCAGACTAGCAAGGAGTTAGATATTCCGAAATGAAGACAGAAAAATGAAACAAAACTCACAGCATCAAGGAAGGATTGAATGAACGATATTCTATCTTCAAGGCTCATGCTGTCATAGAAAGCACTCGATCCGATTGATGTTGTTTCAGCTTCAAAGAGTCGATGGCTTTCTTGAGCGTCTGTAAAGCAGGATGTTCCTGCGTTTCGCTCCAACGTTCTTTGGAGGAAACGTAGAAAAGAAATCGCCGCTGTGTTTCCGATGAAAACTACGAACAAGGTATATCGTTAATATATTCCGAAATTCGTTAATATATCTTGGGAGTATGGAAATGCTCGCAAGTACAAGGAACGATGATTTATAGGTAGTGAATCACGACGTACCCTTCTCCCCATTCACGCTTGATAGCATGACCGGCGGTTGATCCAAAGAATCACTAGAAGAGTCCTGTGTACTGTCTTCAATGTACTCTTCCGGTCGCGTCTGTCTCGTATCTGCATCAATGCTACATGGACTACTCGGTGATCTGACACACTGATCATTGCCTTCCCACGACCCGTTTGGTGATATCAGTGCCCGTTGAGGAAGATTCGTTGTAGAGCAGGTGCTGGTATTTTCCTGGGAAACATGCTGGAGAGGGACAGAGCTAGTACGCGGAAGAGGATGGTGCCGCCGGCCTGCCGTGTAGCAACAAGATCTAGTATTTCCCTTTCTCTCACATGCACTGCAAGGCTGTTCTCCGTTGCATCTCTTTTTTGAAGCTTTACATGGGTCGCATGCGCGTACGACCCGCTGGCGATCCTGTGGCCTAACCGGTCGACGAGGCATAGCGGAATTAAGACAACGGATGTAGTTACATAAGCTCGATTAATCGTTGATCTTGGTGGTTTCATTAAGAAGATTGCCTGGATCGAGTTATTATCATGTCCGCAGATATCGACATTGAAGCGAATGAATTTCAAAGTGCGGTCTTTGCCGCACATGTAACGTGCGAAAACCTAGGTATCGTTGGCAACCCCAGATAAGTTGGAGCAGTTGGAGATAAGCGTAGTGCGGGGGCGCGGGTAATGTGGTGCAGTACCCGAACAGCTAACGAATACATGTCGGTTAATGCACCATTAGTTATGAGGGGGGCGATTAGTATGATTTGATGACGGAAATGATATCAGATACACTTGCGTGCATTTTTAGCTGAAAAGAAACCCCATAGCTACAACATCTACAACATCTACAATATGTACCTTCTGTCTGTGAAAACTACTCTAGCACCGATCAATTTGGTTTAGTCTTTCATCACGTAGACTTGAATTGTGACTACCAGAATGGGAACCTGAACCTCATATTGTCTTGGAAAAAAGAAGTACTCATTGCCATTCAAATGTCAGATTCTCTGAGACTAGACTACTTTTGCACTGGAGTCCCTATAGTTGTCAAGCTTAAACAAGCCCTTTGCGTTCTCCCTACCAATCTTCAACCGGTCGCCTGTGTTCATTTCGGCATTATCAAACCAGTTGCATCCATCCTCGAACGTCTCGAATGGATAGTCCACTGAGAACAGAATGCGATCGGAGCTAACTTCATCCTTCACAAAGTTCAGAGTTGTAGTCGAGAAGTGCCCGGATGTCGTCACCCAGAAGTTCTCGTTGAAGTATTCGCGAATTGTCTTCTTACAGTCCAGCCCAGGTGAAAGCTTCTTCTTGCGGTCCTCGAACCAGTGGTTGATGCGCCACATATCGAATGGAATATGCTCGCCGAGATGTCCGAGAATTACCTGAGCTTTAGGGTGACGATCGAAGACTCCGTTGGTTACGAGACCAAGAGCATGAAGGCTGACGCCGACAGCAAAAGATAAAGGTGGGCCGATGAGCCACTGGCGATCCTTCCAAAGTTTCTCGAAGACTACTCCAGTTGGATTTCTTGGGTGCAAGTAGAGCGGTACATCCAATTCGACAAGTGTTTCCCAGAAGACATCCCATTCGGGTTGATCGTAGAAAACATAATCCTCCCCATCCGCTCCTGCTCTTTGGGTATCATTGACGAGTGCACCCTTGAATCCATACTTGGTCACCGTCCGTCGTAATTCATCCGCCGCCTCCTTGGGATTATGCATGGAAAGGGTCCTGTTTTTGATTTAGTCGGTGCCTAGGAATCATAACGACGCATTACTCACGCGAAAGCACCAAGACGATCAGGAAAAGGCTTTATCTCTTCTGCGACATAATCGTTAATTTCCATGGCAAGAGCCTGTGCTTCTTGGGGTTCGAAAATGTCTTGAACACCGGGCGCAGTATACGAAAGTATTGTATATCCGACTCCGTGCTGATCTGCATATTTGAGTCGAATGTCTGTCAAGTCCTGTATTTCACGAGTATGTTTTTCAACATCTGTGCTGAACAAGCCTGCCCACCACTTAGTCTTTTCCTCCAGCCGAGGCAAGGCAAATGCTTCCTCCAGTATGACCTTTCCGCGCATTGTGCCACGAGTTTTTGGAAGAGCAATTCTTGGAAAGAAGGGTGGCGACTTGATGACCAGAAAAAATTTAGATGTTTGTCTTGAAATTCTGAGAAGGCTGTACTTGGAGAGCATTGCAAATGAAAGCTTTCATTTTTACTTATATAGGAACAAATGCGGAAGTTGTCCGTGAAGTGGGTGGAAATCTACCGCCTGACGACATCTGAGGCGGATACTTGATGTCGGATTTGGGGTCCCCCGCATGAAGCATTTCCCCGCGGTTCCGGATCCTGTTTATTGGACACTCGGGCGTGGATATTTTGGTCTATGCTATATGACCACGGCGGCTATGTTCCCACATCAATCATGCTATTATTGCGGAACGGGCATGCTAAAAGTGAACTCACCTCCCCAGTCTGGCAGCTGATCAAGTGGCCAAGCGAGCGTCGTAACTAGTTATGTATTTGTTGGTATGCATGGAGTCGGCTATTCAGCTTGAATGTTGTCGCGCAAAACACAGCAAGGACTATGAATTCTCATAGTGTTGTATCTCTAGACTCGAAGTTGCATGCAAAAGAAAGACAACTTTAATGCGGAATACCTGGTTATTTCCCTTGCTTAATTATAATCATGTATTTTCCAACGGACAGCAAATTTCCCCAAAATTCGGATTCGAAACTTTGGACATAATCTTGCTACTGTTCACAATAGTTTGATTGACTAAGTATTCCATGAGAAGCGGAGGTTGTTGGAGAGCAAACACAAAGTGTGGTGGAAATTCGTGACCCAGACAAGAATTCTTGTATGAATAAAATGTTTTTGGTATTGACTTCAAGGTAATAAACCCGACTCCGCTCTCTCTTGTTTAATGTAGTCGCATTAGTAATATAGATCAGTGTGTATACGAGCGTCTATGACTCTGTATACGTTGTTTAACCAAAGGAAAAATAAAAAATAGAATGGAGTAGATCTTGGAAGCTTGATGATGAACTTTGCCTCTATTGCGTCTTCTGATTGATTATCAAGGTATCATTTGATATCGCGTTTTGTATTCGTTTATATTTTCAAGTAAAGTAATTGTGTTTTGGTCATTCAATGATGATAGTCATGCCAATGACAGATGCTCCCACAAACGCAGAAGCACTTACCATCCGATAAGGCACCCTCTTTCGATGCAACCCGTTTCCGCATCTATAGATTCATGGATGTTGATATCAGAGTACGACTATCTAATTCGATGTGAATGTAACTTCGCGTTCCTGTTGATCAATGACTTGCGTCAGATAGCGGCTATTGCACCCCGCGCGCGGTGGAAACGACGCGATAGCCGTGATAGCTACCAATAAAGTCTTCGATACGAGAGATTATGACTGTACACTTCCGCATCGGGTAGCAGTGAAGTTCCGCTCGTCCAAATGTCAGCCTGAGCTTGATAAGGCTTGGTGCTGGGTGAATAGTTATAGATGGCGATCTCTCTGCTTTCTGCTTTCATGAAATCACACCCAAGCCCTCCACAAATTCATCCTCTTCTCCCCAACGCTGCAAAAACTTGTACTTTAGGGAATCTAGAAATACTTTTTGAGGGAAGTCATGAGCCTCCCAGGCACGAACGGTTGGAGACAGTTGAACGTTGCTGTAATTGGCGGTGGCATAGGCGGATTGTCCACTGCGATTGCGCTTCGTCGTGCGGGCCACGAGGTCACTATTTACGAGCGAAACGACTTTGCTGGAGAGGCTGGAGCATCAGTATCATGTGCAGCAAATGGTACCAGGTGGTTGCATGAATGGGGCGTCGATGTGGAGAAGGGCGATCCCGTCGTTCTTAAGAGACTGATCAATCGAGATTGGAAAACTGGAGAACCAGTTAGCATATACGACCTCGATGATTATGAAGAGCGATGGGGCTATGTATACAACATGTTTCATCGGCAATATATGCACCAGATGCTGATGGACTGTGCATTGCAAGAGAAGGGCGAAGGAATAGCAGCAAAATTGGTAGTGGACCATCCGGTAAGGATAAAGCTCGTTATTTCTATACTTTGCCCTTAAGTATTGTTGACCGCATCATATAGTGCCAAACCATAGACCTCGAGTCGGGCTGGATCACCTTCACCAACGGCTACAAGGCTCAACATGATTTGATAATCGGAGCAGACGGCATAGGATCAATCACACGAAAGATAATTGGTCTTAATCCAGAGAAACGACCAGCTGAGTCTAGCTGCTTACATGCCAATGTCATGACAGAAGATGCCAGGAAACTTGGCCTTGTGGACTACTCTTTGGACAGCGCACTAGAGTACTGGGGTGGCCAAGAAGGCAAGTGGGATAAAATTGTGCTTTCTCCATGCAATGGCGGTAACCTCCTTTCCTACTACTGTTTCTTCCCACGTTCAGTAGGAGATTATGCGAACCATACGTGGGGCGGTGCCGATCGACCAGTGGAGGAACTGCTTGCACCATACCCTGAGCTTGATGCGCAGGTGAAGGCGCATCTTGCTATAGGAATCGAGATACAACCCTGGCGGCTCTGGGTCCACGAGCCTTATCCTTACGTTGTCAAAAGCACAGTGGCATTGCTCGGCGATGCTGCTCACCCGGTATGAAACCATCCTCGTCTGCTCAACAAAATCTCCTAGGAATTAACGCATTTCGGTAGATGATGCCCCATCAAAGTCAGGGAGCTTGCATGGCTATTGAAGATGCCGCAGCGTTAGGCATATTGTTCAGCAAGAAATATTTCAATGGAGACGTAAACGAATCTCTGGCTGTGTATCAAACCGTTCGCTTGCCCCGCGCAACGAAGGTTCAATCCTCTGCTGCCAAGGCAGCTTATAATATCAACGAACGCATCGGTAAGTACGGACAATCCCAAGGGAATCCAATCGTGCGTTGTTAATTTGGATTTCTCCAGGCTTTTCGAGCAATACAAAACTGTCGAACTACAAAGTGGAAGACGAACGGAAGAAATTGACCATTGAAGAGATGAATGCATACGACATGTACAAGGATATCGACCAGGCATTTGCAGAAAGACGCGGAGAACCTTATTCTGATTCTTACAGCAGAGGGCTACCTTTTGGCCTTGAACTATCAAACGGAATCACTGTCGATAAGTCTACACGGCTATAGTATGTCTTCCTCGTGAAGTAGTCAGCTGGGTAAATCATAATTGAAGTAAATCAATCTCATCTGAGTTGGCATGCATCCTACACTTAATGCAACGAATCTATTAAGTACATACTAATAACCCAATACGCGCACCGCTTCAAGCGCTGTCGTTTTCCGTCGACTTGTTATCCTCGCCCTCGTCACTGCTTGTATCATCCTCCTCATCTTGCAATGCCATTATGTCGACGATTAATATGCTTCCACCATTCATCTTGTCGAATTGGAAACCAGCCTGTTGTGCCGATACGGCGTCAAACACGCATCTCGCATAATCAATAGCGTAGTCGTGGTCTTTCAGCATCAGGCATACTGTTCGCACATGCTCGTGGTGTAGATCGCAATCATCCTTGGTATCTGTGTCAAAGACCAGTAGCACATTGTTGTGCTGCACACAGAAGCTTTGAGATACGGTATTGTTTGTCGAATTTGATGATGTCGCGAGGGCTGTGGCGATTACTCTTGACGATGTCGAGGAAGAGATACTCAAGCGTGTAAATATTTGAGCATTGAAAAGATCATCCCCAGCTTGAGCATCGCTGGGGGAATAAATGGATACATGTTCTGGCAGTCCAGTCGGCGCTGCCTGGGTGTCGTCCCTGTTTGCCATTTCTCTTGTGTTTTCGGGGACGAAATTAATTGTAGACGAGTAATGCAGTAATCGAGGGATGTCGTTAATTGCACCCGAAGTTTCAGCACCCTGAGTTATCGATAAGACACGACTACCAGGCTAATCCGAGCTTCGGCCGAACGATATTATTTTATGTCCCTACCTAGGCATTCCTTACGTGCTGAAATACTACACACGACGTATTCCTTTCACTTCAAATTTAGAACATCAACACACTTGAGAAGGAAGCTATCAGAAATAAAAAGGAGACTTTCCGCCCTCGCGCACTCGAATTTCTGATATCGTCAGGATCCGTTGCCCGTTCATGCCAGTTATATCGATCGTCATCCAATATTTCCTTTGCTGGGCGTGGCTCAGAGACCTTCGGTCTGTCGTTGATGCTGGGTGTCAGACATGCAACCTCAACGATAGGTATACCCCGATACTTGGTGGTTTCCGTGCTCATGTTGACGAAGAAGGTGAAGAATGCCGGAGTTGGGAAACTGGCTGAGATGGCAACGCCACCTCTAAATTGCCCTGCAATAGAGATCTTTTCCAAAGGTTCAGACGTATATTGGCGGGCACAATCTTCAGCATCGGGGTCTCTCGTGAAATTTCCAGCTTTGCATACTCAGTAAGCAACAGTCTCACGATGTACAGTGTAAAATAGTACAGTGTGAAACAAGGGGGAAACCGAGATCAACTTACCATCCATCCATAATGACCCTGCACCAGAAACCCACTCCTGGCGTCCATCAACCAGGCCTGAGCATTGGTATGGAACCGTATCGTTCCAAGGTGTACCGGCATTCGTAGCACTTGGCTCAATAGAGCAAGGCTCTTCTTCGCATTGTAGACACCTTCCATGTATCATGTATGCCATTCTTGCTTCTCTCTCGTAGTGTTGCCTCAGTGCCTCTGTACAGGCTTCACCTAGCATTATTTTGCAGTCTCCATTGTCTTTTAGGCTGCGTTCTATCACCCCCTTTGATAATTGCCACGTGTTACGATCCATCAGGCGTAAACCTCCTGAACAGAGCCCAATGTTGGTCATATTAGAATCGGCAGTGTCGAGGAAATATGTTGACGTGCTGGGACCAAGGCTGGTTCGAAAGTGCAGTTCCCATTGCCTGTCACCGTCACGTTCCATGTTAAGACCGTTCAATTTGAGTGCTGGGATTTTATGAGAAACATTTGCTTCTGCTAAATCCCAGTACAGCAGTTTCGGGCATTCAACCAAAGGCTTTTGCGCCTTCAAAATTGTTGGTAGACTCAGGAGTAAAGCGATCGCGACGTGCGGGTACGGAAGGAATCGGTACATAGCGAGTGTAAAATGATTGTGACCGTGGTTCTCTATGGCTAGCAGTCTGGACAATCGTTGTGCTACAATATCCCACGGTACTACTGTACTACCCCCGCCTCTTTATAATGAGTTCATGCATTGCATATTCTTTCCCACAGTGCCAATTCAAGGCTGACATCATTGATGACCAGGCGTCCAAAAGAATGAACCCAAGCCTAGCCCAGAGCTCGCCGTCTCGGAACACGGCAACGCTAATACCATATTGAGATAATTTCGATCGATAATAATCATGTTAAGACATACACTATACACTTCTTTTCAGATGCTGGGGACCTACGGATGATTGACTTCCAGCCCAACGATGCCCTATATGCTGTGTTCACACGCTAGAAATGACCTGTCTCCTACCCCGGCGTGCGTAGTAGCGGATTGGTAAGATGAGAAAAGGGTCTTTTCAAAAAGGTTCCACTAACAATATGGCGACAAAACAATTATCTTGCTTGCAAATAATCCATGTTACGAAATCTCTCGCTATAGCTAGTAAAATAGACCGTATGGTTTCCTCGCTTTTAACCGTGCAGTGCTGGATTTTTCCTCAGTCCTTCTGATGTAACTCTATGACATGCTTTATCAGAGCGTTTAAGGTCCTCCCGAATGCTGCTACAATTGAATATGGCTCAAGTTAACATTGTAAACCACCAGGGAACCCGCAGCCGGGGTTGCGACATGTGCAAAACTGATGCATACGACCAAATTCTCGAGCTACAGTGTGTCTGTGGAAGATACAACTAATCATAGAATCGACTCTCCAGGCAAAAGGCCCTCTCGCCATCTATACGCCGAATGCGTGTTTGCCCATTTTAATAATGCATCATAATCGACACACTCATGCTCAGACCCTTCGCCAGGTCCATCTTTCGTCTTGCCTTCCAATGTCGTGTCTGCAGAGCAAACAATTCCTTGTCGGAGATAATTGAAACAATGAGCCGAATGATGCGCCACCTCCTCTTCCAGAGAAATTCCTCCGTAGCCTTGTTGGAAATGCTCCGCGAGGTATGATAAACAGTGAAGTTGATGGAACACTGACATCATGTATCCCGGCCCATTATTCTGGCGATCAAGGGCTACTTCGTAAGGCTCTGGAAGATCAAAAGGACCTGCCTCATTGATCACTATGTACCCGCGACTCGCTGAAGATAAGTGTTAGCAATGATATCAAAGTATTCACAGTGCAGTGTGCTGTACCAGAACTTAGTCCTATCCAGTTGTGCAGCGTATGAAGCGTATCAGACTCGTTGAAAAACATCCCTTCTTGAATGTATCTTGGATCAGAGCGAAATGTAGTGATCTTTCGTGGAACTGAGACGGAATTAATAGCCAATTCTATGTTATGAGGTGAGACATCGTACATCGTGGAACTGGTGTTCTTTTGAGATTACTGCACCCAACTTTGGACTTCGAAATCGCTAAGACTATGATGGTGATCATCATCAAAACCTCAATCATGATGCGCGTGACGGACGCAGTTCGTTTCCACGGCGAGCATGAATCAGGAGCAGCATGGGTTTCGTTTTGCCCTATGGGAGCAGCGAGGAATGCTTCTTCCTCCTCTTTTAGTGCATGTTTAGAGAACGTCATCATGTAAGCAGCGCACAACGTCCACGTCGGATTTCATAGATCCCAAGCGACGATTTGCGCTGTGTGAAGGCGGGTTCGCAACGTTTAACATCATGTGCAGTGCTGAATTTAGGCTGTGGTCCCATGTCATTGCCACACTGCAATATATACACGCCTCGTTGGGTTAGTGTATTCCCCAATATCGTAATAATTTACTCTAAATGAACGGGCATTTGCCGACTGCTTTACGCACCGCTTTGATCTGGAACATTTCTCTTGATCCCTAGTCACGCCAGTGGTAGTCTAATTCCAAAATCGCTCGGTGACCATGTGGTCCTAGAAGCTTTCGCAGTACCTTCAAATAAATATATAGTAGATTAAGGACCGATTTCAACCTTGTCAGCTCCTAGGCGATATTTGAAACTTATATGGAAATGGTCTCTCAAGCACAGTGTTGTATCTGATGCGTAGCTGCGTACTTATCCTCGAAGAACTCTCCATTACATACACATCCGTCGATATCATGCGAAAACTATGCTTTTGATTCTGACTTAATAATAAGGCCATTGGCCTCCTTAACAACACTCGATTCGGTATTACTGCTCTTGCAAAGAGTTTCTGAATAGCCTCAGACCTGATCGACAACATACACATGGCCTCATTGGATCAACTTGCCTGGCGAGATATGCCAGTAAAACGATCTCCAATTCTACTATACGCCTAAGAACGTCGAAGCAGTTGGCAAAGTGTTCCATTAAATGTCATGATGCTCGCTTGGTTCTAGCTAATCTTCACATGGTCCCAAATACAAACCATGCTTTTAATATGCGCATCGCTGCGCGACGTTGTTCCGGTTGCCTCCATTCCGCACCGCGTGAAACGCTTTAGACATGAATACGCTGATGGCATTGCGCAGACTCATGTACTCCTCCTCCGTATCTATAGACACAATACAACGCCGAACCATTCCGATATATGCATGCAGTGCTATGTCACGCTACTTATCGTACAAAAGGCTATGACATCAAACCACTTAGCTGAGAAGCTCCTTGATATCCTCGATACGCTGAAGTTTCTTCTCCTCGTCGCTCATCATGCCCAAAGAACTTGCACTGCGAAAGATGTCAGTAAAAGTTGCTCCTGGACACTTAAGGACTGCTTTCATCGGAATACTTACATGAACTTCTTCCTATCCTGGATCTTCAGCATTTTCTCTTCGATGCTGCCCTCTACCACAAATCGCACAACCTTCACCTTCTTCGTCTGCCCCATCCGATGCACCCGGTCTATGGCTTGTGCTTCTACCGCGAAGCTCCACCAAGGGTCCATCATGAAGACTCTTTGTGCACATGTCAAATTGAGCCCAACACCACCAGCACGTAAACTCAATAACAGCACATAAGGTTGAGAAGATTCATTGAACTCTTGGAGCACTATTGCGCGCTGCTTTTGCGACATTGAACCGTCAAAACGAACAAATGGGATGTGATCGCGAGTAAGGGCAGGCTCGATGAGGTCGAGGAAGGACGTGAACTGAGAGAACACAACAGATTTGGTGGCCCTGTCTTCACGCCTTTCGGCTTTTAGATGGCCGAGTAAGGCCTGTGTCTTCGCGGATCCGGCAAGACCGATACGGCGCAGGGAAATTCGAGGAGTTTGAGAAGAGCTTTCGATTGAATTCTGAAGAGAGTCTTCTTCAAGCAAGTGGTCATGCCGTACCACTTCGAAGATATCGCGGGCATTGATGGGGTTTCTGCAATTGAAACAGAGCGGGAGAATGTTTCTGTCCCGCTGATGGTTAATGTAATTAAGGAGGCATTCCTTGCAGGCACTATGCCAACAGCCGGTGACTGCCTGATCAAGCATTGGCTCTTCAGAGCATATCGGGCATTCGGAATTCGACTCGTCTTGAATTTGCTTCAGGACGTGGGCACCAAAGGAATTGGCATCTTGCTCGCCATCAGACTGAAATCTCTCGATGAGTGACTGGAGATCCATATCATCAGCAAGACCATTGGCAAGATCCGACGCTTCGGCGGCATCCTCCTCTTCAGCTACAATGTCCTTCTTTCGCGTGAGGACGGGATGACAACACGACTGTCGCAGTCTGAGAATCTGGGCGAAGATGGTGGTGTACGATTTCATAAGAGTTCCAGCTTCAGCATTTTGAGCAAAAACGCGCTTTGCGCGCATATAGATGTAGTCATATACTTCCCGCTCATCTTGTGATAGTTGGATTTTGTCGATCTCAATCGTTCGTGGAGGAAGAGGTACTAGAGCTTCACCGCTTGGTGTTTTCATGTCTTTTGTTCGGCGAAGCACGAGAGGCTCCAGCACGGTTTGAACTACATCTAAGGCCCGAAGGAAGTCTTTCGATTCGAAGGGTACCGTGATGAACGTCCTCCAGAAAGAGAAGTTACTCCAGGGTTCGACTTTCAAGAATCGGACTAGACTGAACAAATCCTCAAGGCGATTGACAATTGGCGTTCCGGTGAGAACCCATCGATGTGTTGCGCTGAGCTCATAGCAAGCCTTCGCGGTCTTTGACTGTCGATTCTTTATGTAATGGGCTTCGTCGAGGATGATGCGGAAGTACTCTAGCGAAAACAGTCCTCCGTGAGACCCACGATTGCCATCCATTGCTGCTACTTGGTTAAACTCAGATAGTATAGTCCCGTAGCTGGTGATGACTACGTTGGGTGCATTGGCACCATTCGCTTCGCAACACAGCTTTTGCAGGTTCGCGGACTTTTCGGCACCGTAATATAGCAATATCTTCAAAGTTCCGTCCTTCGACGCTTTCTCGGCTTCGCTCGCCCATTGTGCTAAAAGCGACATGGGAGCGACGACTAGAGTTGTATATGGTGCTTGCTCTACGGTCGCACTGCTCTTAGACAGTCGTGGAAGCCGCTTGACAGTTGAATCCTTCTCCTGCACTGAGTTCCTGTGGGTATGAATCAAACTGAGCATCTCGATTGTTTTGCCCAACCCCATCTCGTCTGCAAGAATACCACCTAAACAGTTCTGTTCTTGCCGAGGAAACTCCAGCGAGAGTTCTCCAGAGTAGGGGTTGACGTAGAACATTGTCTGTTCATCAACGGTCGGGACCGGATTGTTGTCGGCATCTTGCGTCGGCCACACGTACTCCTCCCAAAGCGGATGCATCGATAACTCCCTGTTTTCTGCGGCTTCGTCTCTCTCTTTACCAACCATCCAATGCAGAGCTTGTTTCTGGTATTTTCGAAGGTCCATGGAAAAAGTACTGGCAGGTTCAAGGGTTGGTGTGTTGAAGTCGAATGATTGAGCTTTCTTGTATAGTGAGTCCAACTGGTCTTGCTCCAATTCCTCGCCCTCTTCGTTCTCCTCCGATGGGGGCGACGAGCCTGGTAGTGTAGATGTGATTGCTTTTGTTTTCTCCTTTTGCTCTTTGCTTTCAGCGCTCTCTGCCGCCTGCAACAGTCCCTGACGTTTATGTTTCTCGGTGGATTCGTTGTTACGGGATGGACTCAGGTTTATGGCTTCGAAAAGCTTTACCATGGCGACCTGCCTAAGGCGGAGATCCTTTTCGTCCCGGCTTTCCAACTCTTCAAACGGGCTGATGGCACGATTACTATCGGGTTTGACAAATTTCCTCTTATCGAATGCACTTCGCACGAAAAAACATTGTAGCTGGAGGTAGACGGTCTCGCCGGTCTTCAGTCGGTCAGGAACGTACACACAGCTTCCCTCAAATGAACAAAGCTTTTGATCGATCAAGACAGATATCCAAGCGGCGAAACCGTTCTCAAGTCTTCCCACCTCTTCGCCCTTTGCGTTTGTGAATCTGACTACTACATCCTGCTTCTTGTTGTTTACGGCGCGCTTCTTGGTTGGATATTCCTTCATCTTACTGCGCTCGATCCCCACTTTCTCCGCATGTTGTAGCAATCCTCTTCCACTTCTTGTGGCCCACGCCACGGCGCCAAAAGATCCAATATAACGTTTCGAGGGCATTGCTTTGAGAATAGGAGCCATAGGTGTCGATGACGCTTCCGAATCCGGAGTCGAGATAGACGACATCTCAGTATCTTGTCGTTTGAGTCCGTTCGTAAGTCTCGTTTGGAAAGGTAAAGATGTACTGGTGGAGGGAGTAACTGAAGGAGGCGCGGACTGCCATGAACCGTCAAGGTAGAGATTGATAGCTGTTTCCAAAGGTCAGAAGGGCCTACAAGTTTCGCATGGGAGAATATACCGCGTTGCACATCATTGTTGCTTCGACGCTGTAGGATCTGCAACACGCTCGGGGCCAATTCGCCAACCACGGCTTGCAGAAGGCCAGTATCGAAGCCATCGGTTATACTGTCGGCATGGAGTTCACTATCTTCTACCTTTGGCTGCTCATCCGTCGGTGCCTCATTGTTCGGTGGTGGCGGCGACGGCGACGGCGAAACATTGACATGCAGAGGGGTAACGGCAGGATGGACCGACTCAACGACAGGTTCCTCATTTTTTTCCACCCAGAATCGAGGTTTCTTTCGGGGTCTCTCCCCTGGATGCGGATCATCCATGGCGTTGTAGAGCGATGTGGGTAGATGGTTCCCGTATGTAGGTACCTAACCTTGGTTGTTCGTAAATTCTCCCCAGGGAAGTCGCGTCTCTCTGCCCTGACACGCTTTCACGTAACGCACGGACCTCCGAACACCGACATCATCATCATCTTCATCCTTGCCGTGAATGGTCGACGTTTGACTACCTACGTACAGCTTCAAACTTCAACCCTCCCCATACGACTCAATTGCGGTTTTAGATCTGTTGAATGATTCGCAGCACTTGTTTCTTACGATTTGGTTTTACAGCATACCGCCACCACCAAGCAATGGATTGATACCGAGATTCTTATACATTGCCACTGCTTTTTTTTTATTCCGCTCCAAAATTTCCCATGCAACTCTCGAGCATTTCAACAGTCCCCGCAAGACGGGCTATTCGACTTCAAAAACTCCGAATACGGCGACAATTTCACTCAGCGCCATGTCTAGCACAGTCGGCTACGCCTTCAAGGGAGGAAATTCAGTCCGCCCGACGATATTGCGTAGAGATCATCCGGTATGTCTTCCCCGCCCCCTCCGCATCTGGTTCTCATCTAGACAGCAACAATACTGACATTGACGTAGCAAATATGATGCGCCCTCTCATACACTAATGCCGTTTATACCCTCCTCAGCCCGCGATGCCTATCTCGCAATCCGCGCCCTCAACATCGACGTCGCCCGTGTCGCCGACACCACAAGTACACCCACCGTAGGCATGATGCGCATGCAGTTCTGGCGAGACACCGTCGCAAAAGCGCTCGATGGACGACCTCCCAAAGAACCAGTCGCGATCCTTCTCTCACAAGCCCAAGAGGCACTTCACCACCACTCCGGCGGTCGGGCAAAGCTCAGCAGGAACTGGTTCAACCGCATCATCAACACCCGGGAACAGTACCTCGGAAACCCGCCCTACCCCACGCTCTCGTCGCTGGAAACCTACGTGGAGAACACCTACTCAACAATGATGTACCTCACTCTTTCCGCACTCCCCCAAGCATCCATAACGACCGACCACGTCGCCTCGCACATCGGCAAAGCCACCGGCATCGCCGCCGTCCTCCGGGGTATCCCCCTCATCGCCTTCCCGCCCACCCAACCCTTCGCAACCAGCAATTCAATCACCGGCGCATCGGGGCCCACGCAAGGCGCCGTCATGCTTCCCCTAGACGTGATGGCAGACTCCGGCGTCAGGGAAGAAGACGTCTTCCGCCTCGGGTCCTCTGCCCCTGGCCTCCGCGACGCTGTCTTCGCTGTCGCAACCCGTGCCAACGACCACCTAATCACAGCGCGGGAGATGGTGTCCAAGCTACGTTCCGAAGGCACGCTGGGCCATGAATTCGAGCATCAGCACGACGCGGAGCACGAGTACACACCGCAGCAGTTGAACGCTGGGACGGATGTGCAGCTCGCGGAGGTGGAACAGGCGTTCGGGGTGTTCATGGCGAGCGTGGCGACGCAGTCGTGGTTGGATCGGTTGCAGAAGGTTGATTTCGATCTTTTCGATGCATCACTTAGGAAGGCGGATTGGACGTTGCCATGGAAGGCTTATTGGGCATATAGTCGGAGGCACATATAACACTCTGCATGCAAGCTACAACTATGTAAAAATAATGAAACTGGTTCTTTACTCTCCCTCTACCTTCAAGGGATATTCTACAGTGCTTCTGATCCTTATTATTACCCCTTTCCTGACACTTCCTGTTGCAACCCTGCTACAACAAACTATCCCAGGGCAGTAACTATTAATATTCACTTACTGGATATCAACCTGATATCTACCCTACTAGAAAACCTAATATCCTCCTTATAATAGATAGAAACCCTAAAAAAAAACATAATGTCCTAGTAGAAATACCTAATATTCTAGTATAGAACCTAATATCCTAGTATAGAACCTAATATCCTAGTATAGAACCTAATATCCTAGTAGAAATACCTATCCTAGGGTAGTAACTAGATGTAATGGGCTGGTGCCCAGGAGATATACTGTAACGGGGTCGTCTGAGTAGGGACTTAGACACGTGACCTCGAAGGGGTTCTGTTGAGTAATGAGGGCCGTAGGCGTGGTATCAATATACTGGTAGGGTTGAACGTCAATCAATCACTGTTGTGTAAATGTGTTGCCAAAGATATCACAAGTAATCTTCCGTTAGGAAACTGGATGCAGAGAACTGTATCGTGGATTGACGAT